CACTTTCAGACAACAATTAAAACAACGTTTCTTTTCCTTTTTTCATTAAGGAGGAGGGGGAGGAGGAAGAGGAGGAGGCAATGACACTGTGGCCAATGTGTTCACACATTTCATTTACCCCAGTGACACAAACTGAGAACATAGGCACTCGTGGACCAGCAGCTCCTGTCTGACACATTAAAAAATACAAATCAAACGTATTTAAACTCACCGTGAAGTTTGGACAGTCAGATGACCTGTCTTCTCTCTGTCTTCTCTCTGTCTTCTCTCTGCTGCTCCAACAGCAGGTCATTACAGAACATCTGAAACACCTGCGTTCAAATCTCCTCACTATCAGCAACCACCCAATCAGAACACAGCAACAATATGCCCCGCCTCTAAACAGAGCAGCAGTTCACAGGAAGATTCAACAACTCAATTTAAGCATATTTACAGACACACTATTATTTAACTTACAACAGCTAAACATTTATTGTGTAAAAAACAAAATATTATTATGTATAATAATAATAATAATAATAATAATAATAATTTTGCATTTTAAAAATAGTCCTTCAGCTGATTTGTGTTTCACCAAATTCCACAGAGAAAATCAGTGACTTCAGCTTGGAGGAATGTTGCTGCCCCTTGTGGTCAGTTTGTGTCACTGACATAAACCTGAGTGAAGAATTTCAAAGGCTGACATCAGACATCAGAAAAAAAACTTCTTATCCTCAAAACTCTTCTGAACTTTTTTGTGGACCAACAACTGGTGTCAGCGCTGCTGAAATCAGTCCTCTCCTCCGTGGACCTGGGTGCAGCAGTAAATGGTTTGTTAAACATTTACAGCCAGTAAACAAAATGGTGGGCTGAGACAGATGGAAGCAGGAGCAGGAGAATTCAGTGAGTGGCTGCTTTTAAAGGTTCCTGACAAAGAAGGCATGGAGTGTGTGTGTGTGTGTGTGTGTCTTTGGGGGTTTCCCCTAACACCTCAGGGGAGAGGAAACAGGGATGGTGGGGGAGTGGGGGGGGGGTCGTTTCATCAATAATTCATTGTGCAACAATGAAGCCTGTCCCCACTGGGAGAAAAGTATGTGTTCATCAGGAGTCGACTGAAGGAAAACACAGAGCTATGGATGAAAACCTCCTGCAACACACACACACACACACACACACACACACACACTTGATCCCTGACTCCAGTCCAGCTGAGGGCCTTCTTTGTAGTTCAAACACACGTGGACCGACTGTTCATGACTTCATGTCTTTGTTTTAGTGTTCAATAAGTTTAGTCAGACTGTGAATCTGCACAGACAATAAACTCCATCATCACAGTCTGTGTGTGTGTGTGTGTGTGTGTGTGTGAGAGAGAGAGAAGCGTTTCAATAAAGGTGGTTTTTAAATGAGAACATTTCTTTCTCTCTTATTGAACTGGAAATATTTGGGGGTTTTATGATTTTCTTTCTTTTTTTACTAAACAAAGTTGTCTGTGCTTCTCACACAGTCATATTCGCTCTCTCTCCGTGTCTCTGGACAGACCTGCTCACAGACCTGCTCACAGACCTGCTGTCCTTGGGGCTGAATATATCAACCTCTTTCTGAATGTCTTGAATCTCAAATGTCAAATTTGATACTGAAATCATCGCTTCTGTTTGACTGTTGCGGTACAAACAGCACATCACTGTTGACATCACACCTGTGAATGTTATAAACAGCCTGAGGCTGAGGGCAAGTCAGTGATGAAAGCTGTTTGGACAAATGTCTTTTATGGTGTCTTCATGTCTCTGCCGTCTCCTGTGTCCCATGAGTTCCAGTCACCTCAATCATTTCCTCTGTCATTAAAGCAGAATTGTTGATCAAAAAGTTGAATGTAGATATCTCTCTGAGAAAGTCAACGCTAACATTTGTTCCTGAAACTGAAGTCTAAGTCTAATTTAAGGCAGTTCCATCTCCGTCTCTGTCTGATCAGCACCTCTCTCCGAGGAACTGCAGACTTCCATATGATTAAGTTAGAGCTGTCCATAACATTTCAATCTGTTTTAATCAAGTCTGCGCTGTCCACGGTGCTGAGACACGTTCTCTTTCTAGCTCATTGAACTGAAGCTGTCCATAGTTCTGAAATTGTTCGTTAATCTTTTTATAAATTCGGAGCTGTCCGTGGTGCTAAGGTAGTCTTTCCTTCTCTCTAACAAGGTTTGAGCTTTTCCATTGTCACTGGGGAACTGACCGTGGTGCTAATATTGTCGTGTTGATGTCTTTTTTTTTCCCCCTGCGTGAAGCTGTCTGTGGTGCTGAAGATAGGTGCGAGCAGGCGGGCGTGAGGGTGATACTGACGCAGCAATAAAGGTGGAACAGCAGGAGCTGCCAGTCTGAGACAGAGACACAGAGATGGAAATACAGAAAGACAAGGACTGAGATGGGGGGGGGGAGGGAGAGAGGGGGAGAGAGAGAGAGAGAGAGAGAGAGAGAGAGAGAGAGAGTGAGAGAGAGTTTTACTTATGGAGCCACAACTTGGAAATTTCACAAAGAGCTGCTGCTGATCTTAGGTTGATTAAATAGTAGAATACTGTGGTTTACCAGCATGCAGTGGTCTGCTGTGACCGACAAGATGACAGTTATAAAGAAGAACAGGAGGAGGAGAAACTGACAGAGGTGGGAGCAGCAGGAGAAAGACAATTCTTTGGTCTATAAATAATGTAGAGTTCGTGGGGAAAAAACCTCGGACAAGGAGTGAAAACAGGTCGTTGTGAATTCAGCGAAGGAGCCGAGAAACAGCAGCAGAGTTTTCCCTTCATCACTGCGCCTGACAGATGCACGAGCAGCCGTCACTCACACACTCACATTTATTTGTTTGTTTAAACTGGTTTGAGCCTGATTTGGTGGTGCAGAGAGGTGGAGCAGAAGAAAAAAACAGTCATCTTTATAGTGTGTACGAATGAGAGTTTATATTTTCAGTAGTGTGTGTTTGTGTGTGTGTGTGTGTGTGTGTGTCAGAGTGGTATAACAGCTGTGATTGTATTCATGGCTGTTGTTTGGTTTTGTTTGTTCCTTTTATTGTGTCATTGTTATTCAAAGGCTTCGAATCCAACGGTGTCCTAATGAAAAGAAGAACATTGTTGTATCACGTGTTCATCACGTTTAAAAATGGTGATGAGGATGAGGATGAGGATGTGTCTTGAAGAAACTATGAACATTAAAAAGAATATAAACGTATAAACATGAAAGTATGATAAGAATTATTTCGTGAAACTTCATCCTAATCAGTATCTACAGAGTAACAGCGCCTCCCACTGGCGTCAACAGAGTCCTAACTAAGGAAACAAAAAATAAATATAAAGAAAATGAATAAATAAAATAATTTTAAAAAGCTAAGTATTATTATCTATGTTGAAAAAAAAATCTGTTGTCATGTGACATCTTCAGAATATTTCCAATGCTTTTTTTCCACTGTAGAAAAAATGTTCTATATTTTTCACCATTTGTGTTGTTTCTGAGAAAGGTTGTGTCCAGTTATGTGGAAAAATAACGTGAGAGTAAAGAAAGTATCAAAGATTCATCAGAAGTGTCACCTTTTAGTCGTTTTATCTATTTTTAATGATTAATTAGTGACTAGTTTCTAGTTCTCCAAGTAAAGGATCGCAGTTTTAAGTCTTATCTCTTGTACATTGGACTTTGTCGCCGTCTGCTGGTCAAATTTAGCCCAACCGACTACGTTCAAGGTGTGCAGTAGCGAACTTAGCTTTAGCTTTGGACATAGAGCTTGTTAAGTAGCGAAATAATTGAAGGTTTTCAACCAGTATTATCATTATTTACCATTATTTTTCTAATTCTCTCACCTCTAGATTGTGGACCACTACATTGACTTATCACTAATTCACTAATTAATCATTAAAAATAAATTTGAGTATTTTTTGGTACCTTTCTTTACTCTCATTTCCCACATAACTGGATCACAAAAAATATTTCTCAGAAATAACAAAAATTGTGTGGAAAAACAACGTGAGGGTTACATACAGAACATTACTCCTGTTTTACCAGCAACGTTTGTCACCTTGTGTAGGGACAGTGGGAGTTCTGGGTGACTATGAATTTGAGGGGGTCACACTCCCCTTGTCCTTAGTGCCATCTGTGCCAACGGGAAAGGCTGGAACTAAACGTGGTCCACTACAACAAAGTCCACAGAGAAAGTCGGAGATTATAGTTCACAGAGATTCACAGAAACTCAGCAGTTTTTGATTCACTGCTGCCTCCATCAAAGAGTTGAAATGTGTTATCCTGTTGCATTAGAACGCCTCGTGACCACAAGAGGCAGCAGTGGACCAACAGCTTCTGTGTCTCTGCGAGCTCAAACCATTTATTTTCTCTGTGGACTCTGGTACAGGATCTCAAATGTTTACAGACTGCAGTTGAAAAGCCTGTGTGGTAGCAGTAGGGGGCGCTTTTTTAATTAAATTTGACATTTTTGGACAAACTTTCAGCTAACTTTTGGCTAAGATTTGGTCTTTAAAATGTGTTACTTCCAGCCATTTTCTACCTTCTTCCTCTTTATCCTGCTGCTGTAAATGAGTCATTTAACAAACGCTGCATTCAGGTTCCTCAGCAGTGATGGTAAATCTGAATTTCCTGTCTGAGCTGGACCATGATGCATTTAATGAATGAAGGGTTTCAGTTTTTTGACAGTTTTATCTCAATATGTTAACAGTCATGTCGGACACTTTCTCTGGTGTGCCACTAGGGGGTGTCATTTTTAATGGCTTGTGTGTCTATATTTTGGTAGAAGAAGCTGTCAGCGGAGCCTGACCATACTGACTTGTCACTGACAACATCAGAGCGATGTTCCTGTGTGCATTTGTTTTGTTTATCTGTGCAGCTCACAAGGAGAAAGGTCTGAGGCGGGTGGTGATTCCCAGAGATCTGACCCATGGAATTGAGACCTGTGGCTCAGGACTCTGAGGAGTCTGGACCTTCAGGCATCTAGTTCAGGTGTGGACCCTGGACTGAATAAAGACAGTCATGGTGTGTTTTCATTACAACAGCTCTTTATTTTGTCTCTTCCATGTGGTTGACGTCACATTAAACATTCTACTACAGCACCACGAGGCCACGCCTCCAGCTGTGACATCATCACACACTGTGACATCATCAAACCCAAAATAAAAACAGAACCAACAGAGGGGGCGGATGCTAAAGATCACAGTTTCAAATCATTGAAGGTTGATTTCAACATAAACATCTGGATCTAACCAAACAGAACGTCACTTCCCTTTTTTCAGCTGCTGTTAAAAAATATTAACCTCAGGAAGTGACATCTTCCTGAAGAACTTAATTTACTTCCTGTTTGCTGTAGACAGCTCACGTATGAAGGCAGAGTTAACCTGGGACTTTTTAGCGTGCGCTCAGTGAAGGAATAAAAATAAAGACGGTGCTGGAGCTGGACGTGGCAGGACTGAGGGTAGATTGTGGGCAGGGTCTGGGGCGGGGGAGGGGCTTAGAAACACTTGCGGTGGACGATGGACGGTCCGGCCTCGTCATACTCCTGCTTACTAATCCACATCTGCTGGAAGGTGGAGAGGGAGGCCAGGATGGAGCCACCGATCCAGACTGAGTACTTCCTCTCTGGTGGTGCGATGATCTGAGGGCCAGGGGGCGGAGTTTAATCAAATGTATTTTATTTGATAAACTTTTAGTTCATTTTGGCTCTGCAAAGTTTTGAGGGAGGTTTATTACGTGTCTGCTAACTGTTAGTCTTCCTTTAACATTTTGCAGATTCAAGTTACTGCACGAGCCAAAGAATAGCTTTTAGCTCACGTGTAAATCTGTTTTTGCTAACCTTCAGCTAACATTCTCACCTTGATCTTCATGGTGCTGGGGGCCAGGGCTGTGATCTCCTTCTGCATACGGTCGGCGATACCAGGGTACATGGTGGTTCCTCCTGAGAGAACGTTGTTGGCGTACAGATCTTTGCGGATGTCGATGTCACACTTCATGATGCTGTTGTAGGTGGTCTCGTGGATTCCAGCTGACTCCATACCTGAGGAACACAAAACGGTGTAAGGAGTAAAGGATGGTGGAGGTGTGGCAATGGTCAGACAGGTGGACAGATGTCTCACCGATGAAGGACGGCTGGAAGGGCGTCTCTGGGCAGCGGAACCTCTCGTTGCCAATGGTGATAACCTGACCGTCAGGAAGCTCGTAACTTTTCTCCAGAGAGGACGACGTGGCTGCGGTTCCCATCTCGTTCTCAAAGTCAAGAGCCACGTAGCACAGCTTCTCCTTGATGTCGCGGACGATTTCTCTCTCGGCTGAGGACACACAACAGAGACAGTGAGGCGGACGCAGACAGGCTGTGACGTCCACCTGAGCTGTGGGTGTCCACCATACCAGTGGTGACAAAGCTGTAGCCTCGCTCTGTCAGGATCTTCATGAGGTAGTCGGTCAGGTCGCGTCCCGCCAGGTCCAACCTCATGATGGCGTGAGGCAGAGCGTAGCCCTCGTAGATGGGCACGTTGTGGGTCACACCATCACCAGAGTCCAGGACAATACCTGGAGGCCGAAGGTTGACAGAAGATCAGCGTGATGTTTGGACAGACTGACCTGTGTGGAGATGAAGAGCCATCGTGGTCCAACCTGTGGTGCGTCCTGAGGCGTACAGAGACAGGACGGCCTGAATGGCCACGTACATGGCAGGAACATTGAAGGTCTCAAACATGATCTGGACACAGAGAGGGACAGTTAGAACGTTCCACCTATCATCCACTGATACATTACAATGGGATGATGGGGGCGGGGCTTAGACACAGACAGGTAGGAAAGTACTAAACTCTTGGAAGAAGTGTCTTCTAGGCAGTACAGAACAAGTACAGTGGAAAACCCTGTGCAGTAGAGTGTGTACTCCACTACTGTACTGCAGTGTAGTACAGTGTACCTGCGTCATCTTTTCCCTGTTAGCTTTAGGGTTGAGCGGAGCTTCTGTCAGCAGAGTGGGATGTTCCTCTGGAGCCACTCGCAGCTCATTGTAGAAAGAATGATGCCAGATCTGACCAATCAGAGAGCAGAGACAGGGATGACTCAGATGGATTAACCTTACCACTGTGTATGAAAATGATGATGATGATGATGATGATGATGATGAGGATGATGATGATGGGTCACGGGGGTCAGACCTTCTCCATGTCGTCCCAGTTGGTGATGATTCCATGTTCGATGGGATATTTGAGGGTAAGAATTCCTCTCTTACTCTGAGCCTCGTCTCCCACATAGCTGTCCTTCTGTCCCATACCCACCATCACTCCCTGTGCACACACACACACACACACACACACACACGCGCATTAGCTGATAAACTTCTCCTGGACATCAGACTCTGTTCAACCACTAACTTGTAACCACATTTTTGGTGGTCATTTGGTTAAAGTTGAGGGGAGGTGGAGGGGAGTGGGGAGGGGCAGTTAGAAGTCACCTGGTGTCTGGGTCGACCAACGATGGAGGGAAAGACGGCTCTGGGGGCGTCGTCTCCAGCAAACCCGGCCTTACACAGACCAGATCCATTATCACAGACCAGAGCGGTGCTTTCCTCATCATCACACATGGCTGCAGGGGGAGCTGTGGAGCAAAGACGACACTAGGACACAGACACACTATGGACAGAAGAAAAACAAGGAGAGATGTTAAAGAGGAGACATCTGGTCACAGATGCATCCACACACTGACCCAGGTATACATTCAAATAACAACAAAAAACTGTCAACAAAGTTGTTTACTTCATAATCTCTCATCGGTAAAAAAAACTCTTAAAGTAAAACACAGGCATGAAAAACCAATGGAATTTGTTGAAAACGACCTGAGCAACAAAAACATTTGAATTTTGAATAAATCACGTCTGGTTTGTTGAATAAAAGTTGGAATAAAGTTTAAATGAAAAGATTGTTTTTAATGTTTTATTGATGGGGATAGGAAAGAAAAAGAAACAGCACACACACACACACACACACACACACACAAATGACCAAACATGGAGTGTATACACACACACACACAGACAGGCACATATACACACAAATCAAACTACTACTGCCCTTTAGTGAAGGAACAAAGCACTCTGGGAAAACTTCCTAATTAGGACATGAAGCAGAGTCCTGAGACTGCTGGCCCTCTCTCTCTCCCTCTCTCTCTCCCTCTCTCTCTGTCTCCCTCTCTCTCTGTCTGTCTCAAACTCTACATCACTCACCCCACTCCCTCTTTTTGATCACTCTCTCCCCCCCCCTCCATCTGTCCTCCCTCGTCTCTCCTCATCTCTCCTTCTCTCAGACCCAGAGGAGAAGTTTACTCCATATTTAGTCATGAATCTGTTTTCTGTCTCAGTCTCTTTTCAACCTTTGAACTCAACCTCAAATACAATCAATGTGTCAAAAACAACCGAGGATCAAATACAACTCCACTCTGGTTTGTTTTTGGAGCAAGTTATGGTGGAGTTTTTTAGGTGTACTGCCCTCTAGTGATACCTGTTGCACAGAATCTGTGTCATATATTAAGTATGAATGTGTCTTACTTTATGGATGTCACTAAAAAATAAAACTATAAAATAACTTCACATCTGTTATTGTTTTAAGACAAACCAAAAGGGTTCAGTTGTTTGTGCCTGTCAGTCACCGCTGAGGGCTACAAGAACAACAACTCAGCTACACCATACACACAGCGGGTACACCAAACCTCAGTCAAAATACCTGCAATTTCAGAAGTTAAAGACAGTGATGCCTGAACCAAACTTCAGTCAGAAAACAGTAAAGATAAAGATTGAAGTGACAGCAGCGCGTCATCTCTGAGAAGAAACTTCAGCCAAAGAGGAGGGCTTCAAGAGGAGCTCAGTCAACAGTGTTACTGTCCACTGGACCAGTGACATTTACTGAAAACATCTGACTTTAACACACAGGTCATCTGGACCAAACCTCAGTCATAAAACACTGACATCTCAAACAAGACACACGCACAGTACACACACGAGTGAACACAGAAGACAACCGGTGTGGAGAAGAAGAGGGGAGGAGGTGAGGCAGGGGTCATGAAAGGAGGTGGTGAGGATGGAGAGAAGAAGAAGCTGCAGTTAAACCTGAGGAGGTCATGAAGGAAGGTGCAGTGAAGGAGGTGAGTGGATGGCGGATGGAAAGAGAAGATGAAGCGGGAGGTGAAGGAGCAGGCTCCTGCAGGAGGAAGTGCTGATCTTACCGTGGGACGTGGGGACGCGACAGAAGTGAGAGTGTGAAGGGCTGTGAGTGACTTTATTAACCCTGCTCCTCCTTCATCCATCTCTTCATTCCTCCTCCTCCTTTTCACCCTCCTCCTTCTCCTCCTGCCCCTCTCTCATCTGCACGATACCTTATAGGGCAGACCACGAGGGAGACAGCCAATCAGATGAGTCCCGCTCCATCAAACTTTGTCCATCATTCACCAAATTCCTTTAACACAGAGACAGAGAGAGAGACAGAGAGACCTTTAATAAACTTTTATTCCTTGTGCGTCCCACGTGTGTTTGTCTTTTCTCTCAGGGCTGCGCTCCTCATGTTTACAGGGATGTTCATGATGTTGTTGTGGACAGCTCAGGTCCGTGAAGGAAGGGAAATTAAATATGCTCAAACCATTGTTGTCTCCAAAAGTCAGAGTGTCGTGTCCCCTTCACATCTCCAACATGTCCAACATCCATTCACATCTATTTATACTAGAAAATGTAACAGCAAACCAAGTCACTGACTTCAGCCACAACTGAAGTTCAACAACAGCAGCACAGCTAATAGCTTAGCCTGCGCTACTGAGACGACAGGTTACAGGGTTTTGGACTTTGACTTCTGCAGGTCTGTTTCATACTGGATCCTGTGATCTGGGCTGCTACTCAGACCCATCTGAATCCTCCAGAGACTGCCGTGTTCCCATTCTCAGCTGTGAAAACCTACACACAACTCGACTGCCAAGCACAAAAGCATGCCGCCCTGATCCTGGACCACCAGCCATCGGACAGTGAGGTGGAGGCAGCTAGTTTCTAGCCTAGTTTTCCTGGATGATATCATGCTAACTGTTAGCATTTCTATTAGCATTAGCTGCTGAATAAGCTACAAACATTTAGCATTAGCATTAAGAAGCTTTTCGTTTTCACAACATTGTTTGTATTCCAGACCAGTATGCGTGTTAAAGGCTAGCTGTGCTCCTTTGCTGTCAGTGACAAAACCCTCACATAACGGTTTGACCTATACTACAGGTTAGCCACAGGTTTGTGTTTGCTACTTGATATGAAACACACACACACACACAGTTGAGAGGATGCCAGAAGTGACATCATCAGTTTATGCGGTGGACACCACCACCACCAGCATGAACATGATGATCCCTGTCCATGTGAGGAGATTCTTGATCATCCCTATCAGGCACAGACACACACACACACGGCTGTGTAACGTGGAAGGTTCAACCATAGTCCAAGAACTTTTGGTACAATTCAGAACTTTTGATTTTCTACCCTACAGACTCCTCCAGAGCCTGAGACTAAAGCTGAAGTTTAAAATGAAAAAGTCAACGACTGCTGACCAAACTGGTTGGAGGTCACTGACAGGAGGAGGTGTAACAATGTACAGTGGATGTTTAAAAATGCACAGCTGCATGGTTAGGAGGTGAATAGGGAGACGGGGGGAGGCTGAGAGGGGGTGAGCTTCTTCTCCTTAAAAAGACAAACACCACAGTAGGGAGGAGCACCAAGCTGAAGGAGAAGAAGACGAAGAAGAAGAAGAAGAAGAAGAAGTATGTTTCCTGTTTGAATTTTTGTGGGTGTGTCCTCACATGAACGATGCCTGAGTTCTGATTAGCCCCTTGTAAGGACACAGACCGAGAGAGGAATTGTGGGAAAGGTAGGAAACAAAAGTCATCTCAACCTGAACTCTTCTCCTGTGTGACAGAACAATGTGACGGCTGTCAACACAGAAGAAAACTGACGGAACCACGGAACAAAAGACAAAAGAATAAAGTCAAATCTGTCAGGTTGGAAGAACATGTTTAAATCCTCTGGCCTTTCCTCGAACTTCTACAACAGGTGGAGTCTGTGAACCAGTCACTCTCCCACAACACAAAGTCCACGGAGAAAATCAGTGATTTTAGCTCAGACCAAAGTCCACGGAGAAAATCAGTGATTTTAGCTCAGACCAAAGTCCATAGAGAAAATCAGTGATGCATTTGAATCCGTCATTGTAACTGTACCAGTACTTAATACAGTCACACTTCCTTCAGAACCCAGCCACTGTCCCTTTAAAGTCTGAGTGATTTTACAGACTTCATTTGTGATGAATTATGAAATGTGATGAAGAGACATTGTCTGTGTCTCCGTGCTTCAGTCCAAAAAAGGAAGATGTCAGTAAATAAGGGGAGACTCTGCGTCCCCGTCCTTTTCCCTCCTTCCACCTCCTCCCTCCTCATGTAAGGAGAAAAATTGTGGCGTGTGTGGTATGCTTCTCTCGCTTCCTGTGTGTGAGTGTGTGTTGTTGTCTAGTCTCTGCTTTCATTCATTAACTGTTTGATTTCACTTCAGTCTTTCATTATTTCGCTAGTTTTTAAAACTTTCAGTAATTTCTCCTATTTCAAAATACACACAGACACACAGAAACACACACACAGACACACACACACACACAAACGACCTGGACTTTGACCGAAAATGGGAAAACGGCTGGACTGGTCTGAAACTGTTCCTGATTGGTCCATTTACATCAACAAAGGACACACACGCTCTCTCTCGCTCTCACTCACTCATACTCACACAGAGAGAGAGAGAGAGAGACGCTCAAGAATGTGTGTGTATGTGTATATACGAAGGATATGAATGTCTGTGTGTGCGTGTGCAGTGGACTTTGATTCATTTACACACATGTTGCTGCTAGCCTACTGACCTGGTGTTTAGTTAGCATCACCTTAGCTCCATTTGCCTTTTAAGCTCAAGTCAGTGTCTCGGTGGGCGGAGCTTTCATCAGACCAACCAATAAAAGCCGGTTACATTTAGATTGGTACTGACTGCTGGTGAAAAGGATGAACTAGCATGCTACAAGTTAGCGTGTATTCTTTAGCACAACTCCCCGAGTCAATTTGTAATGCTAAAGTTAGCATTTAAAATATAAACGAAGCTTCTAAGTCCAAGTTAAGCCTGCTCATGTTAGCTTTGACCTGCTAACTGAGCAATGATTTGACGCTTAATGTATGCATTTTTCTTAAGCTAAACTTGTTTTATTCCACATTTATTGTGAAATAAATATATTTTTTGTATTTATTTTATAGATATACTAACGTGTCTTGTATTGTGTATGATACATCAGCGTTAGATTAAATGCGTTAGATTTTTATTATATATTAACAATGAACGGTAGACCTTACCCCCTCTTTTCCATCTCCCTCGCTGTGTTGTGCTGTCTTACCCCCTTGTGGCCAACTGATATAGTGCACTGCTGGTGTGATGATACACAGTGATCTACAGAGGGCGCAAAATGACCGTAAAATGAAGAGTTTGGAAACGGTACATTAAGTTAATGCACGAACAATTAAAATGAATTTATTTATTTATTTAAAAAATAAAAAAGGTATATTTATTATGTCTAGAGAGATGGGAATGTAACCACAAGTGAAGAAAGTGTGCTGAGAAGATGGAAGGAGTACTTTGAGGAGTTGTTGAATGGGGAAAATAAAACGGAACGTAGGAATGAGGAACCAGAAACTATTAGAAAGAAGGTAGATCAGATTAGAAAAGCTGAAGAGTGGAAAGTCAGTTGATGACATAGCAGTGGAACTATGAAGTGTGTGGGAGAAGTGGCTAGATTAGATTAGCCACTTAGATTTCCTGACATGGGTTTTTTAACCCTTGTGTAATGTTCATATTGTTGTTACAAGCAGTATAAACAATATATATGGTTAATATTTGCCCTTTACCTTTGTTAGGTCACATTTAGATGTTATAGGTATGTTCTGTGTACCTACACTCTGTCCTCCTCCTGTCTAGGCCTGCTGTGTGTGTGTGTGTGTGTGAGAGAGTGTGTGAGTGTGTGTGTGCGTGCGTGGGTGCATGTGCGCGTGTGTGGGTGGTACACAGAACATCAATTTCCACACTTCTATTAGTCCCAGGTCCAGTGGACCCGGACATCTTATATGTAATAGAAATGTGTAGGGGGGGTGTATGGTGTGTGGTCATTAAATATGTATTCCCTTTCTTACTGTCTATCTGCAGTGACTACTTTTTTTTGTTGTTGTTCTCTGGTACGATGGAGCAGTGATAAAAGGAGGCCACAGTGATAATCAACTTTACTGGTTGTCATGGCAACAGCCAGGGTTGAACTTGTTGAATTTAACCCTGTTCTTTATCTCCATCTTAATCCTCCTGCTCTAACACACCTTATGTATGTATTCTAGACAGTGACACGTCGGCTGAAGCACTGTATACAACGGCTTCACTAACACACTCCTCTAGCACCACTGACAGGAGTTTATTTTTCATTTCGTTTCATTTCATTTCGATGCTAATCAACCTGACATTTTCACAGAGGCCGGTTAGAATCCCATCCCATCAGTGATTATGGCTGAACACAGGCATAAAGAATAGAACATGTCACTCATGTCTCATTAGTAATGTGATATACGACACAGTCTGTGTGGAAATCCATCAACATGTAATTGGTTAATCACTCTGTGTCACTGGGAATTAGTGGGCTGCTGATAGAGAGAGACAGAGAGACAGAGAGACAGCGTGTACATGTCTTTAACAGGCTGTGAGGACACAGTGTGTCTACACTTACAGTCAGGTCAAATAGGCCTTGAGAACGTTTTTATATTTAGTCTTCGTTTTTGAGGAAGTAGGAAGTTTGGAGGTTCTGATGTAAAATTGATTCCAGTTCACCATACAGTGGTTTAGGTTCAGGGTAGTTTTCCCTCTGATTTACCAAACTGGTCAACATGAGGACAGTTAGGTGTAAAATAGTTTCTTTTAGAATTGAATTAAGACAAGATCTCCACTCTCAGAAAGACGTGAACTCAGAGCTCCACATGGACAGTTGGGCACAGAAAAAAAGACCAGACACCAACTCCCTGCATGAAAACACAGGTCCCCTCTTTCTGAGTCCTCATAACCACAGGGAGACAGACATGTCTAAGAACCTCCTCTAGGAGGACAAAAGGAAGGAAAGGAAAGAAGATCTATTATGTCTGTGTAGAAGTGACAATATACTGTAAAGATCGACTCCTATGGTGCCATAGAGCTAAATGTATCTAATCATTAACCCAATATACAATGTATGTATAAAGTATGTTCCATTTATATGAGTGAATATATATTTATATTAACGTGAGCCTGGTCATTTGAGCTCTCATTCCAAGAAAGTGTGGACATCCCTGAATAAGTGGATAAATTAAAATAAAAGACAATAAAAAAGGATATAAAATCCAAAATGTTTTTTCTCCCTTCTTTTCCCTTCTTCTGACAAAAAGAGTTACTTTTGATAACTCATAACTATAACTGATAACTTCTTTTATTTACATTTGTTTGCTTAAATATGAAAAGAGATTTATGTTTAACGTTGTTTGGGTGGGGGTCAGAGTCAAAAACTATTTCTACAACAAGCTCACTTTTACAGTAAAACCTATTTCTGAACTTTGGCTCTTTTACTCATATTTGCGGGATACTTTTTTTTAACATTTCTTTGAAATGAAACTAATTTTTTGTAAAAGCATTTGTAAAGCGCTGTGACTAACCTGATCCTTGGAAGGAATGTTGCAACAGCCTTTGTCATCGTCAATTAAACCAGTTTTACAGAGCTAAGAGGAATATTTAATGGCTGTAGGCCATGTATTTCAGAGGACATGTTTGAACTGAGGAGTCGTGATGTCACAGGTCATGTCTCTGCATGTTTACATCCTGAACTGATTCATTAGCTCTGTGTGTGCGTGTGTGTGGCATGAGCCTGCAGGTCTGTAATGACTGTCAGATGTGTGAAACTATGAAAGTAGTAACATTTGAAGCCGCACATACTGAACCTAATAATCACCATTAACTCGGTGTTAATAATGACATTACTAACTGCATCATCTGGACTGTGACCTGTCACTGTGCAGTTCTGTGTAAAAAGCAAAACTGCTGCTTCAAGTGAAGGAACACTGATTCACTTCCTGTTTTTAGTCTCTGAAAACAGAATCGGAAGTGGGCGGAGTCTCTGGACATGGGGGGGGTTTCCCTCTGGTTTTCCCTCCAGCAGCAGCAGGAGACAAAAATGTTGCCTCACTGCCCTGAGGAAACAAAGAGGAAATGCGTCACAGCTTCACTCCACGAGTTCACTTCTGTATATTCCAGCTCCACGTGTGTTCAATGCTCCACCCCCCACCCCTCTTCCCCGCACACACACACATACACACACACTGCTAATATTCAGACAAAATGAACTCAACATTTTTTTGCTGAGTAGATTTCAGCCTTTGTTTCTATCTCTGTCTGTTTTATCTCAGTGAAATCAAACGTCACCTGCTCTGATAGAGGCTGGGTGGCAGACCTGAGGCTGAACCTTCTATTGACACATGCCGCGAGATCATGAAAGTGGACTCACCATGATTAGAACACATGGAAAACACACCGGTCTTTCAATCTCAGAATCTCAGACTTCCCTTTCTAAACGTCACGTCAGCGTAATTTCCAGGCTTGGTCATGTGACCTGGCATCAGATCACCATTGTTCATTCCAGAAAGTCATTTTGTGTTTGAGTGTGTGAGTGGCTGTGTGGGTGTGTGGGTGTGTCTTTGACCCAGTGTTAGCTAATAGAGGAAATTCCCTGGAGTATTTCTGGCCATTGTTTCATCATCAGTAAAAGTTTGTGGAGTTTACAGACAGATCAGTACTTTCAAACCAGGGCACACCTGCGGCTGTCAGATCATGGGACTCACAGCTCTCACTTTTTCCCAGGTATGTACTGACAGGTGCTCACGTTTAATCATCACAGAGCAAATGAAGTTTTTCCTTTCAAGAATAAATATTTAATAAATTATTTGTCAAGCAACAGCAGCAGCACAGATTTATAACAGATTAGACAATAAATATAAATAACAACAACAACAATAAATATAATAAATAAATAAATAAATAAGCTTTTCAAAATATTTTCTACATTTTGTTTCTGGCTTTTTAAAACCTGGAATATTGATTTACATTTTCTGTCAGCCTTCATGAAGGTGTTGGTGTGAGCTTCATCTTCATCTCCTTCATCCTGATCTCCATCAGTGTCTCCTTTCATCAACGTCTCCTTCATCAGGAACCACTTGTCCCTCAGACACTTCTGTCCTCACTCTTTAGTCTGCAGTGTCCCAGCTAGTCGGTCCATGTGCGTAAAGTAGGGGGCGAAGTTGCATGAGGACTTGAGGTGGTGCAAGCTGTGGTGAGGAGCACCACCGTACAGTCCCAGTGGGACAATGCGGTGCGTGGCCCAGGGCAGGTCGTAGCCACAGTGGTCCTCCACCGACAGCCACATGTTGAACACAAAGAAGATGAGTTCGGTGAGAGGGTGACATCCCAGCAGGGCAGTGTTAGCAGCAGCAAACACCCCCAGACTCAGAGTCTCCCACACTCCTGAGTACTCAGTGGTGAGGGCAGAGGTGGAGGTGAAGTTGTGGTGCATCTGCAGGAGGAGACCATGAAAACAAGAGGTCAGTTTGGATGAACTCACTTTAGAATAATGAAGTATTAGCAAATGGAAGTGGCTCTAATGATAATGATGTTACTTTAGCTGCTGGTTCAAGTTAGCCTTTTCAACAAAGATTATCATTAAGTCATCTGAACCTGACTGGACTAACACTAATTCGTCTAAACCCAGCTGACTGTTACCAGTCTCCATAGTAAAGTTAGCTCACCTTGTGGAAGTTGCGGTAGAGCCATGGAACCCTGTGGTGGAGCAGGTGCCAGGTGAAGCTCTGGAAGTCGAAGAGCAGCAGGCAGGCCAACACCTGGAGGACGACGCAGGGCAGAGAGGGGGCCTCAGTGGGCAGGTCAATGGGCCTCAGGTACCAGTTTAGCACAGTGAGGGGGAAGATGAAGACCACGTGGTTATAAAAAGTCTGAACCAGGCAGGTCCGCACAGAGACCCAGCTGATGGAGCTGTGAGGCTGGAGCTTGTACTTGCGCACCAGGGCCCACCTGGGGGCCAGCAGGTCCAGCAGCAGGAAAGGAAGACACAGTGTTAGATAAACCCCGAGGGAGAAGAAGACAGGGAAGACAGGCGACTGTAGGACGGAAGAGTTTCTCACAATGAGCGTCCACAAAGACTGGAGCACCATGTCGTCTCTGGAGTTCACAGGCTGTTGTTGCTGTAGCTTGAGTTCTTGTCTGGTTGTTGCTCCACTCACTCCAGGCTCAGTTGTGCTGGAAGCCTTAAACCTCACACATGTATAAGCGCTGTCTTCAGAGTCCCTCCCATCAGAGCCTCTGCCAAGTTTTGCTCCAATTAGCACCAATGAAAAACGTGTTCTAAGCTCCACCCCTTTTGCCTTTTATGGCTCCGGTCTCCTTCCTTCCAGGTTAGACTGATTCCAACGCTCACAGAGTCAGTGACTCTGCTGTCTTCAGATCTGAGGTGAAATTGACACTGATGTCAATTTGGAGTTGGCATTTAGTGCATTTGTCAAACAACCCGAGGGTTGCTGGTTTGATTTCCTACTGGCAGCATTGCTGTCAGCAGGCAGCATGCAGATGCAAAACATCCGAACGGTCATCAGTACACTGCACTGAATGACATAAACCACATTGTCCAGCTTGTTTCTTGGAGTCTTGTCTTTGGACAAAAAACTGACAAAACTGGTTCATCCCAAAGACAAGAGAGTGCAGTGAGGAGTGTACGGACCTGTACATTAGGGACACCAAACAACCGCTACACAGGCACATGGCCCTTTCTGATGAGGCCCACAATGACCCATCAGACTCCTACCAATTGTTTATACTTTCCCAGTTGACCCCGAGGCTCCGCCCAACAGGGTGGACCTGAAGTAGCTTTATTCTTTCACACCTAGAGTATACAGATCCTTTCCAAAAAATTAGAATATCGTGAAAAAGTTGTTTAATTTCCATAATTCCATTCAGAAAGTTAAACTTTCATATATTCATAGATTCATGGGCCACAATTTAATCAATTTCAGGTATTTATTTGTTTATTTTTTACATAATTTTGGCTTCCAGCTCATGAAACCCACAAAAACAGGATTTCAATGAATTAGAATACTGTGAATTAGAATACTGTTTTTGCAGAAAATAAATAAAGAAAAAAAGAAATCAATCAAAATATGGTACTTTCAAAATGATATATCAATCATCAATACTTGGTTGGGAATCCCTTTGCCTTAATCACTGCCTTGATGCGACGTGGCATTGAGGCAATCAGGCTGTGGCATTGCATAGGAGTTATGGAAGCCCACATTTCTTTGATGCTTGCTGTCAGCTCTTCTTTGTTGTTGGGTCTGGTGCCCCTCATTTTCCTCTTGAGAATACCCCATAGATTCTCAATGGGGTTTAGGTCCGGCGAGTTGGCTGGCCAGTCAAGCACTGTGATGGCATGAGCATCAAACCAGGTTTTGGTGCTTCTGGCAGTATGAGCAGGGGCCAGGTCCTGCTGGAAGATGAAATCTGCATCTCCATACAGATCCTCAGCAGAAGGAATCATGAAGTCCTCCAAAACATTCTGGTAGACTGTTGCGGTGACCTTGGATTTAAGAAAGCAGAGTTTACCAACACCTGCACTGGACATTGCACCCCAAATCATGACTGACTGTGGATATTTCACACTGGACCTCAAGCAGCTTGGGTTCTGTTCCTCACCCGTCTTCCTCCAAACCCTTGGACCTTGATTCCCAAATGAAAGGCACACTTTACTTTCATCGGAAAAGAGGACCTTGGACCACTGGCCAACAGTCCAGTCCTTCTTCTCCTTGGCCCAGTTGAGCCGCTTCCTACGTTGGCTCTGGTTCAGAAGTGGCTTGACCCGAGGAACCCGACAGCTGTAGCCCATCTCCCGGATTCGTCTGAATGTGGTGGTTTTTGAAGCTGTGACTCCTGCCTCAGTCCACTCTTTCTGGATCTCTGCCAGATTCTTGAATCTTCTCTGTTTGAGAATCCGCTGAAGCCCACGGTCATCTCTTTTGCTAGTGCATCTTCTCCTGCCACATTTTTCCCTTCCACTAGACTTTCCATTGATATGCTTGGACACAGCACTCTGTGAACAGCCAGCCTCCTTAGCTATAAACTTTTGAGGTTTACCCATCCTATGGAGGGTATCAATGATGGTCTCCTGGGCAGTTGTCATGTCTGCAGTCTTCCCCATATTGAACCGAACTGAGACAATTGAACCAAACCAAAGCAATTAAATAACACCTGGGGAAACCTGTGCAGGTGCTTTGAGTTTAGTAGATGATTGGTGTGTGACACTCAGTTTAAAACATTCATGCCCTGATGATTTCTTCACAGTATTCTAATTTATTGAAATCCTGTTTTTGTGGGTTTTATGAGCTGGAAGCCAAAATTATGTAAAAAATAAACAAATAAATACCTGAAATTGATTAAATTGTGGCCCATGAATCTATGAATATATGAAAGTTTAACTTTCTGAATGGAATTATGGAAATTAAACAACTTTTTCACGATATTCTAATTTTTTGGAAAGGATCTGTATATCTGCTGTACTCCCCAGCACCAGTTAGAACTGAAGAAGCCTCTTGGATGAGAGGTGAAACGTCTTCTTTTAGAAAATTCACATCCAGTTGCCTCACAGAACTCTTCAACCTTGGTTATCAGGACATAGGTACATACCGTTGACACAAACTGACCACCGGAGGCAGCCGTGAACCCGTACCTCATTTGTTGACATAGGTCGACATGTCAAAGTATTATAAATAAAAGCCTACTTTTTTATTAACTCAGATGATTTGGAGTGAGGGCATCCGAGTTCATTTAAAACTTGCTGCTACGTGATATTTTAATTTGATCTCAGTACAATACTGACCCCTGCTGGATTATTCGCGTCATTTTCGTTAAATCCCTACAACGAAATCCAAGCAAAAAACAAGAAACAGAAACTGATGAGCAGAAGAGTGTGTGTGTGTGTGTGAGAGAGAGAAAACAAAGAGGATACACTTGACCATGATGTCGCCATTACAGTTTAATTTGAACAACAAGAACATTAAAGGTCACTGCTGTGTTAAAAGGTTGAAAATAAAATAAAAACAAAACACAGAAACCAGCCTTTTATTTTGAAGGGTCTTGTACATGTCTTATAGAAGTCTGTTTTAGAGCAGCAGTAAAGTCCAGCCTCTCATCTTCCTCATTGTCCTTCTGTCTCTCAGTGTCCACTCGTCTCTGGAGTTCTCGGTCCAACAATGTCGTCCCATCTGTGAATCGATCCTGATCAATTAAAAAAACAAACAGAAAACATGGATTAAAGGTCATGTGACTGACAACTGATCATCCAACATGTTTGGAGGTGAGTTTGGCTTCTCCACCTTTTTCTTTGTGCCGGGTGAGCCTACGGGAGGGTTAAAGGTCATGCCGTCAGCGCTGTAATCACCAAACAGCTCCACAGGAGACCTGGACAGAAAGTGACACATACAGAGTGGTTTGATCGGTGATTGATCGGGCAGTGTAACTGAAGGGAAAATGAGTAGTTGTTGAACAGTTAGGGTCACGACGCCTGTACAAATGTGACAGGAAGTACAGACCTGCGACTCAGCTCCACGCTGAGCGCCGCTGATCCTTCACTGGGAGCTCCATGACTGAGGTGAACCGCAAACTGTCTCACAACTGGATGGTAATGTCTCTGTGTACACACACACACACACACACACACACACACACTTTAACAAACAGAGGGGTCTCTCCGGAGTATGTGTGTGTGTGTATACCTGTAGTGTGTGGTTACCTGTAGTGTGTGGAGCTCCCACAGAGCTGTGTTCTGAGCGTTGCAGTGTTCTGGTTCCTCCAGTTCTGGCAGGTAGAAGCCGCTGCCATGAACCTCATTATCCAGGAGGAAGTCACTCTTTGGAAAAGCCTGAGACAATCAAAACACACACACACACACACAGTTATCCCTGTAACAGAGTTCCTCCTTCATTAAACCACAGTAACCCACGTGCACACTCACATGCATGGCGGCTCTGTTGGCAGAGAGGAGGCCCACACTGGCGTTGGGAAGTGTGTGCAGACTGAGCATGCTTAGTCTCTTGATAAACGCCATCGCCCTCTGCAGGGACACCTGCTTCCTGCGCCGCGTCAGCATGCTGTCCAGACACCGCAGTAAGATGCTGATGTCATCACTGGGTGCACCTTGGGATTAAACAGAATGGTTTAGTTCCCCACATGTACACCGGGGTCTAAATTCAAATGTCATGGCTCTGCCCACAGGTGGCGCTGGGAAACTGACCTGCATGGAGCTTGACCAGAATCTTGTAGAGCTGAGAGTAGAAGGTGAGAGGATCAATGTTCAGAACATCACCTGTAACACACATACACACAGGTGAGTCACAACATTTGGCCTAATGATCTGATGACATCATCAGTGACCTCCCTCTGACCTTGTCCTGACAGAATTGTGAAGACTGTCTGGATACAGTGAAGATTCTCTCGATTGGTCCGATCCTGTGAGAAGGTAATCAATTAATCATTATCATATTAATGAGCTGTCAGTGAGTGGGCGAAGTCAGTCATGGCCAATACTCACTCCTGATTGGATGATGTTCTGCAGCACATTGAGGAGGTCATCGAAGAACTCCAAGTTAATCAAGTGAGCGAAACTGACAAGAAGCGACATCAGTCAGTGTCACAGCAGAGCTGGTCATTTGTGTGTGTGTGTGTGTGAGAGTGAGTGCAAGTACTTGGCCAGTCCCTCCAGAACAGCTGGTAGCAGAACTGATTTCTGAGCCTTCTTCAGGATCCTGAAGTAAACGAGGAAGACGATGTTCAGGGTCTCCGTGTGCTGCAGAGGAGAGAACACAGGTTCGAACACACACCTGGTTCTAGTGTTGATCATGGTAGAAAGACACCTCCAGACTTTGGTCTCACCAGTTTCAGCTTCTTGTCTTTACTCTCTGTGGCCTCAGCTTCCAGCAGCTCCTTCTCCAACTTCTCCTCAGCTTTTTTCCACTGAGACACAGTCTCTCATTCACAACATTGTTCACAACAACAACAACAAAAAAAACATCACAATCAAAACATCAAAAACAAATGACGACCACACCTTCCGCTGCATCCTGGACAGGTTCTTCTTCTTCTCCTTGTAGTCCATGAACTTCTTCTTTGGTGCCGTGGACTGAATGTCCTTTTTCATCTCCACTTCTTTTATCCTCAGGCTAAGCAGTGACCTCAACACCTATGGGCGGAGCCTGTCAGTTGGAGGACAGCCATCTGTGTATGTTCCTAAAGGGTGCGTTTGATTTATCTTACCGCAGGTCTGACGTTGTAGTTCAAGCTCTTCACGAAGCCGGAGATGACCCGCACCGTGGCCAGCGAAGCTTCGCCCACTTTGTCCTGCTGGAAGAGCTTCCTGATGGCATCGCAGCACATGTCTGAAATCTGAAACATACACACACACTTGAACCTATCACGGCACAATCAGACACCTAAAGGCACCACGGCAGACTTCTGGGCCTGGGTCTCACCTGGTTGGTTGGGTCATTCATCAGCGGCACCAGTGTCACGATGATGTTGTTGTGGAAGTTGAAGTGAGGAAGAGCGAGAAGCAGCTCACACAGGCAGCGGGCGGCCACCTCCGCCAGACCCTGGTACGACTGGAACCCCACGGCCTGACTGCGCTTCTTCTTTTGCTGTTTCCAGTCTGAGGACGAGGGGGTGGAGTCAGCTGATGTTGTTTCTACTTCTTGTGGTGTTTTTTCTTGTGTTGTGTACCTTTGACTGTCTGCTCCAGGTTCTCCAGGTAGAACTTGTATTGACTCACCAGACCCTCCTCAAACTCTCGGAGCTGCTGAGTCTCCTTCTTCACCTGTGGACAGAATAATCATCACCATCATCATCATCATCCTTGTCTTCATCATACTATAACCATCTCAGCCCTCACACCTGAAATAAAAAAAACTGTCTGACTGTGTTCTTTTGGAACATCACTTTTATCGACTGTGATTAGAACTGTGGTGGAGCCTGGTTCAGATAATCCCAGGTTAGAGGATTTTTTTTTTAAATGGATCAAAAAAGGTCTTCACGGTCATACCTTTGTGGCCTTCTCTTCGGCCGTCAGGGGGCGGATCCTGTAGGTTGGTGTGATGTCTTTGAAGATCTCCATCAGTGACACCATCACCAACTTCCTGACAGTCACAGCCACACAGGGGTCCGTCTCCATCAGCAGTCCTCGCAGCTCCTTCAGGCACTTGATCTGTTCCCAGAAACACACAGTCCTAGTGTAATGTCCCTTTAAACAAACTGACCCAAGGTCGCAGAGGTCAAAGGTCAAACTTACATTACTGTAGGGGGCAGAGATGATGGCTGAGGCCAGAGTAGCAATCTGCAGCTTCTTCTGCTTTATCTTCTCCACTCGGAGCCGCTCTATCTGCTCTGCTGTCAGTGCTGACAGCCTCTGTAGCGCCCCCTCTGGACAGGAGAATACATTACACCAGTCAGACAATGCCAGGATTACCGAACAGAACGCTGATGCTGCTGCTGAGGTTCTGACACAAACAAAACTGTTAATGTTTGTATATGACGCTCTTGTCGTACCCTCTTCCTCCTCGGATTCTTCAGCAGCTTCTTCTAGCTCCTCCTCCTGTTCCTCCTCCTCATGTGGTCTTGTAATGACTACATACAAACAGAAGAGAAGTGATGTTTAAACATAGGACATCTAATATATAAATATATAGTACATACACATATACATATGGTAGCGCTTTGGCCCAGAGGCAATGTCTCGGTCATTGGTGTCTGTCATTGGAGGGTTCCCCTCCTGGGCAAGTTCGAATCCCGGTTAGGGCGGTTGGTACCTTCCAGTGGACTCACCACCCGCAGGAAGGTTTGGTACGGTGCAATGTGATTTGGGTGGCGACTCCGGATAAGCGGATGAAAATGGATGGATGGACATATACATATGTATACATACATTCATCTGTGAATGAGTCATTGAATCATTGGATCAGTCAGTGGGTCAGTACCTCTCTCCAGACTCTGGGGAATGATGCCCGTCTTGTCTTTGATTGGCAGCAGATGAATCACTTCCTTCTCCTCCGTCCTCGTCATTTTTCTCGGAACCTTCTCATAACTGGGTACGACCTCTGAGTGACGCTTTTTCTCATTGTGCACCGGCCCACTGGGAGACACAGGCATAGCAAAACAAACTCATCAGCCACTGCTTTTAACTAATTCACAGACCAATAATGTTCACACCAGTTACCATGACGACAGGTCTCTAGTCAGGAAGGATGCTTGGCGGGCCATCACCGTCATCTGCTGCAAGTCGTCCTCGTCCATCATGTCTGTGGGCAGACTCTCCAGGAACTCCTCCTCCTCCAGCTCTTCCTCTGTCAGACACATAGAAAGATATTTACTCTAGAATCCACCAGTAACAAGATCTGGTCATGTCACTGATGTCACCCTCTCTCTCACCTGGTCTCTTCTTGTACGTCTCCAGTGGGCGAGGTGTCCTGTTGATTGCCCCCTTCACCGCCTGCCTCAAACGCTTCTGCTCTTTGCGCTGCTTCTTGGCGACATTCTGCTGCTTCAGCGTCCGGTTCTTCAGCTTGTTCTCCAGCTTCACATTACTGGTTTTTAGTAGACGTCGGAACGTCGGACCGCGCTTTTTCGACCGGGGCTGCAAAATAAAACGAGTGTGAAGTTAGAAAAGGAGAAAAAGAACCTCTAACAGTAAAATTTGAATCTGTTGGACCAATCGTCAAACACTGGTAACTGAGATACATGAGGTTGTTTAAAAACCTCCGTAACAGTGAAGATAAATTTGATTTTATTCGTGGTCACAATAAGCATGACTGTTAGTTCACTAACAGTCTACTGATTATTTAGTACAAAAGACGATAATTCATCAGTGACGGGTGTATTTAGAACGTAATGACACACTGTTTAACACGGTTATTCCCTGGAAGAAAGTGATCAGTAAAATCTGGAGACGTTGGTGTGACGTCATTAATTGAAGATTAAAAGGGTTATTCATTTAGGTTGAGAGAAAACCCAACACTTCTCTCCAACAGGTTAAAGGTATTAGTATCTGTCAGTGTTCGGACATAAATCACAAAAAATATATCGTTTAATGACAGACTTTGTTGTGAGCTCCCATTACAGTGTTAATATGTGGAATTGATTATTTATCGGTTTCCGCTTATCATTTATTTTCAACATTAACAGAAGAGTGAGTCGTTTATTGACTCGAAGTTAGACGAAAAATAACAAACGTCTCAGATGAGATTTGTTCGTGAGGTTCAACATGTTTCCACACAACTTCAACACTTTTTCGTCTGTTCTCGGGACACCTTACCCGGCCCATGATGGAACAACCTCCCGCTGCTCAAGTGGAACCTTCCTCGGTTTTTGACTGGGTTTGAAACCTAGCACGGCTTAAAATATGTGGGACGAGAAGAGTTTGTTGCTGCTACACGCGTGTTGATGCGAGAGGTCGCAGATATGATCCGGAAACAGTAACACCAACAGGTCTGCAGCTAAGGAAATAGCGCCACCAGCGGTCGGAGGACCACAATGATCGTGAATAATATTTTTCAATCGTTAAAACGCTCACTAAAAACGTCGATGCCTTGACGTAATTTCTGATTCATGACTCTTTAGACAATGCTATTTTTCTAAGTAACAGTAGTTTCATCAAATTAACAGCAAAATATTGTCTTGACTCTGTTTCTGAGTGTGTTATTCTAAAGATGAGGACATTAATACCGACCTACTCGTTACTGTGTACATTTTCTACTTAAGTTGTTGTTTTTAGTGTGCTGTTTTCTACCATCCAAGATGAACAGCAATTACTTAAATCCACCAACTCTATAAAGATACATTCCAGATGTATTTTTGTATATTTTTCTTGACAGTGTCAAGAACATTCACCAACTAATCAAAATCAAGGTAAAACTTTAGTTACCCTTCTTTGCTGCACATTTCCCCACTGGCTCAAATAATTTCCAATAGTCTACAGTTAAATGAAGACATAACTGAGGTCCAGTAATTAAAACATGTATATTTTTAATATATTGATTTTATTGTACAAAGTTACATTCAGAAGCCAAGGCTCATTCATAGTAAATAAATACTGACATGGCTGAAATGTAATAATAATCTCCTTAACTGGAGACAACAGACACACACACACACTTACACTTGCACAAAAATAAACCTAAATCTTCTGATACTGCTCAGTACAAGAAAGGGGAAAAGAACAGACCAGTTCAGTAAACTAGCACAGACACCAGGAACACATCTGTGATGATACTGCATGTATATTGTACTAACCGAGACTGAAAAAAATCATCAATGACACAAAATAGATGCTTTTCCAGAAATAATCAATGATTAAACTGCAGGTTCAGGACTCCAAAACAATAGAAAGAAAGAAAAAAATCAAACATAGGAGTTTAGACCTGGAAATAAGAAAGTAGCATAACATTGAGTGTGACATGGACTGTCACTTCTTTCACAAACTTTCAACCAATTATATGTGAAACACTGAACCTGTTATGGAGGGATACAGAGGGACAGATATTAACTCTTTAATTTACAGAAATCAACTTTGTGTGGAAATGATTTTTTTGTGCTTCTGGCTGGAAAAGCAGGAAGTGCTGAAAGCAGTGAGCAGTCACGTGAAGTTCGGCCTAATTGTTGCGCTGGCACAGTGGCATTATTTGCTGGCAAGGCCATAGAGCATTGCTTTTGGTTGCAAGCAATTTTTCAGAACAATAAAATTGAGCAAAACTCGACATTTTTGTCAGCAAGTGTACATTTGTCTTGTTGTTGGCAATAAATTGTTGTTTTTTACAACAGGCAAACAACAATTGTTAAATGACATCGCTTCATAGTTGCCTTAAAGTGATGACATTGAGTGAGGGCAGTATAAGAGAACGTGCTCCACTGGAGCTTTTGACAGTCAAGGCAGGGTGTTAGCCTTCATATTGCGATTGTGCTTCACAACTAGATTGTGAGAAGTGACAGCCCTTATGCAGTGAAATACACACACGTCACAAATGACATCAAAGAGACCCTCAAAGAAAACAAAATAAATTAAAAATATTGTTTGTAACAATCAGTTTCTTATCAGGTGCATGAGAATTTCACACAAAAATGCTGAATAAATGAGAAAACAAGAAAAGTGAAACGACAGTCAGATCAAGTGTTTAATGTTCTGCTCATAACATCTCATACACATTCTTTCCTCTCTAACACTGAAAGTATTTCAAAAAGTCATAAAAATATACTATCTCATCTATACAAGCAAGGATTTCTGTTACAAAAAACAGCACAGGGACAGACGGAGTACGCTGCTGCTGAAAAAGTGCTGCAAATCACCAGAGAGTTTGTAGACCACTGGGCCAACTGTGGACACTTCCACCTTCAACCTTTGGTAGCAAACTTGACATTCTGTTCTAGGAAAAAAATAAATACATCATCACACCTGAAAAGTCTCAGTGCCATCACACCTGGAACACCAAGGTAGATTTTCTAAAGTTTATGGAGAGTAGAGGTTCAATGTGAATGTTCAATGTCCATCATGTGTAACACTAGATTAAATAATTTTATATCTAAAGAATATTAGAGCTGGTGTCTTTAAATGTTGACCAAAATATATCAAGGATATTATGTTAGCCAGTGATCCTGTTGCATAGCATCTCACTGCTAACCTCTCACAACTTCAAAATTTGAACTAAAATTTCCAGTTTCACAAACAACATTGTGACACGGTAGAATGTGTGATTTTTAATTTAAAATGAATAGTATTCCAAATGGAATCTCCTAAGCTAAATGCTATCTACATTGTAGCCCCATTGGGTCACAGAGCAAAATAATGAAAGTCAGCATTACCCAAATTCTAATTTGTCAGCTCATTTGCTGTGTGCAAATGTGCATGTGGGGATTTTGTGTTCATATTTACACAGGTATACCTTTATTTTATGGTATACCATCATGCTAACATGCTGACAAGGGTAATGTTAATATTAGTAAATATTAATCACCTTGCAAAACATATTTGAAATATATGAAAAAAGCTAGCTCACTATTAGCATCCTTGAATGTCTACAAACACAATGCTGTGTCCAAATGTATTAATTTTCAATTCTTTATTTTGGCTAATAGCATGCTAAAGTCAGAGCTAGCATGGGGATGTCTCCCAATCATATATATATATATCTTTGACTTCAGACTTCATTAAATATTAATAAAATGTTAGTGTTGTAATGATTTTTTTAAATTTATATTTATTTATATATTTTACAAATTTAGCTTTTAACAGTAAAAACAATAAACAGACCTAAACAAGCATGCTTAACCGGTTTGCATAGTTTTTTCTGACTAAAAAGAAATATTTGAAACTCAACCAAAAGTTTGAACAATTAGAGATTATCATATACTTAACGTTTGATTATAAGAGCTTTTAATCAAACGTCACCTGTATTTGAATGATGATTTTTATCACAAGTTTATCAAAGTAATGTCTCTTAAAGATACTTTCTCACAAACACAAATCTGTCATTTTGCTTAGACCGAAACCAAAGCAAACTTGATATAGACAGAAACAGACAACTTGAAGTTGATGAAATGACTTGTTTTGCATGGTAACCATTTTAAAAAAAGAAGACATTTGATCAGCGATTCAGGCTCTGACACCTCAGTCTCCTGATTATTAGTCCTGTACAGGTGATTTAGTGGTCTGTGTGAAGGAACAGTCGATCTAAAACAACAACAGCTAAGTGTTGCTAAACCTTAGCTCAAATAATATTAAAGCATATTAAATAAAAAATAAAAAAGGTTAAAAACAAAAACATGGGTCAGAAAGAACCGTGAGAGAGAAAGAACTGAACAGTTCTGATGGCCACCACCAGACCAGAAGATCATTGACCCCTGTCAGTGGCTGAACAGATGGGGGCGGGGGTGGTCAGAGGTCGGACTTTAGTCCTGGTTGGCCATGACCTGCCATACAATGAGGTGACTGCGTTCAGCTTTTGCCAACAAGGGCTGAAAGTTGGCTGGAGGTTCTTCTCTTTCTTCTCCTTCTCCATCCTCATCACCTGATGAGACACAGAAGACTTGTTTGACCAGAAGCAGCAGCTTCACAGGTCATGATCACTGGAACAGTGGGCACTGCCCCATCCTCTAAACTGGGCCACACACTGTCTGTTATTTTAGGTTGGAGGGATTTTGTAATTACTGACAAAATCTTTAATTCAGCTGCGGCATCCGGCCACACCAGTAACACTTACGCACAGACTTGGCCTGTTGGTGGCAGTAATGCAACTTAAACTGGGTTCAAATGCAAGGTGCAAATGAAAGTTTTGTTGCGGCAGGAGGTGAAAAACACTACCATAAAGTACTTCAAGTTTACAGTATAACATCAATATAAAACATGTTGTTTCCAAATCTATTTGAATTGAAAAACTTTTATTGTGTCAAATACTGCCTTTTGATAAAACATTAATTAGATAATTACAAAGCCTCTAAATAAAAAAAGTTTGTTAAATTATTTTAAATGTTGTTAAAATGTATTTCAACATTGAACATTTTAATCAGCTTCAGTCTAAAAGTTCTGAATGCATTTTAAATCGTCAATTACACCAATGTCATCAGTAATGAGGGCTGATATTAAACTGAAGTGAAAACTAATGTTTGGTCTGTGGTCTAATCCCAGGATTTAAAGCGGGTATTATTATTATTATTATTATTATTATTTTGGTTGTGAACTCACCCATCCTGAAGTCAATGTAACCTTCTCCTCCGCTCATCACCAACATGGATTTGGTTCCTTCCTGAGATGACGATTCTGTCACTTTGTCACCTACTGTGTCTCCACCAAAGGACGCAGCAGGAACAGACAGACCTGGAAGAACCCAGCAGACCCTGAGCATTAGGTTTGAAATGTTCAACTGTGAAGTAACATGGGGCAGCCAACAGGGGGCGACTCAATTGGATAAAGAACAGCAATTTTCTGAATGGTAGTCTTTAGAAAAAGTGTGAGGAAGAATGAGGAAAACAGGTCCACGGGAACGTTATGTTGTTAAAAATGACATTCAGATTTTCTACAAGACCAAAGACCACATTGACAGAATTATTACCGGGGACTGCAGTGAAGAACTTGACAGCGTCTCTGTGACCGTGGAAGCAGAGCTGAGCGTGAGCCATGGAGCAGTAAGGAACAAAGGTTCCAGCAGTCACTTTGTCACTGCTGTCGTCCCCGTAGACACGGACCACACCTCCTGGTTGGGGACCAGCTGCCTTCAGGCTTTTGTTGGCTGCTGGTGAAATGGATTAGGAAAATGAAACGGTCAACTGACTGAAAAAAAAAGACGATTTTATTCTAAGAAAAAAATAGTTTTTACTCTCTGTTATTGGAACGGAGATGATGACTCCATTTCCTGTGCCGATCCACAGACGACTACACGACACCATGAGAGCTGTGATCCTCACAAATGAGAAGCCCAGTTTCCCAGTTCCTGTGGAGAATGTTGAAAAAAAACCTCAACAATCAGGTTCCAAACCCAAACTAAACAAATGAAAAGTAGGAATCTGCAGAGAGAAAGGTGAACCAACCGAGCATCTTGCTGACGTAGGGCTCAATGTCAATGTCCTGCAGGTGCTGGAAGGTGTGAGCGTGGAACAGCCTGAGGGTCGAGTCTAGTCTGATGGACACCCAGATACCGTCACCATCCCAGGCCAACTGACGCACCTGACTGTCCTTACGAGGGTGAGCGTCAAAGGACTTCTGCAGAGGACAGAGGGGAAGATTGTTCAGGAAAGAGTTTGCTAAAAATTAGGAAACTGAATAAAACCATACTTTAAAAAAAGATTATCTATAATATTTGTGAGCTTTTACTGACGTGATGTGATGAGAAAATATGAGAAAAGCTAGCTCACTATTAGCATCCTTGAATGTCTACAAACACAATGCCGTGTCCAAATGTATTAATTTTCAATTCTTTCTTTTGGCTAATAGCATGCTAATGTCAGAGCTAGCATGGGGATGTCTCCCAATCATATATATATATATCTTTGACTTCAGACTTTAAAAAAAGATTATCTGATTGAAATAATCCAAAGACATGGATCCAGGTCTCTAGATTGAAGTCTGACGTCAGCTGTTCTTACCTCTATCTTCATGGCCTTGGGCTGCACCACATAGATCTTGTTCCTGTAGCCACACCACACCTTGTCGTGGACCACAGTCATGCAGCGGATGGAGTGGTGGGGTCTGCCCAGGTCTATCAGGTGGTAGTTGGTCAGGTCCCACTGTCCATCTGAGGAGAACAAAGGCAGCAGGGGGCGACATATTACATCGTCTGCACCATCAGGTTGTGGTGTAGGGGCTTCACACATCTACTCACCCACTCCTCTGTGGAATATGGCTAAGGTTCCATCAGAGAGACCAACCAGCACTCTTCCTTTCACATGACTGTGGCACAGAAACAGTTTTCTTTTTTACCTATACCTGCTGTTGGAGTACTGGTCAGCACCGTACATCCCAGGATAAGATGAGAAGGACACTTTTTTGTACTCACACGATGCCAAGCACAGAGTCCTTCAGTCTAATAGAGTGGAGACACTTCCTCCACTGGGCCACAGACGAGTGCACGTACACACTGCAGACAGGAAAACACTCCGTCACACACTTTACCCTCTTGGTTTGGTTTCTTTAATACAAATGACGCAGAGAGATGTTTGGAGCTCACCATCCATTCTGAGCACCCAGCCACATGGTTGGCAGAACGCTGCTCATCTTCTGCGCCTCCTCTCTCATCAAGTCCTGCTCCTCTGCAGTGGAGTTTGAACTCAGACCATCCTTCAGCAGGTTCCTCTCTCTGTTCAAACACAGAACAGTCTTCTGTTCATTCTCTGAGGACGTTTGAAGCTGCAGTGTTTTCCTGGACAGAGTGAAGTGAAGACGCTGAGCTGCCGTTACCTCTGAGTGGATCCTGCTGCTGTTTCTGAAGTCTGCTGGACGCCCAGTGGGTCAGTGAAGACGTGTTCAGTGTAGACTCCCCTCAGAGCGCCACTGTGGTCAGGAACTCCGCTGCTGCCCTCGGTCGCCTCCGTGGCTTCTTCTGCTGCTGCTCTGGAATCTTCAGAGACAACGAGCAGAGTCAGACCTGTTGAATTTATCATTCTTGCTCTCTGGTCATTGTGAAAACTTACCAGATTCTCCATTCAGATTCTCTCCTTTTTCCGAACCATCTGCAGACTGAGGAACAGCTGCCGATCCTTCGGCTGCACAGCCCACGACGGTGATGCCTCCGAGGACGCTGTCGCCACCTGCTGAGCTGCTACTGGTTAGTGGTGAGCTAAGGTCTCCTGCTGCTCCTTCTTCTGGTTGGAGAGGCACCTCCTCACCAGCTGGATAGTCTGTCTCTCTCGCTCCTGGATAAAAACACAGATGTCAGTGTCACAGGAGAATAGCGCCACCTACTGTCTGCAAACCTGACCTCCTCTCACCTGGAACGCTGGCGATGCAGAGGACGTGAGAGTCGCAGACAAAGAAGCTCTCCAGGATGTTTCCAGGCTGGTTGGCATCGATGACCACAGCTTTGGTGATGGACTGTGTGCTGGTGCAGATCCACACCAGAGACGATAACTCGTCCTGCTGACGCAGCTCCTCCTGCTGCTCCTGGAACCAACGTCAAGTGGGAACGTTAATGTTCCAGCATCGTTTATTAGAAACTATGGATTTTGGAGTTGTGTCTCTTATTAATAAATGTAGTAGCCTGTGTGTTTGTGTGTTAACCTGTAGATCTTGGTCCAGTTTCTCCAGACTGCTCCGAGATCCTGACTTCTTTTTCAGTTCTCCAGGTCCAGGGACGTCACTGTAGAACACACTGGCTCCAACAATGGAACCGCCGTCTCTGGTTTTACCTCCAGAGAGATTCACACCAGCAGCACACCAAAGCTGCAGAGAGGAAACAGAAATGTGATACCAGTTTATACAGGGAGTTCTGTATTTAAAACTTTTTAGTTACACTTTCTTAGTACAACAAATGCACACACAAAAAAAGGACCAAACTGTGTACAAAATAATCCCTCCCAACTCTGTTGCACCATTGTTTACTGTTATACCAAATTCTCCCCTCTCATGACCCCAAACAGAGCAGTCAATGGGTTTGGTTCTAATTTTCTGTTTAAGACCAAAGAAAGTGTGTGAAAACTTCCCTCCAATATTTATTGAGGCTTGGGGAGGACCAGTACATATGAAAGAAGGAAGCCACAGTATGGACGTCATATCCAGGTATACAGTATATCCAATATCCAATTTTGCCTTGGAAATAGAAGCCCTGTGTACCACTTTGAACTGGATTAATTAACCAGTTTAAGTGTGTAACCCCAAGTATATACAGGGCATTCTGAGGAGTGTTCCACAGAGATCTGTGGTGAACACCTTGAGAAACATTCAGTTTTAGAGCTCATACTTTTCCAGTCTCTTTTAACCAACACTTCATTATGTCCGGACTAAGGACATGTTATGTGATGGGAACATGTTCATAAAAACAACCTTCATAGAAGCATCTTTTTCATCCACTGGTCTGAGGAAGACTGGAACAGGCAGGTTCTTCACCCTGTTTTCAGTCTGGCCTCCATTGACCTGGGAAGTCCACAGTACAGTGTATTAAACCAAACAGGCAGCAGTGGTGAGGAGGTGAGGAGGCAGAGAGCCCAGTCCTGGCTTGTTTCTTACCTTGTATTTCTTGGGCAGACTCCAGCCATAGGCCTGAACTCTGTCGTCCTCCTTCTGGACGTGAGCTTTCACCTGTTTGTACTGTTCTCTCTTCTGCTCTCGCCTGGACACCACCTTGTCAGCACCCACTCTGTGAAACACATCAGCAGCTCATCGACCCCTGGATCTGTTCTGATTTGTTTGTTTGGTGTCAAATCTCCCTGACAGACTTACTCATCATTGAGGAAATCAAAGGCCTTGCTCTTGTCGCTGGGCAGCTGCTGCAGAGTGCTGCTCCTCTTCTTCACCGTCGGCTGGATCTGTGAGGTGGGGGCGTTGTACTTGACGTTCACCGGTGCTTCGCCCGAAGGCTTCTTGACTGCTCCGCCGGACGAGCTGAACAGACGGCTGAAACTAAAGGTGTCAGGGCGGGGCAGTGGGAGGAGGGACGGGACCGGAGGGAGGGAGAGACAAAGGGAAGGAGGAAGAGGGCAGACAGACAGACGTATAGAGGGATGGACACAAGCAGTTCCTCCAGCAGCAGCAAAAACGCAGGGTTGAACATTCAGGGGTAAAAAAGGCTCTCCTCCGTCACACCAACACACCAACACACCATGCACACTTTCACACAGGCAGATGTGGAATTTACCGTGGAAGCTGCAGTGAGTAACGTTTCATTCACTAAAGGTCAAATATATGTTGAACATATGTTGCATTTACACCATTGTCACAGTTCACATGTCAAACACAAGGCTCGTGGGCCAACTGTGACACTCCAAGTTCTTATTGCAGCCTGTGGGAGCTTAAAGATTATTTAACAGCCTTAATAATAAAGTCCATGCTGTTGAGTTTCTGACCAGATATGACAGCATACACTAAATACTGTACATATATATATATACACACATAAACCACAGATGTCTAGAAGGTGTTGTTTATAAAGAGTGTGAGCAGAATATTGAAAGTTAATCACTGCAGCTTTGACCTCGTTGACCTTCTCCCCACCACAGTGAAGTGTCAGTGCTGCTGGAGAGCAGGGGTTGCAGGATTAATACCGGACACTGAGATGGACGTTAGTTAACAGAAAAGAAGAACAATCGTCCAGGCAACGACCCCATGAACAAAGCTTAACGTTCAGCGTTATCAGTTTTTAAATATGACCACAGAACAATTCCGACATGTCTAAATATGTTAAGTTGATTTCTACTCAACCAACAAATAAACCCTGCACACAGGCATCACAAGACCAGGCAGAAAAAGAACACCCCAAAACAGAGCAGAAGTCAAGGTGGTTCTATACAAGTACTGTTCTTGTGCAGTCTCCTCACCCAAAAAATATAAAAGTTCCTCAAACCAAACCAGACACATTCATCTCAGATCTCAACAAAGGAGAGCCTTAATCTTTCAACCCGACCTCACAGGTTCAGAAACCAGTCTCATCTCTGACTTTATTGAGTTTCTTTCATATCTTCTATCAAGCCTTCAATGTTTCCATGTGAGTTTTAATGGGAAAAATGGGCTCGGAGCTGAGATCAGAGCCCGGCTCTCCTCTGTTACAGAGTTCAGAGTCAGTCAAGAGAAGACGCTAGCAAAGATTTACCTACATCCTGGGGGCAACGACCACACAACACGCAGTACAAAAGACATGAAAGACACAATGCTGTGACTCAGAGGTGGACGATCACCACATCAGATGAAGAGAAAAGAACGGAGAAACTTACAAGTGCCAAAGACTGGATTTCTTCTTTTCCTGAAGAGCTGGATTCTCCTTTGAAGCCCTGAGAAAGAAAATTCACAGACTCAACTAATCCTCTCTGGACGTCCTGTTCAGAAGAAATTCCCACGCGGTCCAACTCACCGAATCATCTCAGTCCATCTGACGGCCTCCTGCAGCTCCATCAGCCGCTCCTTGTACTGGTTCCTCTCCATCAGGACCCTGGCCATCTCCACCCTGGTGAAGCGCTTCCTCTGAGCAGTGGGAACGTCACTCTGTAGGTGGCAGCACAAACATCACGCTGATGAAAACTATTTCATCACAATGTGTTAGAAAAAAAAGTGAAGTCATTTTAACAGTGACGTCACATGGTACAGGATGTGACTCTGACAGGACACAGTGAACTTGACGTTTGACACTGAACCAAAATCACCCTTGAAGGAGATTTTTTATTACCTCAGCGATAAAGTCTCACCTCGTCTTCATTGTCATTTTTGACTTTCTGTCTGGTTTCCTCCAGCTCTGTCCTGACCCTTCAAGAAAAAAACCACAGATTTTTCATTTCCATTTACTGTAAGGTAAAAACACTCAGACTGAAGTATGGCAGATGTTGAAAAACAAAAACTTCTTCTTACTTCTTGAGTTCCTCCTCTAATTCCCTGTTCCTCTCTTCCAGTTTGGTCTTGGTCTGAGTGACAGCGTCCAGTTCTCCACGAAGAACCTCGTTTTCACAGGACAGTTCGTCCACACGAGTGATCAGGTCATTTTTCACCACATTCAAGGCATTTCTGAACGTATGACACACACACACACACAGACACACAGTTTGGTCATCTGATGTCATGTTAAAAGGGGAACAGAAGGTGGCAGCACTGTTCTTTCTGTTAAAGTGGAATCACAGCTTGTTTTTTTTAATTAAAACTCTACAATTTAAATGTATATGTATATGTACTCCTTAAAAACACAAACAATTGTACATGGAAGAAGTCTGACTATCTGGTACTGACTTGGTTTCCAGCAGCTGAGTGTTCTCCTGGATCAGATGTTCTACTTCACGACCCATACCTGAAAGTAAACCATCACGTTAATTATTAATGGCTGATGTTGTTATTTTCAGGGAAGATATAAAATACTTGTTGTCACTAGGTGTTGTTTTCTGTACTGCTAACTGATATTTTTTTAAATCAAACTTTAAACACTGTTTTTCTTCATTAATATTAAATATATTTAAGATTCAGCCACTAGAGGGACATATACTGTATTTACAGCACTACCAGCTGAAGAATCTAGGATCAGATGATAAGATGTGAAAAGATGGAGATTCATACCCAGGAGGTCGGCCCCTTCATCCACGTCTCCTATCAGGTCGTTTCCTGCAGACGACAGCTCTTCAAACAGAGAGTCGGTGTTACGATCAAACACTTTGTTCTCCACGCCACCTTTAGTTGGTGTGCTGCACCAACAGGTGGAGAAGAAAAAGTTAGGAAGATGAAGTCCAAACATTTTGAAAAGGAATAAATCATTTATCTACATGGTATCAATTTAAGACTTTCTGTATGAAACAAAAATATTAGTTGATAAAGACTTTGTGCACAGACTGGCACAGACTAGTACCTAGTTCCTCTGCAGGACTGGAAGTCCATGTCCAGCTCAGGAGTGGACTCTATGATGGCCTGCACCTCAGATTTCTCCACACTGTCTGCTCCATTTAGTAAAACAAATGAGGAAAACACTTTTTAAATGGTTAAAACGCATCAGTTTGGTCAAAGTGTACAGTGTTTAACCTTATTTTGTCTGAGTAAGATTTGTTGACAGGACTACGTACCTTCCAGAGGAGTCGGGGTGGATTCCTGACCCTCGTGTCCATGCTGGGTCTGCTGACCATCATGCACAGCTGCTATGTTCTTATTGCACTCTGGTTTTCCACCGTTAGAGTCCAGATTTGTGCTCAGCCTGTCGGAGACATCTTGTCCCTGAAGATTTCTTTTCTTGGACTCTGTGGACACGGATGCTGGAGACACGGCAGGTTGAACAGTGGTGGTGCCACTGGCCTGACTAGAGGCAGAAGTCTTACAGTTGGATGGTCCAACGTGAGACGATGTTTTGCTGTTTGGTCTGGAGACGCCATCCTGAGAGGATCCTCCATCTGGACCTGAGCCTGTGGAGTTGGAGGTACTGGATTTGGAACCAGCCAGCTCGTCCTTAGGGTTTACAAAGAGGAGAGACAAAATAACAAAACATGATCGAATGGACAAAGACCTCCAGAGTTAGAAATCTTCTTCCCAAAACATCACCATCACAACAGTCACATTAACACTGTCAACCAGACAGTCAGAGGCTGTGTTCACACTGCAGGGCTTCATGTTCAGTTCTGTCACAGACCACTCTCCAGATTAAATCTCACAAAGTGCAGACTTGTGGGGGTGAAAAGCCTGATTTGAATCAGACCGTTGCTGTTCACACTGACATAAAAACAAAATCAGAAATGATCAGGTATGAGGGTTGGGGTGACAACTAAGCCTCATGCAGTGTGAACACAGCCTAACTTAAGGACATGCAGAAAATGTTGCATTCAATTTGTAAACCAAAGCCACGTCCATGGAGAAGAGTTGTTCTGTTGACTCAGGTCTGATCACAGAGTTTGTGACACAACTAAACAACTTTACTGTAATAAACATGGCTGCGCCACAGACCACCCCCAGGATCAGCTCTCACATTTTCATGCACATCAATGACAAAGGTCAAATGTCACCCTGGGGCACATCACATCCATTTTTAAAACATGACCAAGTTATTGACAGTTTTCTATATTTAGCACAAACACAACCTGGTTCAATGGACAGGTTATTACAAAAACAAACAACAACAACAACAACAACACATGCACCAAACCAATGAGAAGTTTATTTACCTTTAGCTTTTAACAAAACTATATATTTGGTTTCACGATACTGTAGCTATATTCTACAGCACTGTACATTTTATTATTTATTTTATTATCATTACCAGTCAAATATTCATGGTGCTGGTTTATTTGATTTGTCTTGTATTTCTGGTCTAGTGATTCTAAGTGTAGATCCCTCTGTTCCAGTGTTAGTGACCTGATGTTCAGATGGAACAGCACTGTGCATCTACTATGATAACAGTTTTACTACAGTTCGTGATACGTATCGTGTCGCTAGATTCTTGCCAAAACACACCCCTGTATTAAACAGTTGTATTCAGATATGAACCAGTCACACAGCAGCCTGTAAGCAGTGTGATAACACATGCAGTGTCTGCAGCTCCACAACCAACACAGGCAGGGGAGCGGGCGGAGGCACTGAAGGTGGTTATGGTGATGTCACTGGAGTTACAGTGTCTTTGGGCAGGCAGTTCTACCTGGTCCTGACTGGTCTCCTCTTCATCCTCCAGTGTAACTGGAAAAACCTGCTTCTCAAACAGGGGATTTTCAGAAACACTAACCTTAATAATATGTCATATGATAAACCTAGTGAAATAGTAACAGCAACACTGACTTGATCCCTGGGACAATCATCACTCACACATCATCGGCAACAGACAATCATATACAACAACACGTCATATATAAAAAAAAAAAAAATTCTCTTTCCAAAATAAAAAAATCTCTTATTTCTTCTGGCTGCACTGATGGGAGTATTTCCTTTCACATGCTTGTGTCAGCCCGCCGTTGCCATAGTAGCAGCCAATTGGGAGCCAGATTCCCTCCTCTGCACCTTTCTGTCAGCCATCCCAAAACACACAACAACATGAACACACTCAACCACACAGTGAGGGGCTTAACTGTAAATCTAAATGTCAAGTCAGTGGAAACAATACAAAGGCTTGGCTCTGTGTCTGTACTGAGGCTCTGTGTCTGTACTGAGGCTCTGTGTCTGTACTGAGGCTCTGTGTCTGTACTGAGGCTCGTCTGTACTGAGGCTTGAGGCTCTGTGTCTGTACTGAGGCTCTGTGTCTGTACTGAGGCTGTGTGGAAGAAATTGTTAATGTCAAAGTTTAAACTCTTTATCTAGAAATGCAATCATGGATAACTTAGAAAATCTAAATGAAACAGCTCGATGTCAGACAATACATAGCTTAATGTTAGCCATTACAGCTACTAGGTAACTAGCCACAGGAGGCGGCATTAGTGATATGTGGGTCCTCTGGGCATCGAACCCAGGACTCTTTGCTCCTTGCTTTCAAAGCAGGTGTACTAACTGTTATGAAACTCTGAAACCTCTCAAACCAGGATGCTGAACTACAGAACATTAAATTAGACTTATTGATTTGCAGACTTGGAGAACTGGTCCATGATGTTGTGATTGTCCCTGTAGTGAGACTAAACATAAGGTGCTGAGAACATTTTACTTTTAACTGCACAGACCTCTGCACTGGAACAATATTATTTAATATGTGTGAGAAGAAACTGTCCAACAGTGGTAAGTTCAACAACCTCTGAACCTCATAATAAAACGACCACACCACCACAGAGCAGTGTGCTGACAACAAATGAATACTCATTAGTGCAGTCATCAATATTCATGGTGGAGCCCTGCAGCCTGGTTTCCATCTGCAACAATGTGAAGTCACTCTGTCCTGCTTGTCCCCCCCCCAATGAGGCACACACAAGGCCCCAGGATGGTACCACTTCCTCTGGTTCCTGGGCTGCAAGCCACAAACACACACACACACACGCTCGAAATTCTGAACCAGCTCAACCATTCCTTCTTCAATAGAAATGTTCCCTCTCTTGGATGTTTGCTGCACCCGAATTTCCACCACCTCTTTTTTCGTGAGGTGAGGATTCATGATGTCACCGGTCCGATCTCTGGGAAGTTCTTCAGCCATCTTCTGGCATCACTTCATAACCTTCTACCAGGTACTGTTACAAAGTGTGACAAATGTGTTTTTCAAACCTTGAGACTGGTGTTAGAGCACGGGTGACTGAGGTTGTTGAATCTCCACGGTTCTGACGGAGAGTCCACAGGCTCCCTCTGGAGGTCAGGGGTCATACCATCAGTGCCAGCGAGATGGAAAATGCCCACAGAGATGGGGTGATCCTTCCTGGAGACAAATGGGAGGAAGTACGGTCTCAGTAAAATTGTTTCCTGACAAAACAAGACAGGATGTGTTAAAAATACTGACACATGGGTTTGTTCACTGCTTCACAGATCATAGATCCTTCAGATCGGCATCTGAAGAAGGTAATAAATAAACATTTTCATAGTGTTATTTTAATCGGCACTGTGTTTGGCTCTGAGGTCTTCAGATTAAATTTGCCGTTGCCAAATTAAATGGCGACTGATAATCTTTCATCAATCCACATGATACCATGACATTTGACGCTACACTAAGAGCAGGATTATGTGGCGATGGACCTCAGAAATTCACTGAGAGGTGCTGTTGCACACAGACGTGGTAAAAAGTAAAATAAGGCTGTTTGCCTCATACATTCCACCAGATGATAAACACCCCATGGTTAGAGTCTGAGACATCAGCAGAAATGAACACTTCAACCTACACAACACCAGGGCAAGTATTAGCAGAACAGCAACAACTGTCACAAAAATAAAATAAGTGATAGAAATGGGAAAAAACCACAGTAACGGCATAAGAAAATATGAATACACTAAAATATTGCAATATTTAGTTTAATTATATATATATATTCTACAGCACTGTATGGATTTATATTTAAACACATAATCCAATACACATGATTGTCCCTTTTGATAAAAATAAAATATATACATATAGATAATAAACAGTATATAAGTAAGGGACAATGTCAACATCTCTCAAAAGTCTTATTGTGAAGCCTGCTTTGCTGTCAACAACAGAAAGATGTCATACAGTATTACACTACACAAAAATACAGGGCTGGGAGCAGTACCACTGCCTACCACTAGGATAGGTCTAAAAGTACTCTGTCAGCTTCAGCCAACTGGATGTTTTGGTTCCATTTTGTCACAAACACAAACAAATTGTACATCACCAGTAACTGTTTCTTTTTGGGGCACAAACTGAGGAGCATTAAGGTGCATCTCCTGTGTTCTCCACTAGGAGAGGTCTGTCAATTACCACTCTTTTTCCTGACCTACTTTTCAGATGCAGTGTGTCTGACTGCATCGCACCCACATGGCAGCAGCACTGCAACTGCTTGGCTCGAAAATCTGCAGCATCATCAGACACGGAGAAGATGACGTGTAAATATATACGGATGTGCACACGCTCACAACGTTAGACACACAAACACAGCCACGCTGCTGTACCTGCCGGCTCTGGGTACAGACGGTAAGGAGGGCAGGGCAGGTAAACCTCCAGTAGAGACGGAGTAATGGACCAGCAGCAGCACCGACAGAGACACCAGTACGGCTGAGTTGATGACCACTGCTCCCCCCACAAAGCCAAAAACAAACAGCAGCATACACCCGGGGCTCATGGCCCCCCCAGATTGTGGCCCAGTGTTCCAAGAAAGTACGAGGAGGCTAAGAGGGAACCGACCAGAAAGACTGACTCAGAGAAGGTGGTGGTCAATAAGCACTCAAATGAATCTGCTGCTGTAATAAGTTAATCCTGTAGGTAGCAGCAGCAGCAGCAGCAGCAGCAGCAGCAGCAGCAGCACAGACCGTCCTCCTCTCCTCCTACTTCTCTCTTCTTATCCTCTGCCAAGATGCGACACTTCTGCTGCTTTGCAGTCTAGAACTCTCCGATGCTCTCGCTGTGATTACACTGCCCATCAAAACCAACAGCAGCAGCACCTCCTCTCTCTCTCTCTCTCTCACTCGTTCTCTTCTCTCGCTCTCTCTCTCTGTCTTTTGGAGGCTGAGGAGGCTCATTCCATATGCCTCTCCTCAGGCTTCAGCCTATTGGCTACAAAATGAGGAGAGTGATCAGTCCAAAATGTGTGTGTGTGTGTGTGTGTGTGTAGAAACAAACTACACCAGACCTTTCACAGCTATAAGGACTACAATAAAAACTAAATTAAAACTATCTCATCTTGATGTCTTACTTTACGACATCACAAAACTATATCTTCACTAATGGAGACTTCAACTGATGATAAAAATGCTGTTGATGTTTAAAACTATATTTTATTTGTTGTTGTATTAATCACCTGACCAACATTAGTATATTTCTGTCTGTGTCAGATCCTGTGTCAGAGCGTGGACATGTCCACAGTGGACGCACTGTGAAACTGCAGTGGGTCAGAGGAAGTCAGCTGTTGGTGAGGTGACGAGGAGACAGACTGTTACGGTCTGTTACACACCCACTGCAGTTTCACACTTGTTTTTTACACCTAAACATTTTACGCTCTTGTATAACAATAACGTTTACACTGGTGAACACATGATGTCCTTTTGGACAATTACAAGCTAAAAACCAGAGAATTACTTTCCACAGCTTCCCGCTCTCCCCTCCTGCCACAACTTCCCACTGACACAAACACAATGTGTTCTCTTTGAAGTGACATCAATGAGGTTCTGTACAAAATCATCTGACCTGAGAGCTGATCACAACGTGATCACAGGAGATCATTACTATTGGTTCTGGTGATGTTCTTCCTCAGAAGGCTCTAACAGTACAGATGCAGGAACACATTTCTGACATTTAAAATGTTGCCATTTAAGCAAAGCATAAATGACTTCATGGTATTGTAGACATTGTATTGTATACAATGTTGTATTTACAACAGGGTTCAAATGTTAGAGTTTACTAAGATGGGTGTATAAATGACCAGCAGGTGCAGTTGCCTCACCGTGTTCTGCCTGATATGAGTGAGTCTGGGGGTTCGGTCGGCGTCACCATGTGTTGGTGTTTGGTTCTCTCCAGGTGCTCCATGTAGCTGTGGATCATCTGGAAGGAACAGAAACAACACACAGTCACTCCTGAAACTACCACCACCAACACAGAACAGCTTCTAGACATTGTTTTTCTAACCTTTCATACACTCCATGAAAACCTGGCTGGGCCTCAACATTTCAATATTTATTTAGCTCAGACTTCACTGCTAGAGAAAGGCTGGATCTGAATTTATTTACAACCTTGTCCTGTTTACCAGAAATAACCAAACGACAGACAGGATAGTGGAATTATTCACGTACAGTATGTCACAGTCAGATCCACAGTGACTGATGCAAATGCATGTTTGTCAGTGACGGTTCACCCCCCTACAAACACACACCCAGGTCCACCCCACCACCACCACCACTCCTCCTCTGTCCAGCATTACGTAGATAAACTGAAGCCTGTCCAGACACTGAAGCATCTGTTGGTGACATTTGATGAATGACAGAGCAGTGAAGAGGTGAGAGTGAAGCCTGAGCAGAAACAGAATTCTTCTTCGTGTGATTAAATTGTCAGAACCAGTTGTTAGAGCTGTGTCTAAACCAGGAATAAACCCAATCACATTACACAAAAAGACAAAAAATAGTAGTTAAACAAACTACACATTTATCCTAAAAACTACACCTGTGCTATGACACCTAGAATACAACTGTTGTCTGCAGCTCCAGTGCAGTTCCTAAAGTGTGTGTTAGACCTTTAGGGATGACTTTTCTGCAGTTTACCTCAGTGTGTCTCTGGTGCAGAGTGTTGTACTCCTTCTTCAGCTCTGCCTCTCTCTCCTCCAGTCTGCTGACTGCATTACAACGAAAAAGAAGAAGAAAATTAGCTGTGAAAGAGAAGAATCTACCAAATTTGTTTCACCTCTTAAAAAGAGAAGATTAAAAAGCACTTTACTTTTCATTCACATTCACGGCTAGGACTGTTGTTGTAGTTACACATTACATCCACAGGAGGGCACCAGTGTACTAAACCCTCAAATCCATCAAATCAGATACTGTCAGAATAATTTTAAATCTAACCATATTCAAGTTACATTCCTGAAATAACTTATGGGGAGAGAATTGGACCTTTAAAGCACTTTTAAGGACTTTAAGAAAAAAATAATCATACACTGCCCTGTTGTATTCACTCTATCTCAGTCTCTTGTCCCAGGCTTTTCCAATCAGGACACGGACAATTATTCACAACAGCTCATTTAACAAACATAACATTCAGGACCATGTGTCCACAGTCACAAGACCAGTAAACTGTTGGTGCTGCTCACACGGTCCTCTGGTCTGGACCGCATGTGTCTGACTCAGTGTTTCTAAGAATAGTGTGGTTACAGTAAAACCCTGGACAGATGTACAGTGGATGGACTCACTCTGTTCTGCATAGTTTTTAGTTTTCAGCTCCAGCTGACGTGTGTGAGACTCCAGCCCCCCCACTCGACGCTGCAGGTCTTTCTTCTCACCATCCTGGGAATCCTCAAATGCGATGTATCTCTGCAGAAAAAGAATGAATAAAAAATACATTTGAATTAATGCAAAACTGATGGTTCGCACAGAGCAGCAACATAGTAGGATTTCTTGGCAACAAACCACCAGAGAGCTCACATTTACTCCATTTAACGCTGGGTTACCCACAAATTTCCTGAGGTTAATTTATTTTCCATGAAAAGCTCAGCGTAAGGAAATGTTATTTAGGACGGAGCTGAGGGGAAGATTGAGTCAAATAACAAGATAAAGCCGGGGCTGCACTGAATGAACCCAACAACCAAGAAGCAAAGCCTCGACCTAGCTGAAGAAAATGGTTTAAATCCAACACAAAAATGAACAACCACCATGAATATTTGCTGGTTAAGTGTTAATTGTTGTATCAATATTTTCATAAACCGCTGATACAGGCTCAGGCTTCATAATGTGCTTTTGGTAAATATTTTTATGAGTCATTATAAAGAAGCAGAGAGAGACACAGCTCCAAGACTGAGTTTCAAATTGGCTCAACTAATTGGTGAGGTTTAACACATCTTTAAAGAAAACAACTCATTTTCCGCCTCATTTGCTGGACTTCATGGTAATGTCTCTGACATCAGAGCGATAAGAACAACACGCTTGTGATTCTGCATTTCTTGGGAAAATGCAATCTTTTTGAAGCCTCCCTTCTGGTACCTCAGCTGATCAGCTGAGTCCAGGATCACGTCTGTACACATGCAGCCGTGTGATGTGGACCTGCAGCAGAGCCTGGGCACATGTACGAGGAGCTGCGATCACCTGGGCCCCTCGCTCACAGTTAGTTTTTCTTTAGTCCCGGGTCACACTCCAGAACCTGGAGAGGTTTCAAACAAAGGTGTCTTCAATCTGGACCTGTTTGTACACAACTTTATATTTAGCACGATCTTCTGATGGAGTTGTTGAAATCTCTGACCCCCAAGGCCTAACCATGACTTTGCTGTTCATCACCTCTGTGAAAAAAATGAGTTTTTTCTCCCTATTTTTTAAACATTTAAAATTAAAATATGAAAATGAGTTTATGAGATGGCTCTGAGTAAATATTATCGATACACTGCAATACACCATATCCATATTCTACAGCACTACGGATTTTTTATTAGCAATTAACAGTCAAATATCCAACAGTTTCCAAAGCTGTATTTAATTATTAAAAAATAAAAAGACCAACTGACATTCAACCAGTGCCAAAGTGCAATATAAAACTGCTGCAAACAGCACCTCCTAGTACAACACCACCCTTCTGAGGGTGTAGCTCATCACATGACCCCGAGCAGTGACTTTTGAAAATGCTCGAGAGAATTTCTGTTCTAGCGTCACAACGGCCGACTCTTCCCGCTGTGCTGCTCCATAGGGCCGTCTTTGTCCCGACAACTGTCAGCCACACTGGTTCTCATGCACGCAAGCACATGTCTGCTGCAACAGAGTGCGTACACAGCATGTGCACGCACTCACACACATGCACAGAGCTCCGGTGTATTGGAACTCAATTGACAGAGTGGAATGGACTGAGTCCCAGTCTTCAGTGGTTTCTGGCTGATGTGTTAGAGCCACAGTCCACAGACAATGAAGTGAATGACGGGACACAGGCGCACACACGCACAAACACAACAGTTCAACTAAAATGATGAGGCTGGAAATATACAGACATCAGGCTGAGGACACTTTACACACAACTGTAATCAAGTGGCATGCAGTGAGTAACTGGGTGGAGACGCAGTGTGTCATCAAAAGACCTGACTCAACACTGCCATGTCTGCTGCACAGGTCTACTGACATCAGATCTTTCAGAAATAAATGTTGCTGGACCTTGACCTGACCTTCAAACAGCCCCAGGTCAAGTCAAGGACCAGCAACATTTATTTCTAAAAGATCAGGTCAGCTGACAACTTTTAAGCCCTGAATGCCAGGTTTTTCCAGTAACATTTCCGTTTTCTTTCCTGGAGTCACAAACCTCTTCCTACATGACAGCCAGGAGTCATGAGACTCTGATTGAGAAAGGGTCATCTGTAGAGAGCATGAATCAGTATTAAGTCAATGAGGGACATTTACTACATGGGGTTGAGGAACCTTGACCCAATTGTCTACAGTCTCCCACCACTAGTGAGAGTTTTGCTTGAAAAATGAATGCAAATCTGGGCAGAAGACCTTTTCAGGGCACCATGAGATACAACAGCAAATGTGTGCTGGAATCACAGCTAAAGAAGGTTTAAATGAAAAGAAAAAACAGAGAATGCAATTTTTTAAGAACAAATGAATAATATAAATATTTTTCTTTAATTTGACTGATTAAATACAAGTTAAATACTGTTCTGTCTCCATCCAACTCTAAGTCTTAGAAGTTACCAGGCTTTGTTATTTGTGCTGTGGTCTTCTCTGGGGCAGCAGCCGACCGTCAAAGGACTGGGGGAAAATACCATTTTATTTTTACCGGTCTAAGAATTTCCTGCCTTACCTTTTCCTCTGCTCTGCTCTGAGGTCTTTCTCTGGTTACAGAGCAGCTAAAGCAGGACGAGGCTCTTGGGTAAGATCTGCGGCTTCGCTTCTCTTTTGGTCCAAATCAGAGCCTGAATGACTGAGTCCAGGACAAGGTACTAATTTGGTTTAGCTCCTACTGAGAGAGTTTGTCATGTGATATTTTTTCTTATCACTTGTGTTGTTGATTTCCTTTACTAAAAACCCATCTTTGATTTTTATTATTTTCATGACAAAAGCGTATTTTCTCAGTCAAGATCTGATTTATAAGCCTACTGCATGTGGTCCTCACTGTGAACATCTACTCAAACTGAGGCTCTTTTGTTTGTGTCTCATGATGTAGTCTAAAACAAGTGTCAGAATTAGAAGTTTTTAATCTGATAAAAAGTCAGGGGATTTTTTTTTCATAATTATAAAAGACCTCTGGCATCAAAATGTTAAACAATGTTATGTCTGTTTTCAAGCACAAATGTCACAGTTTTGTTTTTATATTCAATCATTCCTTTTGTTGCCTTTTGATCTGACTTTTTGCCTGTTTCATATCTGACACCGTTCTCCTACCAGCACACACATCTTCACTAATTCCATGCACCATCTCTGCTCGCTGCACCTCCATCCATCCACCCGCCTCATTATCATCAACAAAAATGTATTCTTTAACAAATACAATACAATGGCCATCAGCTCCGACATTCATCCACCTTCCTCCACTGACAGACAGAAACTGACATCCCAAACAGTCTGAGGACATGAGCTTTGACATCACTCGGCTGTGAAAGGACTATGACCGTGACACTGCCATGAAGACCCAGCAGCTTCCTGACTGTGGTATTTAACACACAGCGTCCAATGGGAAGAGGACTGATGAGTCCATAACAAACTGCTGGAAAATCCCATATGTGCAGCTCCACCTAATGCTTCAGCAACATGTTGCGACGTGACATGAATTATTTACACTCTGCTTTGAGACATGTTTCACATGTCATTCACCATTCAACAGTCAAGCTGAATGTCAACAAGGTTACAGTGAATACAAAATCATTAACACAATAAAATGCTCCAGATTTCATGTAAGTTTAACTCCTGTTTCCAGGCCAATACCAGCACTAATTTTCTAAGGATTAGGAGTGTAAGACGGCTGAAAATGCTAAACCAGATTAAAGACAAGCTCTTGGTTGTTTTTCAAGGAATTTAAGGTGCAGCTTTCATGTGATGTTGGGAAAAGAGGATTTATAGAAGAAGTGTGTTACACTGTAAATGGACAAACACGTTTAATTAAGTGAGAAATCCAATTATTGTGTTGAAATCATTCATTTTAAATTCTGCTTAGTCAAGTTAGCTCAATCCTGAATCCTACCTGACTCTTAATCTTGTATATTTGATTTCATTCTACAATTATGACTGTAGAATTTAAATCTGTTTGGCAGGGGAAATAATCGCCAGTACACTATAAAACAATAGTAATTCATTACAATTTGCAGTTACCCTTTTCACAAGTCGAATAAAAGTTATAGTTTCTTCATACATGACAAACGTGTAAATTACTTGGTAATTAGTGAATTGCCAGATTTCTGAATGTAGCTTGGCATTGGAATTTCAAACCCCTCACTAAACAACTACTAACTTAGAGTTACAACTGTTTGTGAGTGAGCCGATTTCAAGATGATCTTTTGTTTGTCCTGTAAAGTTACTTTACTTAAAGTTAGTTAAAGTTTAGCTTTATATTATACAAATACAAGAGTAAATAGCCAGCTTTCTGAATGGAGTCTTGCTTTATAAAAAGCAACTCTGGTTTAAAAGAAATTTGCGGTGTTTTAAATAAAAACCCACCTCCTCTGCGTGTTTTCTCAGTGCTTTTTCTCGTTCGTACTGGGTAACGAGCTGCTCATTGTCTTCCTTAAGCAGCTCCAGCTCCACTTCGTGCTCTTGGTTGACAGCGAATACCGAGTCAAGGTTCTCCAGCACGGCTACGACCAGCGGCATCAGCTGCTTCACTACGTCCTCGTCATACTTCTCAATGAGTCGCTCGAATTCACGGTAAATGGAACTGGCCAGTCCGGTGACCCGCTCGGACATGACGGTGGAGTTTGCGGAATCGTCCTGATACAGGTCAACGTCGTCCAGCTCCATTTTTCTGCACTTATTTTTCCACCCGCAGCTAATGATAATCAGCTACAAACACACGAAGCTTAGTTTAAGCGCCGCAAACTCTTCTTATAACATCTCTGAGATGCTGTCCATGGTACATGTTATAGTCCGTTATCTATTTTAATAAAGAATCTACTAAACGACTAACTTCAGGAGCTTGGAACTAGCCTTGTGCTAACAGTGGGGAAAAGTATTGACTTGGCTCCTGTTTAGAGTTTCCCTGTCCAACAGATGATCTGCTGATGGTGCGTTCAATGACGGCAGGAAAAATGAGAACACTGTAAGACAGTTCAGAGTAGAAAACACATTTTATATTTATTTGTTATAAGTCACCTGATTAATACGGAAGAGGACGCGAATCATACAAGCGCTTTCGATGAAGAAGGACAGTTGTAACGTTTTGCCCCAATTCTAAATATTTCTGATATTAACGTCAGCATTTTAAGGTATTGACCTGACGTATGAAAAAATAAATAAAATTAGGATTTTGTTGTTTTTTCCCCCAGATTTTATTTTCTGTTGATACTTTCCAGTTCATATTACACAATTCTAACACTATTGTTTGGATTCTACGTATATTTCCGATATTTTATGGACGAATTATGTAAAGACTATTTAAAAAAAAACAAAACAAAAAAACCCCAAAACAATACCAGTTGGAATTCTACTTTATCCCAGCTATGGATTAAACGTTTACGAGGGTCATTTGAACGTATCAGGATCAACGTCACAGATCATAAGGAATGTGAATTGTTAGTGTGTAAAGTGTTTTTACTGGTCCATACAGTATATTATCAATTTAAAAATTAATTAATTATTTTTAATTACTCAAACTCATAGTTTTAGTCACGGAACGGGTGACGCTGTATCTCAAATATATATATATGTATATATAACTGTTAATATACAGTACCTTGTATTTGCTTTAAATTTACCTGTGATCTCCATGACATTCATACTTACCTAAAAAATGTAATTCTGACTTTAGCTTCAGGTTTAAACCCTGAGAAAAAGAAGGGGAAAATATATATACAGTATATACTGACCTTCAACTTCAAGTTCATCCTTGACCTGAACCCAATGTATGTTTGTTAAAATCCTTGCAAAATCAAATAAATTATTCCACAAAATCCAAGCACAACTTAATTTTCTTCGGGTGATTATAAATCACATTTGCAGTTTAATTCGATTTCAACATATTCTTTGACAAATTAAATGGAAAGTGCACATTCACATCATTTTATGATCTTTTACCCTCTGGACATTATGTTCATGCACCTTTCTAACACTACAGAAGATGTGGAACAAACACAGGTGTAAACACAACAGATTCTTGTTTTAATTCATCTGTAAGAAAATCTGCTTCTCTGACAAGAAGAGAAGACGGGCCATGTGGGAAGAGAAATTGTAGTCAAAATTCTAAAACAACAAGAAATTGGAAGCCACCTAATTTAAATCCCTCTTTTTTTTTCTTTTTTTTTTTTGATTTTCTGACTTATGTGATCAAATGGAAAATGTATTTTGACTGTGATATAAAATAAAGGTCGGCCAGAAAGCTTGGATATTGTACTATGTTTTTTCTATGTGGTCCAGTCTTCTTTTGCAAATATATTTTTCTTTTTTTTTAACCCCAGTTAATGAAACACATATGCTGTAAACACAATGCAGTCTGAAGTCAGTCCATATTTGAAGCATTCTTCTGGACTTTTTTGTTTCTGATGTATAGGCACTGATCATTTTAGTCTCCAAACAACAAACATAAGACACAGTACACTTTATAATGTAGACAATAAGGAAACTCACATTTGACAAAATAAACTCACACCTGTGGCGCTGTATCATTTTTCTGCAAACACACAAATGTTCAGTAGAAAAAGAAAACGGCCTTTGAGACAACCACAGCAGCACCGACAAATATTACACACATTGCACATTCACAGATCATGGCATCAGGTGTTTTTTCAGGCCTGGTATAAAAACAAAGGATTTGAAATTAAATAATTAAAAGTGCAAACAAACCAGCTGTGCTTCAACTTTTCTCTCTGAAATCAATGTTTTTAAAGTGTGGTAAACATGGTCATTAAACAGGTTTGATACATTCAGTGTAGACCACATTCACTGTAAGCTATTTTAAGAATCTGTTTGCTACATTATCTCACTATAAAAGAACGCTTCTCTGACTCCAAACTGAAGTTTCTGTCAGAATTTATAACGTTTACTCTTCCACGGTCCAAGTTCGTGAGTGATGTAGTTTGGAACTTGCAGGGAAACAGGATCTAGTGTTCCAGTACTTCTTTTTGAAGTTTAGTATCACCTGTGTAAGTCTGAACACCTGATAATCAAACCTTAAATAACAAAGAAACATGTTAGCTACAGGTGGAGGCAGCAGAAAATCGACCTCCCAGCCCCCCTTGTATTGCTTATTTAAACACAGCCTCAGGAGAATCACTCTAACCAGTCTTCGATCCACACCAACTTTTAAATCCCTTGTTTTTTAATTCAACTACAATAAGGTAGTGTTCCAGAGGCTGTGTCATAAATCCCGAGCCCGATGTGTTTTTAAGAAAATGTAATTTGTAGAGTAGTTGAGCGACTCAAGAGGATACATGTACGCACATATAAATAAAAGTGGACATTGCGTAGAATACAGGGAGTTAATCTGTAGGATACCTCTCAGATAGTGTTGTGCTGGCTATCGTTAAGGTTTGAAGAGCAGAGGGCAATAGGTCGCTCTGTGGTCAGGCTGTTCAGAGCTCGGAGCACAACATCGGGCATGTGATCTGCCAACATCCTGGGGCTGATCAGAATACTCAGGAATTCAGTTTCTCTGGACCAGTCTGCATGGTACCTGGCCTGGGAAAACCAGGACCTGGGAAAAGAGAAGAGAAGGAAAATATTTATTTTTCTAGCCTCTCTGAGGTTATTTTAACTTTCAGATATAACATTTCAAGATTAAGCCCAAAAAACAGTTTTGTGTGGATTTACACAGGATGGTTCAAATAAATAAGAATCACCAAGTACTTTGATTCAGATATGAGTTGCAGGAACATTACACACCTCCGCGTCGGCCCATCTTCCTTGATATGCAGAACACGCCCAGGTAGGAAGAGGGGTAAGTATGTTGGCTTGGGGACAGGTGAGTCGTCTGAACCCATGGTGTGATAGGACTCTGAAGGACGGATCACCAGAGACTCCTCCCCCAGCAGCGGCAGGCTGAGCTCCTGCTCCCTCCTGTTGTCCATCTCTGTAGGGCAGTCATCAGGTGCTCCACCAAACAGCTCATACCTCAGGCCCTGGAGCAGGATACGGTACTACAGCACAGATGTGGAGAGAGAACACAGTCTGTCAGGAAACGCTGCAGGGACATTTTTTAAACTGTGTTAAATTGTCAGTTTCTACCTTAGGTTTATTGCAGTTTGAAACGATTTTAAGAATTCTAGTCTTCAGATCCTCCATGTTAGGAATACTTAGTCTGTGAAGCAAAGAAACACACTTGTAGTAACAGTTAAACGTACATGAAACACAGCAGAGCCAAACTGCACAATTAGAGCAGAATTAAAGCCAATGATGCCTTCACTGTCATAGGAAAAAACTCAGTCCATTACTGTTTATGAAAGGTCTCCTCGGTGTGTGTGTAACTCAGCAGCGACAGAGCAAACAACGCCACTCTTGTTAACAGTTTTAGGTTATAGGTTTACCTGGGAACAAGATCCTTTCCCAAAATGACAGAGACCACAAAGTCCTTGGAATAATCAGCTAAGGCTTTGCTGCACAGAGAGAAGGAAAAGAGTCAGACTGTCAGGTTAATGAGAGTTTCAATGGAAGAAGACTGAACACAGATGAGTGACATAGTAGAAGAACTTTCCCATGGTTGCGTCAGGGCCATGAATCATGACCTATTATGATATGTTCCTATTTCTGCAGCATTGCATAACAAGGACAACTTCAAAATTAAACTTCACACACACGTGTTTAACATACAGTAACATATTAGCAAAACTCAAACCTGACCTATTCAGTATAAACCTCAACATTCAAGGGACAAACCTTTGCCTCCTGCTGGCTCCAGGTGTATTGTATTTTATACTTCATTTTATTGCATTTAAAATACTAAATGTGCTAACTAGGAATTTTTGGAAAAGAGAAACTGCTGAAAGAGGTCTCAGCCAACACAGTATGTCTACATTGTGAAGAAAATTACTAGGTTAAAAAGAACTGGCCTGCAATTTGAATCATGAGTTCACCAAACTGCGTTTCTTACCTCAAGAGTCCCCCTGGTGGCGAGAATGAGTAACACTGCAGGCTGGGGAAGGAGCTTCGTAAAAGAATGGCCAACACTGCAGCAGTGCCAGCTCCCAGGCTGTGACCAGTAATGACCAGTCTGTACTCCTACAAACACAGCAGGCACAGACACAGTCAGCGGTTCACAGCTCAGATTTCTTTATCATTGCCTGGTGTGGACACTGCATGTGTTCTACAACACAAACAACTATCGTTAAGAACTCTTTTCAACCAGATCAGAACTCAGATGCTACCATTTGACGAGCAGCTTCCAAATAAAAGACTCACCGGTGCAACAGTAAAAGCCTGGTTCAGAATTCCGTCGTTTACCAGCTTCTTGTAGAGATAGGTGGCAGCCTGGCTGATGCCCTACAGAGGTGACAGGGGGTAAAAACAGAAGCAATAAATTGCACTCAAAGCTTATAAAGCAACGCCTTACACACAGAACATTTATCATTATTGGTCAGGTGACAGAAATGGATAAAAGGGGGGAGGGGGGCAGTTGGGGAGGGGGACAGCAGGGGAGGAAAGGGAGGGTGACCTGACAGTTTTAGAAGCAGACTCCACAGTAACTCAATCCAGACCTAATCCTTTAAAGAAGGGGGGTTCTGTTTTTTACCTTGTGAGCGTAACAGGCTCCTGTCACTCCCTCTATTGGCAGGTTCTCACAGTCAGCTGACAAATCTGTAAGAACATCCTGAAGAACACACACTCTGTGAGGTGGTGGACACACATGTATGACATTGTCGTAGAAAAGGGTGAGGAGTCGCCTCTGACCCACCTTCAGTGATAGCGTTCCTCTCACAGCCACAACAATAGCCTCTTGTTTATGATCCAGAGCCACGTAGAAGGGGATTTCATAGATCTGAAATGAAATGATTGATGATCAGCTGAGGGTACCACACCAGGTTGTACCAGTGACAGAGTCTGTGTGTTTCTGGTGGACCTACCTGGTTGTGGAAGCTGACATGAATGAAGTCTCTGTACTGCAAACCAGTGGTTTGTAGGATGGATGAGAAGTGGCAGCCAAGGCAATCTTCTTCGACTATGTCATGCTCTGCTGCATGACTCCTACAGCTGTGCGCGCGCACACACACACACATGCAGTTAGCATTACGCCTGTGTACTGGAAAGAATCTGATGATACGATAAGTATCACGTTACAGAGGCAACGATAAGATATATTGCAATATACTGCGATACTATATATTGAGTTTCTTATGTAATTAAATTGCAGTAAAACTGTCATCATAGTAAACACACAATGCTGTTTCATCTTAACATCAGGTTACTAACATTGGAACAAACAGATCTACATTTGGAATCACTAGAGAAGAAATAAAAGAAAAATTAAAATAAACCAACACCATGAATATTTGACTGGTATCAAATGAAACTGGCTGATTCAAATACGTTGTTTTTTTTTTCAAATGAAAAGAAGTGTGGATTCAGCCAAAGCTGCACTATCATACCAGTCTCCACTAAGTTTGCATGGTCCAGTAAAAGGGTTGGAGAAAATGTAGAGTGGCCAGCCATATGCTGCAGCAGCAAACTGCATCCAGTGAGCAGACTTCTTCAGCTCCAGCTCCAAATCATCGCCCTGCAAAAACAGACATAACAGCACCGGATAAATGTGTGTTTAAATGTGAAAGTAACGTCAAATAATCCAAATATTGGATTCAGAGTGGCTTGATCACCATGGGAGAGGATGGACTGTGAGTGACGACAGAGTCTGGGTCTCTGCTCTGTTCCTTCTTGTCCTGTTCCTGCTGCAGCAGAGCCAAACCAGCTGCGATGTCACTGGGGACCAAATCTGTGTCCTGACCACAACAAATCAGGTGGAACAGTATTAGTTCCAATCTGAAGTTCCATCAACCGCACACTGACACTGCTATACTGACAAAATCCCCTCACAGAGAAGAATCTGTTGAGAAGTTTGGCGATATTGGAAAACACCGCTCTGTTGCTTTCATCCTGTGGCAGACAACAGCACATGATCCTCAGTCTGCACTCCCACACATCAACAGCCAGGGAGCGGGCGGTGGAGAAGAACTGGGTTTGCTCTGTGCTCTGCAGGTTTCGAACCCCCAAAGGCTCCACAGGGGCAGGCTGAGACTGAGGGTTTCCAAGAGGGTAAAACACAACCAGCACACCCACAGCCGTGAAGAACAGGATGATCCAGCTGTTCCGACAAAAACAAAGATACTGTTGGTGAAACTCTTTGACTAATACAATCCCCATGTCACCATCTTACCCAGAATCTTTGTCACTACCAGGTCTGAACAAGGACTTTCACTCTTTTCCAAACAGGTTTTATGGTTGTGAAGACACGAGTCTGAGCAACACTCCTACCTGGCAATCACTGCTGAGATGACAGTGCCCACCGTGGCCAGATCGCAGCCTTTGCTGTCTTCAGACACCCACACAGCTCCCAGGCAGGCCCACACCAGCTCAGGAATGTACAGCAGAGCTCGGAGGTACACCAGTGCTGGCATGGAGCGCCGTGGGCCAGAGTTTGTGATGGTGCCTGAGAAAAATATGAAACAAAATGTAATTACTTCATGTTTACCTCCCTGTCACATGTACAGCGTTTTAAAAAACAACACTCTGCAACTTCCTCTTTCAAAAACGAAATGTTGCCTTCTTCCTTACACACACTAAGTCAACTTTCCCTTTCCACTTCTTAACGCTGTGTTGTACAAAACCAGTAGGTGCATCAAAATGTTCTGCATTGCATAATCCAGAATAACCTGCAGACCTACACCATTGCTCTAGGAGGAATTTCCTGTTTGCCCAACTTCCTGGGCAAGGAACATTTTTTTAATATTTAATCCATAATGACAGATCTTTTCGTTGGTAGTGACTTACTTTGCAGATGAAGCTAGATAAGATTATACTTTTGCAACCACGCCGCCATAAAGGCCGTCGTTTCAGACCTTCTACTGTGTTTAACTGATGAACTGAAGTTCAGTATCATCTGGTTTAGATTCTGACATTTTGAGTTTTAACCTGTCCATTAGTGTCACAATTTCCTCTGTCTTCACTTACTTCCCATCAAGTAAAAAAAACATGTTTTCAGGTTTAAAAAACCTCAATAGTTGTCAAGAACTCACAAAAATGACAAAGGTCAATTTAGGAACTTTACCTTGTGCACTGACAAAGACGATCGCCCATAACGACAGAATAATGAAACCAAGCACAACCAACAATCCCACGAAGTAAGTGTGAAGAACGTCTCTTCCATGACACTCAAAATGACCTCGGTGGTGAATGAAGAGGATCAGAGTGCCGATCCACCTAAAGAAAAGTCATAAAAATATTACAATTCGTATTTCTAATGTCTGTAACCCTCATATACACACAATAATACACATTAAAGTCATTATTAATTAGAAAACGAACGGTTGAACTGTGGCAAATTTAGCAATGACACATTTCGTGTTAAATATTGCACTGTGTTTATGCGTCTGTTAGTTATATTCTCCTCCTCTGGAAGGAAATAATAATAATTTAAAAAAATAAGAAGCAACATACCAGAGTAGACGGATGAACAGTTCAAATGCACCGGGGAAGACAAGGTCGTCACTGGCGATCCCCCATCGCCGACCAAACACCACCATTCCAGGCATTTTTCCAGATTAGAAAAATATGTCCAACGTCGTAAACTGGCGAAAACCAACCGAACCTTTGCCCACAAATACTACTAGACAGTGGGGAAAGTGCTGCTCTTAGGCAACTGATGAGTCACGTCACACATGACTTCACTGCTCGAGTAACTGGCAACGATCTGTATAAACCCAAGTCACATTATGATAAGCATTGTTGCTCAATTACCTTAGAAATGGAGCCAATCGAGCAGCATGAAAACATACACACGGGCTAGCGTCAAACCTAGCTGGTGGCTAGCAAGCAAAATATTAGGCAACGTTCTTAGTTCGGCTAACTGTCTGATTGGAAGTGTTTATAAAATGACACTAAAAAGAACGTATAAGGTAACGTTGTGTGGGTTTAGCAACATTTAGTGTTGCTATATGACAAAAAACTTCTTTATTTTGCTTTTTAGTTGGGAAACTGTCCGTCTTTGAGACCCTTCCCTGATGGAACCGCACCCCGTTGTCTTATATTGTTCCGGGTCTCTGTTCCCTTATTTGGATTTTGTATCCACATTGTAGTTTTTATTAAGTGTAGCGTCATCTATGAACTGAAACGTTTTTTAAATTTAAATTTAAAACCGTTTGTAAAACGAGTATAAAAAATACTGCCGACCCAACGTTCAGTCCATATCAAATATGATATAGAAGGTTTACATGTTTCCTAAGGTTGCATGGCGGTTCCATGGTGTAATGGTTAGCACTCTGGACTCTGAATCCAGCGATCCGAGTTCAAATCTCGGTGGAACCTTCTTATATGCAGTTTTATGATATTAATATATATTAATTTTCCTACATTGAATTCTCTAAAAGTGTTTTAAAACCAGTTCGATTGTGATAAACAAAGGAAACAGCCAACCTGGGCAGTTCGATCGTGATAAACAAAGGAAACAGCCAACCTGTGATGTACTGTGAAAAGTGTATGTAAGTATACTTTACATTATACCTACAGAAAATACAGTGGGGCTTCAAGATACGAGCCAGCCGAAAGTCAATTTTATTGTCAAATATGCCATACATACAGGACATATGACACAATGAAATTGCAGTCCACAGTGTTTTGACTCTGTTTTCTTAATTATTATTATTTTATCAATATATTTGTTTATATCTATGTTTTTGATGTTTAGACGGCGGGGTTAATTAAATTAATTAACAGTATATTTCTGGGGGGCTGGAACGGATTAATTGGTTTTTAGTTGTTTGCTTAATGGGGAAAATGCAATCGAGATAGGAGTGGATCGACACACCAGCAATTTTATAATGTGCAGCAGAAATATGTAATAAAAAAAAGCTAAAAATTAAGCAATAATGCTTACTCCAGAAATAAAGCAGTACAGGACTCATTTTAACAAAGTTTAAACCTTAAGTGAAATTATTATATTATTATTGTTCTATTTAACTATTGGCAGTATGTTAATAGACATTATTCAACTTATACAAATATTTATATTTAATTAACCCTGAATTTTTTATTTGACTCGTAAGTCTCACTGTGATCAAGATGCTTTGTACAAGACATGCAAAGCACCTTAAAGACAGCTCGACGACCACAATTCACCAATGACTTACATCAATCAACAATCAATACAAATATTACAGACATGATTTTGGAAGAAATGTCTTTCCCATTAACAGTTAATGAAACCCAGAGAGTTCTATCCCTGTCCTTTGTTCAAAAGGTCTTTCATGGTGAATGACTCTACCCAACCATCCAGTTTTGGTTTGTTCTTTCAAGGTTGTAGCTGCAGCACCTAATTCTGGAGATAAGAGCTTCAGACTGCTCTCTCTGCAGGTGGATGGACTTATTTGCAAGGTCATCAGTTCTTGATTGCTTGGAAACAAAACAGACCAGTAGTCCAAAAGACTGAGTTAAAGGACTGTTTTCATCTTCATCAGTTATCATTTAATTCAAGATCCCTTTAGTGTAAATGTACACTGAATCTGGTACCAGACAGAAACTGCTTGAAGCTGAAAATATGCGTACTATTCATTCCATCACATAAAAAAGTGTTCAGAATGATAGCATTTGTTTCTTCCTTTTGAATTTTTTCCGACATTTATTGAACATGCCTGTGAAGCACTTAGAGATACCTGAACATATCCTGGAAAGGATCCTCTGGAGGCACGACTTTGGTGAAAGTTTCTGTCTAGACACAAGAAACGGCTCTGCAAAGTAGCGCCGCACCTTCTGAACAAAAGTTTGTTCAACTTCTGGATCTTGAATCAGGATCAGTATCTCCAGAGCCAGGCCAAACGTATCGTTAAGTTCTTTGAATACGTCTTTAGCCCATCGCTCAACCTCATGCTTCTCTGGAGTATGTGTCTCCGAGAGGACAAGTCCATCCAGGATCTGCTCTATGAGCCCATGGGCATACCTTGCAAGGCCGTGGCAGCAGTGGGCCTTAGTAATGCACTTCTCAAGAACGGCAAGTGTCATCATAATGACAGTATACCGGGTTTGCTGCCTTCCAGGGTTTAACTGTGCTGATTCCATGGTCTCAGAGGTCACTGTCTGCTGTTTTATCTCCATAAATGCCTCCCCGTCTCTTGTGTTTATTGGTAGGTGGTCCACACAATGTACATCACTGCTGTCTCTCCATCTACTCTTTCTCTAATATATAATAATAATAACATATTAAGACAGCCATGCTGTTGAATTACAGCGCTCTCTCCTTTTTCCCCATGTCTTCTCGTATCTTCTTTGCTGACATTTTAAATTATGTCTTTAAAAACAATGACGTCCAGGGCCATCCAGTGTTTATAGTGATGCACTTCTGCCTTTACATCTTTCCTTTTCTTGTTTTTCAAGGATAGTTTTTGGACTTCCACACATAAGACCACACTTCAAAGGTATTTTCTGACAGATTAACAACCTTTGATCCAGAAGAAGGTAGTAATGCAGTCTTAATTATGGCTAACGCTTAAGCAAATTTTAAGGAAGATTCCAGATTACAACACGTACACACATGTATGACATTTATGGAAGCTTTTGAATACCAACAAAAAAAAGTTTTCAGATCAATTAAGTTAATTTAGATTATTTTTCACTTCAGCAAATGAGCAAATGTGGATGGGAATGAATGATGTAAATAACTAAATAAAAATAGCCATAAAAAGTTGCAGCCATTTTATTCAATGTCTGGTTCACTGTAACTGTTCATTTACATTGTTGATGATTGTGCATTGTACGTTTTTATAAACCAGTGTTTCCCTGAGTGGGTTACGGCCCATCAGAGTGACTCCAAGGAGTACAGGAGGGCCACACAGGCGGCGTTGAGGTGTCAGTTTAAGCGACAACTGCATCAGTGAATGTGCTCAGTTTTTTCCAAGCAGAACATAGAACTCTGGGAACGTCTCTCTACCCTGGTTTCTCTTTAGCTCTGTCATTAGAAAAGAAATTATTTAATTTTAAAAAGAAGTCATAGGCCGGAGAAATCTCTCGGAGGATGGTTACATCACGGTCAAGGTGTGACAGGTCGTCATGACGCTCCACCACATTGTTGACATGAAGGGTGGCTTTATGGATGTCACCTTGATTGGAGATGTGAGGGTCAGGTTGAAGCAGAGGCCGGGTGTGAAATGACGCTTCGTTAAAATACTGTTTCCTTGCATCTGGAAAGAAGATGTCTTCCAATAACGTGCTATCGTCTACGTCTTTATTTGTATCATTTGCACCTGATGTTTTCCATTTGTGGATGGGGGGTATGTAACGGACCAAGAAAAAGATGGCAAGTAAAAGTACTGCACAGGCGCCCAGACTTATGGCCAGTTTTGTGATGGACAAACAAGTGTGGTGTCTGTGGCTGCGTTTCAAATGTCGCTCTGAATAGAGGAAAACATGGAGCACCATTGTTCTGATGATGGCCTCTTTCATGACAGGGTCTCGCATCAAAATCAGGCCGATCATCACATCACCAAACTTACGTCTCAAATCTCTCAGGACAACTTTAGCCACTAGCTTTGCTCTGGCCAGGTTGGGATAATAGCCCACAGTGATTCCCTCCATTATGATTTGTTCCATTGCCAGATCAACCAGGTGTTTAGAGTACATGGCAGTCGACACGGTGCCCCACATGTCAAGAGCTTTGATCTTGGTGAGCATCGTGTACACCATGGTGGCCACAAATTGCCAGATGTATTTTTCAGTTGCAGCTTTTTGTAGATTCTCTTCAATGTCCAGTGTTTCTTCAACAATGGGCTCTGGTGGAACTTTTTTTTTTTCTTTTTTCTTTTCTTTTGCCTTCGCTTTTGCTTTTGCTTTTGCTTTTACTTTGACTTTGACTTTTTCTTTTCCTTTTACTTTGACTTTAACTTTTGCTTTTTCTTTTTCTTTCTTCCTTTTTCCTCTCTGGCGTTTTCCCCCCTCCATGATGTCGCATCACTACATCCTTCTGGATTTAATCAGGGTTTTCATTAGCTTTAAGTCGGCTGTCTATTTGTTCTGTTCAACAAAAGCAGTCATCCTGGTTGTACTGCAGCCATCTGCTGGTCCCTTTCTTCCATTGTCATCCTGCTGTAAACAGCCCTCATTTGTTCCACTTTAAAGCTATCAAACAGCAAATGCATGTCTTTGATGTAGTTGGTTACATCAGAGCTGTGATGTCATCTATGCAGGGAGTCCACTTCTTTTCTTTGTATGATTTTTACGGGCAGTTGGCATCTGTCTGTAGCATTCTTCCCACTCTGACTGTTCTATTCTCATTCACTTACTTTTCACAGCAAGGGAAACCTGCAGAATATAAACATTATGTTCGATGTACATTGTTGATGAGCAGCTAACGCTGTTAAGCCAATTACCACAATTATATGGCAAAATATGGCATTTGTTGTTCATGAAACAACATGGTTTTTTTTAAATAAATGTGAGCATTTCTGACGTAAAAATGGCCGAGGTACAGCAAGCCCCACCCATTGGCCTTTGACTAACAGCTTGTGCAGCCGGAGATAGCAGCAGAAATAGCTTATCTGTCAAAGGACGGCCCAAAAACAGAAAAAAGCCTGAATCATGTTTTATGAATGTCAGAATAAAATAAAAAGAATGTTGAAAAAAGAAACAACAGGCCCAAAGCTAATCAAATGTTAGACCTCGAGTAGATTAGCTTAGCTTAGCTACTGTATAGCTATTATCTCAATATCTAGAAAACTTCACTTTTAACTTGTGAAAAAAAGAAGTCATGGGATACTTAAAAAATACCGTCTGAATGTGATACTTAGTCCCGGCCTCTGAGCTTAAACAGAACAAACAGATTAAAGCCTTAAAGCCTTAAATATAGAGCCGTTAAAAAAGAGTTAAAGAAGGAGCGCAGGATGTAATTCTAATAAGACCCCCACCACCACACACATACACACACACACACACACACACACACCCTGCTCCCTGCCCTGCAGGCTGCTGTGTGATAACACTGAGGTGGAAAACAACCCAGCTGCTGCCAGCGCACAAGCTCTGCTTCACAAACATCAACTTTATTGTTATTTTTTTTCATGTCACCTTTTATTTCTTTTTCTTACCAAAAAGGGTGAACACAACATAATTTTTTTAATGTTATCTTTGAGCCAGTGATGATACATATGTTGGACTGATGCTTCTTTTACTCACACGGCTGCTGAGGTCGCCTGCTGTTTCTTCTTCTCTGTTGCTGCTGCTCAGGGTGAAATCAACAACATCAAGGAGAACCAGACGAAGCTGAGATGCTGTCAAAGAAGGAGAAGAAGTTGATCGCAGAAATCTGGGATCGACTGAAGCATGTGGCTGAACACATTGGCTCAGACGCCCTGCTTAGGTACGTCTACACTGTCACACTGTAGAATGTTGAGAGAATAAGGACATCAACTGTGATGGCTGTAGACTCCTAACCCTGACCCCAGGGTGCTGCAGACATTACACCACTGACGTGTGGAAGAAAGTAGTACTTATTCAGATGTTTTAGTTAACTTTACATTTGTCACACTCTGTTCTGACAGTTTATTGTAAGGTTTTTTTACATTAAAATTTGGTAACTTATAATCAATTACAAAATAAGTTGTCCTTTAAGGTAGCAAAGAGGATGAGGATGAGAGTGAAGATGAGGATAACGATGATAAAGATTAGGTTAAGGATGAGCATGAAGGCAAAGAGGATGGACAGATGGGGATGATCAGAATAAGAATTAGAATAAGATGACACCGAAGACAGGATGACGATGATGCTGATGATGAAGATGATGCTGATGCTGATGATTTAATCTTCTGGGAACACTACAGGATGTTTGCCTCTTATCCAGGAACTAAGACGTACTTTTCCCACCTGGACATCAGCCCCGGCTCTGAACACCTGTTGTCCCACGGGAAGAAGATTGTCCTGGCCATAGCAGAAGGATCCAAGGACATCAGCCAGCTGACCGTCACCCTGGCTCCTCTGCAGACGCTGCACGCCTACCAACTTAGAATAGACCCCACAAACTTCAAGGTGCTAAAGCTGAGAAGCAGAAGGAAGGAAATACAACTAAGGAAAAGATTAGTATTTGTTTTTAAAAGGACAGGCGGCAAACATTATGAGAAACACAAATATAATGTAATCAAATCCTGCAGTAAGGATTCTAAACCTAACTGTTGAATATCAGACAGAATTCACTTTGTCACAGCACAGCACAGCACAGCAGGGAGTTGTTGATTAACTACATCACACACCACAGCTGGTATTATTATGAATATGTTATGTGCATTCTCCTTTGTTCATGTTGAGAATATAAACGGATGGGAGCTGGAAAAACTAACGTCATCTGTTCACTTCAGTAACAAGAACTCCTCCTCCTCCCACAGCTTTTCTCTCACTGTATGCTGGTCTCCCTGGCCGTCTACATGGGTGAGGACTTCGATCCAGTCGCACACGCAGCAATGGACAAATACTTGTCGGCCTTCGCAGCTGTGCTCGCAGAGAAATACAGATGAGAGACCTGGCCAGTGTCTGAGATATTCCTGCTTCCTGAAATGTGTTTGTTTGTGTATTGAATATGAAATGATAGTTGTTGTATTAATGAATGTTTCATCATGTACAAAGGTATATACAATTTACAGTGCAATACTTAAAAACAGCTATTCCGAATAAAAATGATATTACTGTCAGCATTTGTCGCAGCAACAGTCTGACTTCACCGAGCTTTTATTTTGGTATTTCCGGTTACCGGCAGTGTGAATCTGCAAATAAGCTTAATCAAAAATATTTGGATTGAACATTTATAATTAATATTTACCATTGAGGTTAAGGTTTAATAATTATATTTAACTATTTGATATCTTTTTACTAACAAATACTGTTGACTTTTAAATATTCAAACCACTTTTTAAACATTGTTTGAAGCTAATGCCCTGTGTGTGTGTGCATACAGAGATCACACACACACATTTTTCAAGTTCGGTCTTATCTTCTGTTTAACAAAGATCTTGTACGTGTAATTTGACAGTAAGTACTTCATTGTACATCAAGTGCTGGTGATGGCATTTAAATTAAGGTTAATTTCTTGTATTTATTTACAGGTTATGTATTGTAATTGTTAAATAAAGTTAGATACATGTGTTGAATTGCTGTTCGTCCACATTAATGTTTGGTCAGTGTCTCCTTCTCAGTCCCTGCAGGGTTTGGACTATTCTACCGGGTGATATTTAATACAGTTGTGTCTTAAAAAACAGACGTTCAGGTCACATTTACTGCAATGACTTTTTATTTCCTGGAAGATGACATTCTGATCCAGTGTTCAGGTTTCAGTGTGCAAAGACAAAGATGATCTTCAAGGGCAGAGGCTTCTGGGTTCAGTGGTACTGTCTTCCCAGAGCTGACACCACCACAGCCACAAACTTCTGGAAGGTGGCCTGCACCTCAGGAGTGAAGGCGCTTCCGAGTTTGGCAGCGATGACGATGGTGAGGCAGTCAGCCAGCAGCTGGACAGAGAAGAACAAGTTGGAGATCATTCAGTGATTCACACAGAATGTGTGGGCGTTATTTTATCATCAGTGTAATCTGGTCATTTTTACTTGGTTTTCTCTCCTGATTTTTTCTTTTTACCTTGAAGTTGTCAGGATCCACGTGCAGCTTCTCAGAGTGCAGGACGCTCAGCTCGGCATAGGTGGCCTTGATGTTGTCCATGTTCTTCACAGCCCGGTCCAGACCGTGCAGCACCCTGATTCCATGGGCTGCAATCATTGGGTTGCTCTTGATGGCGTTGGCGTTGTAGAGGTTACCGAAGCCCCCGAAATACCTCTGAGTCCAGGGGTAAACAATCAGACACCTGAGGTGGAAGGACAGTGAAGAAAAGTCATGAGTTCAATGATGAAAACCAATCAGATGATACGCAGCATTTCCTGGATTGGTGTAGAATGAGCAGCCTTATGGTTGTACCTGCTCAGAGCCTTGGGGCCGATGTCCTCATAGTCCAGGCTGGAGAAGATGCTGTTGATGATGTCACGCTCCTGCTCAGTCCATTCAACCATGTTTGCTCTTTGGGTTTTTGTCTTTTTTCTTCAAGACTCAAAGAAAAAATGCTGAGTAGATTCTTCGGCGCCCCCTCTGGCTCTATTTAAATGAACCAGGGTCTCCTCCACCCACAGGAGCAGGGGTCTGTGATTGGCTGCAGATGAAGAGGCTCTGATAAAGCTCAGAACTTTCCAGATGCTTCTGGATGTCTCTATAGCTAGAATCAAGGTCAACAGTATGGACTTTAGTTTAAACATTCACAGCTGATGAATATTCTTGATTTAGGTCCAATCATTTACACTGAAGAGCGCTGCCATCACATCTGAGGTTGGTCCAACATACGTCAGGAGAAGCCTACAGTACAGGTCTCACTAGAAAAGCATGGGCCACATTTGGGCTGTAGAAGACCTAAGTGGGAATAAACTGACACAGAGTACCATGTGTCATTGTTGGGTTCCAAGGTTTGTGTTCCATTTGAAGGCCTACAGATGAGGCCTACAGATGAGGTCTACATGAAAGTCAGATTGAATGACCTTTGGGACTCATTGAATGTCAGCCAGAACAATCTGTAAGCCCATAAAACAATACCCCCATTGTTGTAGCTCAGGTTTTAATGATCTGCTATCACTCTATTCTGTGCCAACATGGGCAAATATACGGGGTCTACAGTCCAGTGGAACCAGCCTAAGTGGGCCCCCCTCTGAAGCCCTTAATACTTATCATGATATACATGTGTAAAATATGAATAGCAATATTGTTAGAATTATTATTAGTAGTAGCAATAGTAATATTTATACAACTGTTGTTTTTTTGCTGTTATTATTTATATTGTTACATCAAATCCTGTTTTCGTTTTTGTTCTTATGGCATTTTTGTAAGATTTAATGTTAGAAAATAATGTTAAAAAACAACCTCCCATGGAAAAAACATGGAAAGGGAGGTGTGGGGGGGTTAAAGACTACTGAACACAGCTGCTTAAATCCACAGTACCATGTGTCATTGTTGGGTTCAGACTGACTGGTCCTACAGATCAAGCCCTGCTGGTTGAAACTATCAAACCATCAAACCCAAATGGGCAAACTCAGCAGGGTAGCAAAAAAACCTGTCAACCCCACTTGGTACACACTAGCTGGGCTACAAATAATGAACTATTAAAATCTGTTACTAGAATGTGTCTGACCAGTAGTAATTATAATAATGTGATATCAAACTATTCTTTGATCTTTGCTACAGTCATGGCCAATTTAAAGGAAGAGCATCATCTGGTCCACATGTGTGGTGTACCAGCTGATGTGTCCTGCATCTTATCTGCCTAAACATACAAGTGTCACTGCCTTAAAGATAATGCATCTCCTCAGTCCCACCCTCACAGCTGTGAAAAATGGGGCCACAACCCTCACTGCAACATGTGGATTCAAGCAGCTGTGTGCAGTAGTCTTTGAAGGGCCCCGCCCCTCTGTTTTCATGTTTTCTTCGTGGAAGGTTGTTTTTTAACATTAAAGCTACAAAATGCCTTAAGAACAAAAGAGAAAACAGGATTTGATGTATCAATATAAATAATAACTGTTGGACTGTAGACCCCGTATATTTGCCCATGTTGGCACAGAATAGAGTGATAGCAGATCATTAAAACCTGAGCTACAACAATGGGGGTATTGTTTTATGGGCTTACAGATTGTTCTGGCTGACATTCAATGAGTCCCAAAGGTCATTCAATCTGACTTTCATGTAGACCTCATCTGTAGGCCTCATCTGTAGGCCTTCAAATGGAACACAAACCTTGGAACCCAACAATGACACATGGTACTCTGTGTCAGTTTATTCCCACTTAGGTCTTCTACAGCCCAAATGTGGCCCATGCTTTTCTAGTGAGACCTGTACTGTAGGCTTCTCCTGACGTATGTTGGACCAACCTCAGATGTGATGGCAGCGCTCTTCAGTGTAAATGATTGGACCTAAATCAAGAATATTCATCAGCTGTGAATGTTTAAACTAAAGTCCATACTGTTGACCTTGATTCTAGCTATAGAGACATCCAGAAGCATCTGGAAAGTTCTGAGCTTTATCAGAGCCTCTTCATCTGCAGCCAATCACAGACCCCTGCTCCTGTGGGTGGAGGAGACCCTGGTTCATTTAAATAGAGCCAGAGGGGGCGCCGAAGAATCTACTCAGCATTTTTTCTTTGAGTCTTGAAGAAAAAAGACAAAAACCCAAAGAGCAAACATGGTTGAATGGACTGAGCAGGAGCGTGACATCATCAACAGCATCTTCTCCAGCCTGGACTATGAGGACATCGGCCCCAAGGCTCTGAGCAGGTACAACCATAAGGCTGCTCATTCTACACCAATCCAGGAAATGCTGCGTATCATCTGATTGGTTTTCATCATTGAACTCATGACGTTTCTTCACTGTCCTTCCACCTCAGGTGTCTGATTGTTTACCCCTGGACTCAGAGGTATTTCGGGGGCTTCGGTAACCTCTACAACGCCAACGCCATCAAGAGCAACCCAATGATTGCAGCCCATGGAATCAGGGTGCTGCACGGTCTGGACCGGGCTGTGAAGAACATGGACAACATCAAGGCCACCTATGCCGAGCTGAGCGTCCTGCACTCTGAGAAGCTGCACGTGGATCCTGACAACTTCAAGGTAAAAAGAAAAAATCAGGAGAGAAAACCAAGTAAAAATGACCAGATTACACTGATGATAAAATAACGCCCACACATTCTGTGTGAATCACTGAATGATCTCCAACTTGTTCTTCTCTGTCCAGCTGCTGGCTGACTGCCTCACCATCGTCATCGCTGCCAAACTCGGAAGCGCCTTCACTCCTGAGGTGCAGGCCACCTTCCAGAAGTTTGTGGCTGTGGTGGTGTCAGCTCTGGGAAGCCAGTACCACTGAACCCAGAAGCCTCTGCCCTTGAAGATCATCTTTGTCTTTGCAGTAAAATAAAACAAACAAACAAACAAAACAAAAAAACGAACTTTGACCAATTTTGTCTGTTTTTTTTTCTTTGGAATGTGTGGTACAGTTACAGAGAGCCACAGATACAGTTATACAGAGCTTCACTTCAGTATCGTCCGTGTGATTGTGTCAGAAGAGGTTTATACCAAATAATCCATCACTGTTTTGGAGGCATCTACAGGAAGTCGTCAGCAGCAGATGTGCATGTCCTCTTCTATAACTCATCGGAAGAATATTATTATATTTTTATGGTAACAATATATTAATTATTATTAAATCACTTTAAGAAGTTACATATAGGAGACGCCATCTAGTCTACGTGTCGACACAATTAAAGAAATGGGATGACGTCAGTTCGAATTTCATGACAAACAAAAAGGGAGACAAACACGAAAAAAACAATTAAAAACTTTGAAAGATAGTCCTTCTTACTCTGACAAATTCTCTTCCGGGCCGGAGAGAACCAGACGATAAGGTGGAATGGACAGTCATTAGGAAAATAGTAAAACCTCATTGAATTCAGCAGGTAGCAATGTTAGCGTTAGCATCGCCCCCAGCCGTCACGATAAACCTTTATTTCCGTTTTCACCTCAACACGATTTAATTGAAAGAAATAAAGTCTGCTTTTAGCCACCAAAGATTTAAAAAATAATAATAAGTGATGTACCGTATCTAATTGAATTTAATAAAAAAAATCAAGTATTCAGAACAATACCGTATAAAAAATGTATTTTGACAGAAATTCTCACGTTAGTGGATCTGGGCGTCACCAGTAGATGGCACAATTGTATCGTCTATCGTCTGACTGCTGCGATTGGCTTCAGTTCCCCTGCGACCATGGAAGGACGGTTTCCTTAAAGTGAATATATACAGTATATATATACACACACATACAGTATATACATACATACATATATATATAGAGGGGGGGGGATTAACGAATATATGCAGGCAACACTACTGTAACTGTCAATAATGTTTGATGGGTTCTCGTTTTTAATCAAATGTTAGAATTACTTTTTTTAAAATAGTATTATATATACATATATTACATGTCGAACATTTTTTTCTTCTTTATTTTTTCTTATTTCACATATTTACATTATTATCCTTTATTTTCTGCTCAAGAATTATTTATTCAAATAATTTGATTTATAAAAAATACATCTTTTTTTGCTCCAGAATACCAAACAATATCGTCTCCATTTCCACACCAACTGTTGTAGTTCGGACCGTAGAGGTTCAGACGGAGGTTAGTGGACTGTTCTGAAGTTTCTTCCACTTCCCTGCTTTGTGTTGACCTGCTCTTAATGACTGAGAACCTACACAGACAGGTTGTGGTTTTTTGAGTTTTTTTTAAAGAACGTTTTAACACCATAAGTCATAACGATACCTTTTTTTCTCAGAACCATTTCATTATTTGAAACTTTTTCTACTGATACAAAGAAGGAAAAACGAGAGAAAACAGAGAAGATTTTTGCTTTGAGAATAATTTTATTTCTCTGACAAGGCGATGAATCACTCTGGGATCATCCTCCTGCTGCTGGAGTCCAGTGGGCTAAGGTTCTCAGTAGTACTGTTTTCCCAGAGCTGCCACCACAACAGCCAGGAACTTCTGAATGATTGCCTGAATCTCAGGAGTGAAGGCGTTACCCTTTTGGGCAGCGAGGACGATGGTGATGCAGTCAGCCAGGAGCTGTGGAGAACGGTCAGGAGAACGTCATTACATTAACAATTAACAAGTGTCAAATATCACACTACTACATTTTAGGATTTACACATGAACTTTTCTTTGTTTGTTTGTTTTCTTTCTTTCTTTTTGTGTTTGTGGTGCTGGATCTTCACCTTGAAGTTGTCAGGATCCACGTGCAGTCTCTCGGAGTGCAGTTTGCTCAGCTCGGAGAGAACGCCCTTGATGTTGTCCAAGTCATTTACAGCCTTATCCAGACCTTTCATCACTGTCTCCCCGTGGTTCTGCACACTTCCATTCTGCCTGATGGCTTTGGGGCTGCTTAAGGAACCGAAGGAGCCAAAATACCTCTGGGTCCAGGGGTAAACGATCAGGCACCTGTGGAGGTAAAATCAAACAAGTGAAAATCTGACCACATAGAGACACAGTTCCCTGAGTTTTGCTGAAGAGTCCTTGTCCAGACCGGTCAGTACCTGGCCAGAGCCTTGCCACCAAATTCCTTGAAGTTCAGGCTACCAAAGGTATCGATAATAATTTTCCTCTCGGCATCCGACCATTGAACCATGGCTGCTCTCTGGTGTTTGTGTCTCTGTCTTTGACTCAAAGAAATACTCAAAGAAATAAAGCTGAGTTATTTCTCATGTTCACCTGCGGCTCTATTTAAATATGCGGCGGTCTTCCACGCCCTGAGGGGCCGGGTCTGTGATAGGGTGCAGATGGAGAGGTTCTGATAAGGTTTGAATCATCAAAACTGTGCCAACGCGCATTTTGCTGCGTCATGTACAACAAACACAAAACGCGGTGTGGTTTTCCCTGCAAGTTTGTACAGTTTTGTGGTGAGAATAGAAAGAAAAGTGTGAATAAAAATGTATGAAACAAAACATTTAAATCCGATTGGAAGTCAGGTAATAAAATTCATTCTCAATTCTCATTCATTCATACGTTGATTATTTAAAAAAAACTTCATTTTCTTTTTTATCTTTATTTATGGCATCACAATAATTTAAATGGTCATTCATTTATATATTTTATCCTTTTAGAAATAATTATATTTTAAGTGATTTAAAGTCAGATTTCATTTTTACCATAAGATAAACTAAACAAAACGAAAACAAGTATTATAAATGAGAGATTTTGCTTGTATATAATACATGATGCACTTTATATTTTCAAACTATGATAAATACATTTTATTATGGTATCAAATAATTGACAGTGTTGGTAAATTTAACATAGAACATTCTACTAATCCTCCACAACTCATTTTTATAAATGAAACATTTCTGCCCTCCGCAGTGACGTCACTGAACACCCTCCATTTCTTTTTGCCCCAGTCATGTTTTGAATCGGTGCCAGTTCTTCCTCTGCTGCTTCATGTTTTTCACATTATCTGTCACACTCATTCTGCCGTTATCTGCTGCTGCCCCTTAGGCCTACACCCAAACACCTAACGCCCGCGGCCTGGGCATTTTTCACGTTTGATTAACCAACGTCATGAACCGACTGATAGTTAATCGATCAACAACCGCACCCAAGTGCTGCGCTCTGCACACACGTTATGTATTTCAGTGTAAAAATCTGCAGAATTCCACAGTTGGAAAACGTTGAGTTGTTTAGAAAGATAGAGCTCGATTAATCCTTCGGGATTAAGACGTTGAGAAAATGAAGGCCGCAGCAGCGGCAGAACAACAGGAAGAACAGGAGAATAAAGAAGTCCAACCAAGAAGAGACTAGTAGTTCGTTATTGTTATCATGTGTGACGCTATTATTCCAATTTCTATAAAATGTATAATTCTATATATTACAGTATATATTGTAAATTATTTTTATAATGTTTAAATATATATATAATAAATATATAAACAGTTTAAATAGTTAAATTAAACCATTTAAATAAATAAACAAACAGTTTCAGCAAGATACAGTATACTAGTATATAAGGTATATTATAGTATTTCCAGGATATTACTGTACATAATATTAGATATTCGATAGATATATTAGTCATATATGTATACATGTACATACACATATATACTTACTTATAGATACATATACAGTACATACATATATAGCATATGTACATACACATTCACATAAACATATATCCAGAATATAGAAATATAATAGTAAAGGGAAATTTCACTCATTAATTGTTTATTTTTAAACGTAAAATAATTTAAATGATGCGTGCATTTCATAATGTGGCAAAAAAACAAACACATTTGACTTCTTGTTATAAATTTCTTCATTATAAATCTCGCTATTGAGATGATTTTTGCTCCTTAGGTTGAGGGCCGTAGATGTGAGTACAGATCGGTCTTTATTCGGTCTTTATTCGGTCTTTATTCGGTGTTAGATGGAGATGGAGCACAAAGTTAGTTCTGTGGATTAGCTTTAAGTGCTATGTCATTTTTACTCACCCCCCCCCCCCCCCCACCCCCCACCTCGAAAAGCTGGCGCTCATTTTTTGATGAGTAACCCCCTCTCTACCCCCCTGTTTTTTTACCAACTTGTGACCACTGTGTGCCCAGCTGATAGCGGCCCTGTAGCCTGGCGTCAGTCCACGGAGAGACCCACTATCAGGGCAGGACTCCGGTGCCATCTGCCACCCGCGTCATGGGACGGTGGGCCTTGGCACAGTCTCCTGTGGGCGTGACTTTACAGAGTGACTGTATTAAAGCCCCTCACCATCACGCTGTCATAATTCCAGTTGTTAGCAGCACAGGAACCGAAGCCAAAATGAGTCTGAACAGCATTGACAAGGAGCGCATCAGGATCCTCTGGAGCAAAATCTCCAAAGACTCTGACGCCATCGGCGCAGAGGCTCTGGGCAGGTGCGTGTATATATATTTACTGCATACAACTATAGGACTAGTAAGTCGAGTGTTTATTGTCTTGTGACGTCATTGCCCTCCTCTCTGACTCCGCAGGTTGTTCGCGGCGCACCCCCAAACCAAGACCTACTTCACCCACTTTAAGGATTTTACTTACAACAGCCCTCAGGTGAAGGAGCATGGGAAGCTGGTGATGAAAGGAATCAAGCAGGCCTACGAGAACATCGACGACATGGTCACCGGGCTGTTGGACCTCAGCGAGAAGCACGCCTTCACCCTGAGAGTGGATCCCAGCAACTTCAAGGTGAGACACACACACACCCGCACCTACGGACGTCACACGACTCCAACATGAAAAGTTAAACTCCGCACTGGTTGGCAAAGAACTTTTTCTCCGCGTCTTCTGCATATATTACGCACGGACCTGCACCTCAGGTTCATGGCCCAACGTCTGCCAGGCGTCATTAGACCCAGTATATTATTTTGCATCCACACAGTTTCTGAAGGAAGAGGAAGAAATGTATTTAGTGAATTATTTTTCCACCTTTTCGGAATTTAGAGATTCGATTGAGGTCAAACGTCATTTGCTGCATCACGTGTTTAGATGCCATTATTTATCTGGTGTTTTTGTGAAATGATTGCAGCTCATACCCATGGGGCTAACTTTGACTGGCATGAACTCACCATGTGACGTTTCTTTTATTTCCCATCATCCCCAGTTGCTGTCTAGTTGCTTCCACGTGGTCCTTTCCAAGAGGTACCCCAACGACTACACCGACGAGGCCCACCTCTCCTTCGACAAATTCCTTGCCAACGTGGCTCTGGCTCTGTCCGAGAAATACCGCTAAACTGCACCCAGTCAGCGACAGGCATATTGGCATAGCGCCACCACATGGACGCTGCCGAAAAATGTCAAATATAAGAAGATACAAATAAACTTCACATTAACTAAAGCTGATGTGTCTCTTGTGGTGTTTTCTGGGATTGACAAAAACATGAGTGTTTATCATTTCCATTGAGTTACTCATATGTTTACTTTCTCAGTCATAATATAATATAACTTTGTGGGTTTTTGTGACATAGCCATGATACCTTTAGCATTTTTGGTGAGGATAATACAGATCGACACATACTTTGTTTAATGTTTTTGACGATGTGTGTTGTTTCTGAGAATTTCTATTTTTGGGGATCGAGTTGTGTAAACGTGAGAGTATTGAAAGTATAACAATTTCAGTAAAGTGTCACATTTTACTAATTTTATGTATTTTCCTCAAGTTACTAGTGACTAGATGTAGTGGTCCTTGATCTAGTGGTCAGAGAGTTAGTCTTCTTAGTGAAGGATCGCAGTTTTTAATCTTATCTCTTGTACATTGCTGAGACCTAAGAATATAAGATGTTTTTATTTTCAATTTTACACATTGTCGCCGTCTGCTGGTCAAAATGAGCACAACCGTCTGCGTCTGACAATCGTCATGACATGAACACAGCATTTACACAGTGCTGTAGCGAACTTAGCTTCTTTAGCTTTTCTTTTAGTCTTACGTTCTTTTCCGACACAACTGGAACGGTATTAATTAATTCGACATTTATTAATTAAGTGACAGCAATTAAAACGAATGACAACTTAATGGTGAATGAACCATGTCAGAAAAATAGCTCCATTGCTCCTTTACTGATTATTATTTTACAACCAGTTTCTTCCAAAACTACAACCAGCTCTATTACTACAGTACAGTACAAGTACAGTTTTATCATGGCTTTGACTCGATGATTTGAAACTATGAAAGCATATTTTTAAAAATATTTTATAATTTTTAAGAAGAATTAAATGAACAAATTAGCTTGAATCACACGGCAGCTATAAAAAATATGCATGGAGGAAGAGTCAAATATACAGTAGATGCACATGAAGGAATAATGTTCGTAGCTTGAAGTTCATTTTAGGAAAAGTCGGGTTTTCTTGTCTCCCAACATCAACCTGTGGACAGAGACAAACTTCAGTCACAGATGTTTGTGATCCCAGGATCACGTGGGACGGATGAATGGTTTCATTCAAGGACAGAGACAGATGAGGTCTGACTCTCTCAAGGTCCTACGCTACCTGATGAAGAGAGCGGTGAGCAGCGCTCCGCAGGTTGGTCCCACCCAGTAGATCCAGTGATGTTCCCAATGATTAGCAGCCACAGCTGGTCCAAAGGCCCGGGCGGGATTCATACAGGCACCAGACAGTGACCCTCTGAAACAGAAAGAGCTGGTGTCTGGACCTGGACCTGGACCTGGAACCAGGGTCTGGTTCAGAGGTTTACAAGGATGCGGCTCCTCATGTGACCCAACATGAGACTGTGGTGTAGATATAAATATTTTTTGGCAAACTAATGGCAACTTCTAAGCTTTGAGTTTCAGTTAATCTCAAGTAGCATCTGTGCTAACCAATAGCTATGTGTGTAAGCTTGTGCTTTTAAACCTGTGCTTTTTCCTGTAACTTCCTTCTCACATAAAATCTGTTTTTTTTTTTATCTTAAATCCAATCCTTTATTTCTATTTTGATTTTGAAAAAAATCTAATCATTTTCCAAATGTGATTGCGAAAATTGACCTCCTACCCTGCCAGTATGTTGGCCGTCACACTCAGTCCGATGCAGAACGGCGCCCAGGACGACCTTGTTTGTTTGTTGACGGTGACCATACAGACCACGGTGGTGAGGATCAGAGTCAGGACCAGTTCAGCCAGAGTGGCCCGGCCCAGGTCGGTGGTCCCCGGGTGAAGAGCTGCTCCCACTGCAGCCTCGTACATGCTGGGAGGAAACACAGCCTGGAGGGGGAGGGGGTGAGGGCAGAGTGTGTGTTAGTGTGGACAGGAGGGTGAAAAGGTGGCAAAAGATGAACAGATGACAGAATGTTGATTAACCAGTGGTTCTGAAACTATGGTACCTGTGCCACCGGTGTGGCACTTGTGCTTGGTCTCCCTCTAGGGGCATATAGGGGAATTAGATTTTTATTAGAACTTTGTGAGTCAAACACTTCTTCTCCCACGCCCTGTGTGTGTGTGTGTGTGGTACCAGTTGTAGTACTACTTCATTGTAGTGTGTCTAAATTTCCTTCTCTATATCTGAACTGGTCATACTGGTGGTCCTAATATTTTCAGAAGGGGTGCAAAAAGAACCACACACACACACACACTGACTGAAACAATAGGAAAAATGATGTTTCAACTTTGCCTAAATATCATTAGAACTCATTTTTCTTCACCTTGGCCAGGGCGGCACCGATCATCCCCCCGATGAGCTGAGCGACGACGTAGGGCAGCAGCAGCAGCAGCTGCATCCCTCCACACAGACACACACTGAGAGACACGGCCGGGTTCAGGTGACCACCACTGCCGCAGACATAGAGGGGAGACGTGAGGGAGCTCTGACATCAACTGTCACATGGTACGCAGACGTCAAACAGCATCAACATAAAGTCAAAGGTGATTTATTTGTCATGGACATTTTGTTTAAAGTTCACTGGTTTGTGACAGAAGAAAAGCAGCGCAGCTGAGAGTGAAGCTTTGGGCAGACAGTAGTGAGAGCTGCTGTGATGTTTGGTTTCAGATGAGCTGGAGATGGAGATGAAGATGCTGATGATGAAGATGGACACAGGCAGAGACAATCAGATCAGAGGGACAGTGAAGGTGGAGAAGCTGAAGGAAGGCAGCCAGAAGAACGAAAGCAAGAAGAAACCAAAAAGAACTTTTAAAGAAAATGTTTAAAAGGGACAGTTCAGAAATATTAAAGTTGGCAAAGAAAAAATAAAAATCCTAAACCTGGAACAAACCCACGCTGCCACACATGACATCCTGTTGCCATGGAGCTGACAGACTTTACCTGATCTGGGCGAAGACCACGATGAGTGTGGCCAGACAAAGTCCATGAGCCACGGCTGGCTGCACGTCTCCGACCGACTCCGCGTTCCCTATGACGGACGCACAGCCCACGAAGACGAAGAGGGCGGTGCCCAGCAGCTCGCCCACGCACGGCTGTACACACTCCTCGAACACCCACTGCTGTCTGTTCTCCACCTTCTCCTCCATCTCAACAAAGCTGGAGACTCCAGCTCCAGCTTTTTATACCTACACGTACATGAGCAGTGCTGGGAGGACGGATGCACAGAGCCCAGAGGACACATCTACACCCACCGCACCGACCACACCCACCTCCACATTCCTGCTGATCATCGTATTCCAACACTGTTGAGAATTTAGAGGTTCATGAAGTGATTATCAGGAGAAGTCCACAGAGATAAGACGAGGACAATAGAAAACACGTTTTGTTCTCTCTCTCACACACACACACATTTCATTCAGTCATTATTCCTGGTTCGTCAGAACGTCAGTCCGTTTCTCAAACAGCATTAGAGAAAAACACATTTTTAATGGAGACATTTTTGTGACTTTTGAAGTTTGTGACGGGACAAAAATAAAAGCTTTTACCTTTTATATTTCCATATAAATTAGTAACAATTTATTTCTGTTTCTTTTTTTATTTATTTGCTAATACCCCTTTTCTCTGGAAAAGAATTCATTTTTAAAAATTGTATTTATAGACTTAAACATAGTTCAGTTTTTAACATTTTCCCCTTTTGTTCATTTTTCTGATACTTTTAGCTTAAAAATAAACAAAAGTCTTTTGTTTTTTTTGCAGTTTTCTTTGTAAAATAGGTAGGTTTTAGTTTTTTGCTTTGTCTTTTATTAAATAATAGTTTTTGTATTTAATTTAGAATTTCTAACAATTTGTTGTTAAAACAAAAAAACAGTAGAAGAAATTATTTCTAAAAGCAGTTAGAGTTGGAACCTTAGTTTATCTCAGTTAAATAATCATTTTTAATAAATTATCTATGTTTTTTATTCCTCCAGGAACCAAAGCATTCAAATTAAACCATGTCAAAAAATGAACAGATTTTGAAAACATTTTCTAGCAATAAAATCTCCAAACCTTAAAAACCACAACTTTCACATCTGTGTCTTCAGTCGTTCACACAGAGCCAGTGAAACAGTGACGAGAGAAAACACTGATGTTTCCATTTATTCACCTGCTCACCAGCACCAACACAGTTTATAGTTTTAACACAGTTCTTCACCGACTCATCAGTCAACAGTGACAGAACTCTTCTGGTCAGTCTCAGCTCATTTCTTTCAAACGCCATCACGATGCATGATGCGTAAACACCAGCAAGCAAAAAAGTCTCCGTGGTCACAGTATCGTAAATAAATACATTTAGTAAAAGTGACAATGGATCCAGATGTGATCCAGATGAAGATTCTGGACCAGGTCTAGGTCTCAAACGCAAATTCATCAGTTCCACTCACTGCAGAGCAGGTCAAAAAAAAGAAAAGAAACTCTGAATCCGACTGATTGATGAAGCTCACATGATTTATGTCACAGCTGTGGTGGTGACAATGGTGTCGTCACCTTCCCTCGGCGCTGCCTCTGCCTCCTCCTTACCTTCATGGTGAACTTCACTCCACTCATCACTCTGATCAAATCTGCAGGTTATTTTCTGGAGAAGATTCCAGACTCAGAATGTCAGCTGAGACAGACCTGAGGGCACAGAACATCAGCCAAATGACTAGGGCTGTGTATTGGCAAGAATAAATACGATACATATGACATATATTGAGGTTTTTTAACCAACTGTAGTGAATCTGTCATCATAGTCAACACACAGTGCTGTTCCATCTGAACATCAGGTCACTAACACTGGAACAGAGGGATCCACATTTGGAATCACTAGACCAGAAATGAATGAACCAACGCCATGAATATGTGACTGCTAATTATTAATAATTTATTTGCTAAAAAACAAGTGAACGTCACCAGAGCCCGTGAGTCATGTTGTCAACAGTCTGACATGAGACTGAGGCGCCACGGTGACGCTGACTGATGGTTCTAGGGCTGAGTGCTTCCAGACCGTTTCTGTAAGTTTGTGTTCCTCTTATACAACAATAATCACAAACAGAAAAGACCAGGGAGATTTACCCAAGTTGAGTTTGTCCTTGGAGGCCCAGCAGATGTTGTAATGTTGGAGAAGCTGTTGCAAAAGCTCCTTCTCATCCAGGAACTCCAGCGCTTCAATCCTGCAAGGAATTACAGAAAGACAGCAACATTTTTTTCTGGTGAGCTTTCACAGCTGACACAGCCATAAATCACAGGCAACATCCCATAAATAACCAGAACCAGGACCTGGTTCAGCCGGGATCAGCAGGTCATAGAAGATTGGCCTCCAGCTCAGTTCTCATCATGTGTATCTCAGCTCTGTCAGATAATCATTAGCCCTGCCTGAAGTCACTGTTAAAGTGCAGTCTGTCATTGAACACCACAGAGGTCCTCACTGTTCACCTGAGGATTATCCACAGTTAACTAACCTAAATTAGTCATTTCCTATGTGTGTCCTACAGCTACTGAAGTGTTAACAACAGTTAACACGTTACTAACATTAACCAATACATTACTAACTAATGATTTGGTCGACAGAACTGATTAAACACGCACACAGAGTATTTGTGTGATATGCAGTACACTCATGCCACATCAAAATGGTAAAACTGATTTTCACACAGATGAAGACAAATAGTATATCAGTCCATCTGGGCGCAGTAACGGTGTGTACTGAGTGAGTACCTGCTCACGTCGTCCTGAGGAAGTACGCTGTAGACGGTCATCATATCCAGAGCGTCTGTGTTCTCCCAGCCCGTACTCAGAAAACGCTCTTTCTGTATAAAAACAAAAACAAAAGAAACTTGTTTTACTGGAGAGTCAATTATAGAGCTATGTTTAGTCTTTCCACGGCCAGGACGAAAACCAAATTCTTCCACCTGAATCCGAGGGTCGACTATCGGACAAATTTTCCTCTCCACTTCCCTGGAATAGACTTTTCCAGGAGGCTGAGGAGTGTGATCCCTGATAGTTGGAACACACCCTCCAGTCCCCCTTAAAAAGAGGGACCACCACCCTGGTCTGAACACTGGACCAGCTCTATACTCCCCACAGGGTGCTGGAAGAAGGAACTGAGCTAAAAGTCTACATTCCTACTCTGACCCATAGTCCTGGACACAAGTTTTTTTTTGTTTTTTTTTTCAAGGAACGGGTCGTACAAACCAAATTTCGTATCACCTTCCCTGGTGCATATGACAATAAAGAGATTCTGATTCTGATTCTGAAGTGGTCGAAATTAGCTTTCTCTGCAGGGTGGCAGAGCGCTCCCTTAGAGATAGGGTGAGGAGCTCTGTCACCCGGGAGAAGCTCGGAGTAGAGCCGCTGCTCCTCCACATCGAGAGGAGTCAGCTGAGGTGGCTTGGGCATTTAAACAGCATGCCCCCCGAAGGTGCTCGGGTCGTGTCCCTCTGGGAGGAGACCTAAGGGAAGACCCAGGACACACTGGAGCGACTATTTTGCTTGGCTGGCCTGGGAACGCCACAGGATCCTCCCAGAAGAGGTGGAGGAAGTGTCTGGGCAGAGGGAAGTCTGGGTGTCCCTGCTCCGACTGCTGCCCCCACAACCTGGCCCCATATAAGGGGGTGATGATGGATGGATTTTATCTTTCACGAAATCATGACTTTAAACATGTGCCGCCCTGACCTGAGAGTCTAAGGACTGACAGGCCTCCACTCCAGTCAGACTGCACTGACGACGCTGCAGGTTCTCGATCATCACTTGACCAAATCGATCACTCATGTTGACCTGGACACACAGATGACAGCGCACCAATGTTTGAATGTCATCTGTTTCTACTCTTTATACATAAAAAACATTTTTAGTTTGTTAAAAGAAGCATTTTTTCCAAATTGATGTTTGTCAATAAAAAGCAAAACCTGGAATAAAATAAAAGTGACATTTGAGAAGATTCTTATAGAATTCTTATCTTATTTATATTTAATCTTCATTCATTCATTTAATCATTATTATTATTACTATTATCATTCACCTGTTCATAATTGATGAACATGGCAGTGTGGAACGTCTTTGCAGCCCAGTGAAGTAGGCTGAACGACTGAGGTGGAGTCATGTAGACCAGAACACACTCTGACAGGAAGAGTGTAGGTAACCTGGAGAGGAGCAGAAGAAACACACGCGGCTTCGGTTTTTATCCATTAAAAACACACTATTTATTTGTCAGTTGACCAAAATAAAGCACATATTTTAGAAATGATCAGGACTTTTGTTTATAATATAATGTTAACAGAATATTTGCTCTTAAAAACCTCTGCTGTTAAATATCATCACATACTCAGTGTTGAGCTGAAACTTCTTCAGCTTGGACTCCAAGTTGGCAACGTCTCTGAGATCGGCAGCAATGATGCAGTAACGATCTGAATCCAGACTGCGGGAATCTGAAGAAATTAAATAAAAAAGCCAGAGGGAGATTTGTCAGCAGGGAAATAAAAATTATTTGAAATGTTTGAGGAGAGTTCCTGTGCTACCTAAGAGCAGGGAGTCTGTCGAGTGGGTTTCGACAATGGGTTTGGACAGAGGAGGTTTAGTCCTGGTCAGAGAAAAGAACACAGTTTGGATCCATTAACACACCCAGAAAAATGGATTAACTAACATTTACACTGACAACAACCTGAAATGAAAATGATCATCTGATGATCAAGGACCTTTATTTTAGTGAAAATTGATTTTTTATTTTATTTAAAGAGCTGTTAGCGTAATTACTGACCTGAGTATGAAAAAAAATTCTAAATGATTTCACGTAACAGATTTTAGATTACGCTTTCAGCCCCAATTTTCTCCTTCTCAAATTCATTGGAAGCAATTTCTGTCAAATACAACATACACATAAATATTTTAAATTCTAATACAATTCTGGAGTATATTAATAATATACATTATCACATATGCTTCTTTTTATTACATGATGATTATCAAAACACTGTTGATGATTACTGCCAGGTTTGTAAAAGAATGTTTGTCGCCCCCTACTGACCCCTTGCAGACAACACACAAGTCTATCATTTAAAAATAAAAACCCTCACTACTTACACTTTGAGCAAACTTTTTTATATGAATATTTATCAGCTCAATTATTTTTCTGCTACATTTTCCCATATCATAGATACTGTTTATATTCAACACGTTTAAGCAAATTTAGTTAAAGTAACAGACATATTTATGATATTAAGGAGGAAATTATATTATAGCAGCCACTAATGAATAGTTATATATCGAACATTACAATATTGCCACAGAACTGGTGTACAATCATGACATGGACATAAACTCCATCTACAGCTCATATCTGCAGGGTTGAACTTGTAGCTGCACTGGTTCCCAGCCTTACTTGATGTTGTGTATTTTTCTGGCCACAATCGCAGGAAAGTCAACTTCAAAGAACTTCTTTGGCAGCAGATTCTCATCCTGCAGCAGAAGAAGCAGAACAACACACACACACACACACACACACACACACACACACACACACACAATTAAACTATTGCTCAATGTCACAGTGGAAACACACCAAATATAATCAAACATGATTGTGCATGAACATGTACAACATGAAGTGTTGTACCTTTAGTCTCCAAAAGGTGGTGTCCAGCCCAGCGCCCAGGTTGATGACCTGACAGTCACACTGCGTTTTCCTGATGAAAGCATCAAGCAGCTGGTTCACACCCTGCACTCGGGCGTAGTAGCCTGGCACAACAGACGGTAAGAGTTGAGATGAGCTGAGAAAACTATGGCTACCTGAAAATACTAGGACGAACCAAACATGACAACAAGACATTTCCCATAGATCAAAGCAGAATTTCACAAAGAAAAACACTTTAATTTAACAGCATAAAAAGACAGACATCAGCTCACTGGTGACATACATGCAGTATTTTGTAGTATATTTACTTCAAAGACAGATATTTGATTTGAAAAAACACCCAGTGTTTCACCTCTGTTGATTTCTGGAGCCTTTCTCTCTCCCACAGACCGGACAAAGTACTGAATGTATGGATCCTTCCAGTAACCTTTACTGGTAGCAAATCTACAGAAGAGATGAGAAACTGAATAATGATATAATGTAATTATAAACAGTGTTTAATATTTCAATCATTTAATTTGTCATAATCAGGACTTAAAGCAAGTACAAAATACATATGACAGTTAAAACAATAAATTATTGTGGTGACAAAAAAGGATAACATCAATAACATTGACTAAACACTGGAGAGGTTTAGAATACTGACGCTTAGGTTCAGAGAAATACAACACTTCCCCCAGTAAAACACAAAGAAATACACACATTTGTTTTTCTGTTATGTTGGAAAACAAATATGACCCAGAGATGAACATCAAAACACTTCGTTTACAGTTTCTTTAATCCAATGACTATTATGTCGCTGTAACAGAGGGCAAACAGACACACACACACATTTATTATGATATAATCTAATCTAACATGAGAAAATATACACACATATTATATTCAGATATACACAAACGTATATACAAACTTAAGTATATATGCATATATAAACATAAGAAACATTTAGAAAGAGAGCATTTATCATGACTCAACAATCCAGTCGAACACTGACAGATCATTAATTTAAAATAAAACATTAAAGACATTTTAACCTTTTTACACATGTTAAATTCTGCTGTTATCTGAATGGTAAACCATGACAGCAGTATGTCTACCTCTTGCAGGTGCTGGCGTCGTCACAGGTGGCCCTCACTGCTTCATCTGCAGTGTCCGAGTCTGTGAAATGCGGTCGAGCTGCCATGACGAGCTCAGCTTTTAGCTTTTTTTATAGCCTAAAAACGAACATGGACATGCACCCGGAGCTCCTCACATCCACCTGTTCTACCCCCGCCTTTACTGAGCTAACGGGCTAACTGGGTTTTTATTTTTAAGTTTACGGCTTTAGAATGAGCTGAGCAGAGCACAGCGCAAACTAGAAACACAGTCGAGGGATCTGCATTCACATTTAGGTAAAACGTGTAAATAATATGAACTCCATATGATTAGAATAAAGTACTACTCACAATTATTTACTGGCTTATTCATGCTATCCTTAGCAATAGCTAAGTTAGTAAGGACAAGCCTACACCGGAAACGGAGGCAGGTAATTCCGGTGTAAGGATTTCAGTTTAAAGGCATATCTGACGTCACATCGACATCCGTTTGTACGTTTATGCCGTAAAGGAAAGGGATTTTATTTAAAAGTTTGTTGCGTTTTGTCTTTCATTTACGTTTTTATTGCAATATTTGCGTCTACTGTTGTAAAATTAATTTTCATTACAAACATTCAGTTCCTCTTCCTCCCTGTTATAAAGCATTTACAAGACTTAAAGTCAAATACAAAATATTTTTTTGTTTCATGTTTGTGCACAAAACAACAGTAGAGTAGACGTTGTTTTTTCTTATACTTTATTTCTTTGGAAAGGATATAACCAAGCATTCATATTACATACAGTTTTTTTATTTCACAGACAGCATACATACAAAACTATGGAGCTTAAAATTGCAGCAATGACATTTCTAGTTTACTTTAAATGGCATTTGTTTTTATCTTTTATTTAAAGAGCATTCAGATGCAGAGCCCTCTGGACGCACAAGGCATAAGGCAGCAAGGTACAGGGAAACTCTTTCCAAGCCCTATAACACGACTCGCTGAGGTTTTTCAAAGCGACTTCAGCATCCGAGACTCTCTCCATCGGTACCGTGACAAGTCCAGGAACCAAACTCTGCATTACATTTGAGGCTGCAAAGCTAAGCTGAAATAAAAAAATACAAAAAAGACATTTCCTTCCTCATCTTTCTCTACATCACTACTGATGTTTCACAGCCCTGTGTGATCTCAGCTCAGTGAGAAAGACTGAAAATGACAAAAACAAAAAAACTCCACCATAGGAAACGACTTAATGGCCTGTGTTTAAGTGCAATATCTGCCTTTCTACTGTAATCCTTCTGTTCAGGAAGAAAAGGCTGTTAAAAATAAAAAAACTAACAACACATCTCCACTCACTACATTCACTCACACACAGCCTGTTTGTTTGTGTTCTGTCCCTGACAAAAACACAGCTTCAGATGGAAGAGAAAGAAAGAGAAAGGCTAAATACTGACTGCCTTCAGGCCTGGAGTTCAGCCCTAAGATACTTCCCCGAACAACAACAACCAAAAAAAAGAAGAAAAAAAGAAATCAACAAATTTAAATATAAAAAATAATCTTGCAAAAGAAAAAAACCCACTGTAGTAACACACAGTCAAAATAAACTTTCCTCACATCCCTGAAACGTCATGTTTCCTAAGACAACTTCCAGGAAATACTGTAGAACTGAAACATGTTCCTCCTTACAGTAAATGTGTATTTGCTTCATAAAACATTAGGTCCAGCAGGAACCGATATAAGGCGTGTTTTTTAAAGGTCTGTGTTAATGACATAAAGCCAGTAGGAATGTGTGTTTGGTAAATAAATACAAGAGGAGGAGTAGGAGGTGGGAGGAGTCTGTGTTTGTGGGGAGGTTCTTGGGAAAAAAAATAACAACAGGAGAAGAAGTCTGTGGGACGACTGGAATCCTGCAGCAGTCACCAGCTACACACAACGAGAGTTTTGGTTTAGACTTCACCTGCAGAGGCTACAATAATGTGGAAACATCGGGTTTGTCTCCTAAGGCCATTCACCAAGAGTAAAGAAAAGGCCTCATATCAAACTCAAGAGCCAACCCTGGTTCACATTGGTTTCATTTTTCCAACCTAATGCACCAGAACCGTTCTTCATTGTCCAGAAACTCTTCATATTCACGCATCTGAGTCCAAAGTTTTCCAGGAAAATGCTGGGTTCTTTGCACTGCTGATTGTCTGGAGCTTCTCCTGTAGGGGGCAGTGTGGTGTGTGCAGCTCTAAAATGGTCTTCTCAAAACTACACAGCACCTTCCTGGAGGTCAAGGGGTCAGGCTGTTTGAAGTGTGGATGTATGAGGTAGTGACTGTCTTTGATGATGTCACTGACAACAATTGTAAAGTCATTGCTGGCATGACGTCATTACCTCATATACAGACACAGCTGTTCAAATGATACACTACTGTAGAAGTACAGAATGGCTGGTCGGAACTGGATCTTTTTGGATTGCTTGTTTTGTTTGAAAAAAACAAACAAACCCAAATTGTTAACTATTGCAATAAATACATTTAATTTTTAAATATTGTTTTTAAACTACTATTAATAACTTTAAAAACATTTGTGTATCCCACTCCCAAATATGTCATATTATCTGTGAAAAGTTATAGAAAATAAAGATGTATATTATTTTATTTTAAACTTCACAAAGAATCGGTGCCAATAATTTGAAACCTTTTAGATTTTAACCAAATGTGTTCTTCTGACTGAAAACCAGGAAAATTAAAGAATATTCATTAAATAAAAAAAAGTTTATCAATACATTCCTATGACCATCGTGACCACCAGGGGATGTGGTATTGCGTAGCTTTGAGCAGAACTGGGGCTGTAGGGGGCGCATGTAGGATACTATCTGTGGTGTTACTGGACCTTAGCAGATCGGTCAGTGTCGCCCTCTACAGACCCTTACAAGACAGTGCTCTCTGTGTCCAGGTCACAGTCTTTGGGATGAGGCAGGAAGGAGGATGAGGAGATGGCAGAAGAGGAGGTGGTGGACAAGCAGGAGGATGTGGCTGGCTGCTGGTCTGCAGCCAACTCCGGGACAAACGCTCGACTCAGACCTTTGAACATCATGGCCGGGTCTGGAGAGAGTAAGAGAGTGAGAGAGAGTAATTATTGTTATATTTCCTTTAAATCTCTTTCTGTGCTATCCTTAGTTAGCTAAGCTCAGCTATATTCCTCAGTGTGTTTTTTTTGTCTTACACCTGTGATATATTTACAAATGTTGCAACAACTGCTTACTGACTGCAACACTTCTTTTGTCAATTTTTCCATAAACCTATGACATCATTGATCAACATTTGTTTCTTTTTAGCTTTTATGGTCATAAATGATAATTTCCCTACCAAATGAGCTGATCTGATATGAGTGTCTGTTTGACCTGTGTCTAACAGTTCAGCTGTAAAAGACACTTTGTCTCAGCCTTCTGTTCACACACACACGCATACAAAGCAAAGGACAGACACACAGACAGAGAAACGGTTCATGTCCACAGGAGGAAATCTCCAGAGTTGATCACAAACACGTGCAGTTCCTCCTGCAGCAGGAAAACCCCTGAAAACCAAGTTTGATGTTTTCACACTAGTGTGTGCAGCGGAAAACTGCTGTGAAACAGCAGGTGGCACCATTTAGTCACAGAATGCAAGCAGCCTCTCAAGCATGAACAGCAAAGCATTATAAAAGTGGTTTGACCTGTTATCAGCAGCCGAGGTCAGAGGTCAAGTTAGAATGGAGATAGAACAGATTTGGTCACAGTAGGTTCTCGTTGTGCTGCAATATTGTTATTACATGCAACGTGAGCTGAGACGATGTAATAACAAAGAGAAGGTGATGATTGGAAAAAAAATGAATAAACAACAAAACACTTCACTTTTTAAGATGTGCTCACTGACAGCTGAGGCTTTGAAAGTGAACTCCTGTTTTTAGTCTTGAGGAAGTGAGGAGGAAAGAAATCACTTCCAAAGCCTGACTGATGACTTGAATTAAAGTGAGTGGAAACCAGGGCCAGTGACTCATGATAAATGATAGCCCTGATGCTCAGACCTCTGATTACTAATGCTGCTGCTGCTTCAGTGTTTCTACCCTTTCTGGGACCAAGTGGAATCAGAGCAGACGCACAGGAAGTCCTCTGATGGTTTCCACTGATCATTTCTCTGTTGTTCTATTGGTTTTATTTGTGACATAGACTGTTCTTATTGAAAAAAAACAACATGTGAAACTGGTAAATTTAGATCTTTGTCTTTTTTCTGTTTCCACATTTATCAGTGAGATGTTTCAATCTGTAAATCAGCACAGGAAATGAGGTCATCACCTTTGTTCCTCTAACAGAGAGTTGGGAATTTTTGTCTGAAATATCATCATCATCATAGCTGTCCTGCAGGGCTTGTACTCTGATCTTTTATAGAAAGTGTACTTGGGATTTTGGGAACAGTAACACACAATCATTAAGTCAGACCCTCTCACTCTGATGAGAGTCAGGCATCAGGGCTAAAATTAAAAATGTCCAAGATGAAAAATAAAACATCTAAGTCCAAAACCAAGTTCTACTCCATCAACAAACCTGACGTATGAGTGTCTTTAACCTGTGGGGTGTCGGAGCGACAGACCGTTAGGAAGAGGACGTGTTTGTGCACCCGTGTGTTCCTATGCAGAGGTGACATCACTCACCCATCATCTTGTAGGCAGTAGCACAGATTCCGTTAGCATCACTGGACAGAGAGACAGGCTGAGGAGGGGGCGGGACGCTGGGTCTGTTCCTGGGTTTGGGTACAGGCCTGGGTCGAGGGAGAGAGCCAGTCTGGTAGGGGGAAGGTGACGGAGGAGGGCCGGTGTCTTGGTTGGCGGTGGAGGGTGGAGGGGTGTCAGGAGGTGTGGGTGTCCCCGGGGGCGAGGCATCTGCGCTCTGCTGATCTGCGATGGTCTGTCCAGGCGGAGGGCTGGCCTGAGTGGGAGGCTCTGGGGGGGGGTGACTGGGCGCATGGATGGGCATTTGGTTGCTGGAGAGGCGTCTGGGTGTGACACAGGGCTGAGAGTTGGGAGAGGTTGGGGAGTGGCTGGACAGAGGTCTGGGTGTTGGGCTGAGGGGCTGGGACAAAGAGGAGGAGGATGCAGAAGAGGAGGTGTGGTTGACTGAATTACAGGGCTGGCAAGGAGGGGGGTTGGTGGGTTTGGGTGGAGCTGGTGCCTGCTTCTTGGTACCTGCAGGTTGGAGGTGGAATTACATGAAGATTAAACTCGGTTTTCATATTTTATTCTTTATTGTTATTTTATAAAGACCTCACCTTCTATTTTCTTTAATACTTTACAACTGTGTAAAAATGTGAAACATTTAGCAGCACCGTGTGTTTACTTATATAGTAATACTATTGTCTTTGTGCCTCTTAACAACACACAACCCTTGTGTCCACTATAATCAGACTTATGAGCAGAGACCCACCTTTACGCATCATGTGAGGACTGGGCCCCATGGATCCGGTCCCCGAGGCCCCTGATCCCAGCTGTCCTGCAGTCTGGCCCCCACCTCCTGCTCCTGAACCATTTCTCTGAAGATGAGGTGTTGGAGCTGATGTGGGATCACGCACTTTTGGGTTGCTTTGGAAGAGAAAATAAAAAGAGATAAAAACAAGTTCTAACTTTCTGTGATTTTGCTGATATGTAACTGTAACATATCTGAGATTTTAAACTGGAAGTGGCCTTATTTTTAGAACCTGCAGAGTCAAATGTTGTAACCAAAACCTCTCAGAAACACAACCTGGGTCTGTGATCTGAATTCACCTTCACCACTTGGTCTGCAGCAGCTTGAGAACTCAATGGTCTTATCTGTGTGGACGTGAATGTTGTCCTTTCAGCAGCTAAGTCAAAGACGGCCTTCAGAGCTTATGTAACGGACACTAGTGTCCCGGCTGCTCAGAGCAGTTTGAGCCGGTCGCTGTGCAGGTCCTGCTGATTCCACTGATTTTCCCCCTCTTTTTTTTGGGAGGGAGGAGGGAGGTAGGGGTAGGAAAGCAGAGCCATGGGAAAGTGGAGAGGCCCTGAGAGTGACTGTTAGCAGAAAGACAGCAGAAGCCATTGTCGTGTTGTGTCTGTGGGCTGACTCCAGACCAGTCTGCATAACTGCAGCTGGTGGTGTTGGTGGTGTAAGAAAAACGTTGTGGGGGTTATTTTGTGGGAGAAACAAGTAGATGAACCTAAGTGAGAGATGAGGAAGTGTCTGGAGCTCATGCTGAGAAACATCATCACCTCATCTTAGAGAACATAGACAGGGGTATTTTTTCAGTCTGGATGACTTAAACAACAATCTGCAGTGAATCGCAGTCTGAGTAAACTACCAGTGAAAATACAGCTGCTGAACTGACACAATGACTGAAGTGCCCAGGAGAAATGTCTGCTGTCTTCAAACTGTGTTTCACTGTCAAAAGATAGAAAATGCAGCAGCAGCAGCAGCAGAAATGGGGGAGGAGGAAGGAGGGGAGCAGCCCTTACCTTAGCTCCTCAGTGTGCTGGGCTAGAAGCTGCTGGGCGGCTTCGAGAGCAGCCAACCCCTGTGCCAGGCTATGCTGACCCGTGTCAGTGCCCGAACCCCCCCGAGCAGGATGCTGCTGGGGCTGAGACTCTGCTGGAGGCTGGGGCTGAGGCTGGGCCTGGATGGGAACCTGCCCAGCCACGAGGCCCTGCCCCAGAGTCTCCACGGGGGGTAAAGGAGGCTGGAAGGCAGGTGACGTGTGCTGTTTTCTACCTAAGGTGTTACTGCCTCTACGGAGGGCGTGGTCAGGGTGCTTGTTAGGGGTGCTGCACAGGGAGAACAAGTGAGAGAGAGAGGGAGAGAGAGAGAGAGAAAGAGAGAGAGAGAGAGAGAGAGAGAAAGAGAGAGAGAGAGAGAGAGAGAAAGAGAGAGAGAGAGAGAGAGAGAAAGAGAGAGAGAGAGAGAGAGAGAGAAAGAGAGAGAGAGAGAGAGAGAGAGAGAAAGAGAGAGAGAGAGAGAGAGAGAGAGAAAGAGAGAGAGAGAGAGAGAGAGAAAGAGAGAGAGAGAGAGAGAGAGAAAGAGAGAGAGAGAGAGAGAAAGCAGGAGGAAAGAGAATCACCAAAAACCCAGAGTTAGAGGTCAGTAGACACCGTGTTAAACATTCATTTCAGAATCAAACTGAACCCAAAGATTTGACTGGATGAGATTATTCCCACAGGGATTAACATGTACGGGGACAGAGAAAGGTAGCAGGAAGAAACCCCCCAAGGTGGATTTACTTGTCCTTGCGTGTGCCGTCGTTCTCCGGGCCCATCATGCTGCCGGGCCTCTTCCTCTCAATGGTTCCACTCTCATAGTCCAGGTGGTTGTTGTGGTTGGACGCTGGGGTGGGCATCGCAAACATGCCTGACACGTTGAACTCGACATCTGCAGGAGGAGACGGAGAGAGAGTAACATATTACAGAGTTAAAGGTTTTGCTGATTATGCATTTTTTAATTTACACTTTGTTGTGATTAACTCAGATAAATCCACAGCTACCCAGTCAAAAACATTTACTCACTTGGTCCTGATTTTTACATACACACTGACATTAAAATTACACATCCCCTGACAGTATTTTTATGTTATTATGTTATGTTGTTTAATAAGCCTATATTTATATTAAAAAAATATTTTCCATTATTATTTTTCACTTAATTTGTTCTTCAACTCCTGTTTCTGTGAACTCCCCTTGTGAAGAATTAATTTTTAAAAAAGTCTCATCTCATCTGGTCTCATTTCCAGGGCTACATTTGTACTTCATCATCAGTATTTGCTATCTGCTCCTCTGTGACTGTAGGTCAATAAACCACAAAGGTCAGCTGCAGAAACACAACAGCTGGGCTCCAGAAGTTACCGTCAGGGAAGAACCAGTCAGCGTGCTGGATGATGGGCTCTACGATGGCCACCACATGCACGGAGGTAGCAGCAGCCATTTCAGCCAGACTCCTGTGAGAAGACACATAAACACAGGCCACAATTAGAAATCCTAATAACAAGTTCACAATGTCTGTCTGCCCCATCAGGCCCTCTTACCCCTCAGTCTTGGTCCACAGCAGATTAGGACCCAGGACAATTGCGATGTTGCTGGGGGTCATTTTGTTCAACTCACTGTCCTGAGCCAGTTTGGCCAAAAACTTCACCAGGTACCTGCATGAGAACACGACCCACGCATGAGAGCAAACCACAGATGACGATGCACTTGTGGGTGAAGATCAAATAAAGGGCCGCTGACCTCAGGTTGGTTTTGTTGTTCTTTGGTAGCTTATCACAAACCACCCAGAGAGCCTGCAGCCTCTTGTCAGGGTCCGACACACTAGAAAACAGCACAAATACAATAGATACAGATATATGCCGTATATAACTGCAGTACAGTGATGTATGTGCTCCACTCCACTGTCAGGAGCCTTGCCTGGACGCCTGGATCCATTCATCATACAGCTGGTAGGTCATCAGAGGTTCAGGGAGCTCTCTCAGGTAGGACTTCAGTGCTCCTGAGGTCACACAACAAACATGAAGTTTTTTTAAATTTTTTTTTTTTTTATTTGTCATATATTAATATAGTTATATATCTATAACAACTACATGGAATAAACATTGTTTTTTAAAAATGAAAACAAAAATAGTTTGTTTAAAATACAAAAAAATATTTTTGTGACAAACCAGCAACAGCATGAGGGTCTGAGTAAAATTCTTCCAGTTGTGAAGTGGAACAGTCCAGGGCCGCCTTCAGTTTTTTTAACTTTGACGCTCCTGCTGCGATTCTGAATAGACCCTGTCACACACGCACAAACAAACAAAAAAACAACCGTTGAACCACAGTGACACTGGCAGCAGTGGGGCCACAACAACAGCAGCAGTGACACACACTCAGCTCTCTTATGTGGCCGTGCCTTGCTCAGCCTTCAGCCAGTATGTGACGGAGCAGAGTGTGTGTACGTGCGCTTCATAAACTGCCTCTGCCAGCTGTACATAATGAAAGCCTAATGCAGGCAAACAAACACACCCTGCAGTGGCAGCACAGTCGGCTCTTTACTCTGACACATAAACAAAGGCCGTCCTCACGCCATAATGTCACAGACTGGACTCCACTGGGAATGAGCTGGGCCACGATAACGCCCTCTACAGTTAACCCTTACCGACACACTCTCTGTGGTTCCTTTATTTGTTTTGTCCCTTTCCAACCAGTCCTGTGAAAGATTTATGAAGCTGCGGACACAAGTGGATTCCATTGTATTCTAAATTTATTTGGGGAAAAGGACAAATCATTTTCATAAATCATCTGTCTGTCTCTGGGAAAAGACTGGAGTTTCCGCTGTTTATCTGTTTGTCTGTCTCTGTCCGTCCAGCCCTTCAACACTCAGGACCTTCATGTAAACAAGCTAACTGTGGTCACAGCTTAATGTGACTTTAACAGCTCAGGAGGGAAAAAAAACTAAATGCCATCAAAGATCAAAACACTGTTTTGACATCAGGCTAAAAATACACATTTGTTCCTCTTTGTCTATTTTGGCTAATACATTATTTCAGAGCTAACAATTTCTTTTTGGCAAGTTTAGGCCATATTCTTAGCAGCAAACCTAAGCTATCATTGATATATATGATTTTCTATTTAAATCTATAGGCACACTTGGAGATAACATTCAATTAAAACAAGGCATCTCATTGTGTACTGTAGCTAACTAACTTTTAGACCAGGCATGGGCAAACTAAGGCCCGGGGGCCGGATGCGGCTTGCTCAGCTTATTAATCTGGCCACCAAACTTTTCCAAATTACATAATTTACTTATATTATCATTATACTTTCGCCTTTCCCCTGCCATACCCATGTTTCCCCAATAGATGGCGTAGAAAATGATAAAAGCATTTTAGTATTTTAGCCTTTATGCATGACTTTTACATACGCTCCTTCTATCTGCTTCTGACCCGGCCCCCTGTCCAACCTTGTTTATCGTTCAGCAAATTAAAGCCATTTTTGACAGTATTTCTGCTGAGTTTTTCTACAATGCATCGTGGCGAATATTGTGACCAACTATTTATAGTTAGCCTGACATCCTCTTTGTCTCAGCGTGATATTAAACATCACTGTTGCTTTTTTTATCCTATTTCTGAGGTTGGAGGAGAGTGTGTCTCAGAGATAGTGATCTGACTCCCCTGTAGGCCTTACCTCCTCCTTCATGCCTGTCTCTAGAAGCATCATGACGCAGGCTTCAATCGGCAGAGCGATCTCTCTTCCACTCCTCTTCAGGTGTTCATCCAGGCCCGTGCCAAACGCAGGCTTCTCGGTCCACGAGTCTGGGAATGACAAAGAAATCGAGAGGTAAAAAAAGGAAAAACAGACAGAGACAGAGCTAGAAAATGTTAAGACTTATATTTACATTGATTAAGGTCTAAAAGAATCAAGGACTTCCATTGAAGTTGAGGAGATTTATTGTATTAGCTGTGTGTGTGTATGGGCAGAGGGGAGGTCTTTGTTGTTTGTATGCAGGACAGTGTGAACGGCCTATTGCTGCTCTGGACAGCACATTTCTGGGTCAACAAGTCTTGCCTCAGGCAAGTTTCTAACCAGCCCCCAAACACACACATACACACACACACAGTAAATAAATAATAACAACCACATGCTCTCAGCCATTATTCTGTGTGTGAGCCAAAATACGACAGAGGAGAGAGGCATAAAAAAAAAAGGAGTTGGGTTGGGGGGGGGGCCTGAAAGTTTGTGAGTCATCACCACATGCATGGAAACTGGGTCTGTCTGGTTCGGACTCACACAGGTTCGGGGCCCAAACGACAGTCAGAGTGGTGAGGAGACGTTATGTGGTTTAATGACAAAAAAAGCAGTGAAACAAAGGACTATTCTGTCTTTTATTAAATTCCATGGCTGTAGTAAGTTCAGTTTCAGTGTGTAAAAAAACAAAACAAAAAACAGAGCAGAGTGAAGCTACAGCAGCTAAAGCATGTGTCAATACTCGGACAAAAATACTGCAGGACATATGTGTAAAAAAATATTTTTTTGCTGTTAAAGAACTAACTGTGTGTCAGTGTGAGTGTGAGTGTGGGTGTGGGTTGTACCTTGCTGAGCTTGGATGGTTGGCAAAACACTCTCTAAGAGAGTGAGAGATTTTCTGTGGTATTCAGCTTGAGCTTCTAAGAGCTTTAGAGAAAAAAACAACAAAAAAAAGTGCATTGGTGAGAAAAAAAAAGTGAGACTCAACTGAGAACATGACGACAAAGTAAATACAATTTTAGGCCCAGTCTGTGTTCTCTCGATGACTCTGCAGCTGTGAACTTTCCCACAGGAACTGGTGAAGCAACACCGAACACACACACAGTATTTGTGAGGTGATGAGCTCACCGTTACAAAGTAGCGGGCATAGTCGCCTTCCTTTGAGGAGAAACTGTACATGTCTGCAGCCAGTTGATCCTGTGGAGGAAAGTACAGCAGCTGTTAAAATTCACCAGAGAGTTCAATGAAACTGTTATCAACATGCAGTGTGTATTGGCAAGAATCTGGCTATGCCATATGTATCACAACACAGGGGTGAAGATATGATATATTGCAATACACTGCGATACTGAGTTTGTGGTCTTTTCTGTGCCATTGTGGGCTTCAGTGATTATCAGGTTTCTTCTCTTCCCCAAAACCAGCTGATAATTACAGACAGAGGAGAAGGAGCAGCATTACTGCTATAAGAATTAGAACTCATTCTCCATCTCCTTTACAGTGTCATCCATCAGTGGACAGCTCTCAACCATGTGAGCCATAGATCCTGCTGCTCATGGCAGGAGTCTGCGGGAGATGAGGAGGGAGGAGTGAAGGGGAAACACAAGGCTGTTGACTTCCCGGACAGAAGGAACCCTGACAAACTCTGTAAACTGACATTCACAGGGCTGACACAGCATTTTGGGTTTTTTCCCCCTGTGTGTCATCAAACTGGGTCAGAGGGGTCACAGGTTCTCTGACAGGCCAGTCTCCTCAGTGATTCCTCCTGCCTCCTGTTGGTGTCATACAGGACAAGGACAATAGGTGTCCTCAAACCCTCCTGACTGTGAGGGCTGTAAGAAAATATCAATACACAGGCATATCGCAATATCTTGTTCCATAATATGTATCAATATTCTATGGCACTGTACCTTTTTTTTATTATTAGCAAAACAGTCAAATATTCAGTCTAGTGATGACTAATGTAGATCCCTCTGTTCCAATTTCAGTAACCTGATGTTCCGAGTGATTTGGTTTTCTGCGAATCTTTAGCGACTGGTAACCTGTCCAGGTCCAGGCTAAAAAATAGATTTTTGATCTAATCCAGAACACTGAGGACATCTGAGTCCAGTCCTTAGAACCAGAAGTAAATGTGAAGAAGCTGCTTTCAGTTTTTCTGCCCCAAACAACTTTAAATGCAGGTATGTTAAAAACAACAACCCAGTATTTCGAAATCCACTCTAAAAACTTACATTTTTACCAGAGGAAATTAGTTTATTTCCAGAGAAATAAACTAATTTACTGCTGCCCCTCTACACTCAGCAGCACAACTGACGTCACCTCTTTCTCTCTTCTATCAAATTATTCTTTGCACTTTTTTTCTCCATCACAAAGCCAACAATGAAAAACGCCATCAGAATCAGATCCATCTGGGTGATGATGCTGCTGCAGCAGCAGCTAACCTTGCAGAGCTCCACTTTGTTCATGGCCTCGTCCACTTCCTCCTTCAGCAGGTCAGCTTTGGCCGTCAGTGCTTGTGTGTTTGTTCCTGAGATTATTGACTTGGTCGCCTGCAACCACCTGAGAGTTCATAGTGAGAAACAAAAACTTCAGTGAGAATGGAAGAACTCAGACTGTGGAGGAAAATGAAGAGAGGAATGAAACAGACCTCGCTCTGGCAGAATCGTAGTCAAGCACCAACTTAGCCAGTTGTTTCCTCTGCTTCAGGATGTTGGGGACGTCCACCTGCAGGTTTGAACAAAAACGAACAAACAAACAAAGGTTTGATCAAGAGTTGGAAAGAACAGAGAAACTCTGCTTTTTACACTTACTGGATTAATACAAGAGTTTATATTCAGTCTTTATGGTCTACTTACTCACTAACTAACTGTGTGTTCAAGGCAGACAGAAGGTCATATTCCTTCTAATAAAGGAATTGTTCCTCAGGTCATTACTTTCCACAACACACATGCAGACACACACACACACACGCAGACTGATTATGACACAATGGATAACGGGACTAAGCTAACAGGGAGTTGAATGAGTTAGAGCAAAAAAATGATAAATGACTACCGCTCTTAATAAAATGTAACTACCGGTACTTTTAAACATTTGTAAATGATTATTGTCCAGCAGAACGGTTGTTTCACTAGAACACCAGGTCTCTGACCTCAGCCAGCTGACTGAGAGGGTCCAGAACATCCTTCTCTATCTGCAGCTCATGTTGCATCAGTTCTGAGGCCAGACGGTTCTCTGCATCACCACACACTTCCATCATCTTCCTGTCCATGGGAGAAAGAGGGAGAGAGACAGGGAGGGAAAGGGAGGGGGAGAGACAGGGAGAGAGAGAGAGAGAGAGAGGCTGTGTTAAAGTCATGCTTCTTAAATGTCTCTTTATCTCCTGGGTGAGAATTTGATCCTGTTTCAGTCCAACCACACGTGACACAGACTCAGATTTTCCACTGTTACAACTTCATGACTGAAAACTAAACCACAACCAAAAATGATTTCAGGCCGAAAACAAACAGCGACTCCACGATGGTCCTGGGACCAAACCGTGAAACTGCTCCGTGACTGAATTACTTTCTCTTCCTCTTCAGCTCTAGACACAGACATGCCTGCTCTTTCTAGATGCACTTTCTAGATCCTTAACTACAAACGGACTGATCCTGATTTCTGTCTGTGTGATGTGATGGTCACCACGCAGAGGAACTGGAGAAATTCTCCTCAACACAAAACAAAGAACAGGGAAGGTCAGATTGGTTGAACCTTGAGTTCATTTTGACTAAATCACAACCGATTATAAAACCTGTTTTTTTTTATTATTATCAATTATAGTATTTATCTATTTTTATATTATGACCATAGGAAGGGCAAGTAGAAGAAGACTCGACTTCGACAAAAATCACAAGTCGAGAAACTAGACAAGGATTCAGAACAAAGACGTCCACCACTGGTATCAACTACATTGGATCAAATATGGTTTCCTAAAAAAATATCTTCTTCTTATGGGGACCTGTCAATCATCTCCATCAGTACTTTGACAGGAACAGTGTGATGTTGTGTCCAGGGTCTGATGTCCAGGACTAATGGAACATAGCACTGGTGTGTCAGACAGATTAATGTTGTACCATGGGAGTTTTAAACTTAATTTACTGGAAAATGTATCTGCTCAAAAAAAGCTGCCCCCAGTGGCTGACTGTTTGATTGACTATTTTGATTTAGCTCAAATCTACTGTCAAACTTTTTTTTTTCTTTTTATACTCTGTCACCTACTCACCCTATCAGAGAGTCCTCTCCCAGCTGACTTCCTCCTTCCACCATGGCTTGTGAAAGTGCCGTGAGGGGGAGTTTTTTCTGTGGTGTAACGTAGCAGAGAACACATACAGACACAGACAGGGATTAGACTTAAAATGTTAAACGTTAACTACATCTAACTGATCAGCCACTCAGAAGGACCTACGGCCGCTTCAGTGTAAGATGTTTCCAAAGAAATGGAAAACCCATCAAGAGCTTTCCACCCAGCAGTAAATTCACACAGTCAGGAAAAAGGAAGAGAAAGCGTTCCCAGCAGAAGGGGGGGAAAATATACATGTTGAATAGGATTCAAGAAGCAGACTAGGGGAGTGAGACATCCATCAAATGACCAGGAAGCTGCGTTCACAGCTCCTGTTTGTGCAAAATGGACTTTTTTAAGCCTTCAACATCCTGTTTTCAAACAGAGAAACTCTCAGAGGTAAAAGTGCAGGGCATGCAGTGTGAATGAAGGTGACAGATGTGTGATTGGGAAACAGAGTCAGGGGCATCCAGTACCAGAGAGTTGAGTAAGAAACCCGTGTCATTACCTGACCATTTCCCGTGTACAGGCGAGGTACGGACTGTGATGCGTGTTTGGGTGGACGGCAAAGAAAACAGGAAAAACAAATCATTGAGCGTCGGCCAAAACGGTTAGTTCTTCACACACAAGCTCAAAAACAAACAAAAACTAAAAAACAACAAATCTGAGGGATGATAATTTAACGTATTTTTCATTGAAAATTTTTCCAGCAGTTCATATTAGAACACGTTCTTACATGTCGTTTCTCTGCATCCGCACCGATGTGTCCTTGGAGACACGACACCATCCTCTTGTGTGTGTTATGGGACACCACACGCACCAACTCCATCCGCCGTTCGATCTGTGTGTGTAAACAAAAGCACTTAATCACATCATCCACTGTCTACGAGTCAGTTTGGAACATGGTTCATGCAATGTCTGTACGAGGTATTTTTTAGGGTACTTTTCTACTGTACAACTAAATATCGAAGATGCTTCGCACATTGTAACTGAAATTAGACGCAGAATCATTTGAGTTGAAAATTATACTGGTCATTCTTTTATTCACAGTCTATTGTAAATAATTTATTTCAAAGTTTCAAAAGATTTCTCTGTGAACAGGGGAGGAGGAATGGGGGAGGTCAACGTCCATCTGTATACAACTGTGTCACTGCACTTTTGATGACTATTGACGTCTGCTCTCATGCAGATACTATTTGCAGATGCCTCCAGGGAGAGTCAGAGGTCAAAACATCAAAATTGATTTTGGAAGGGAGTGTCCCTGAAGAACAACGCTGGAATGTTATCTTTGAAACCGATGACTCATAGGAAGTGCCTCTGTCGCAAAGGCCTGGAATGTCACTGCCCAGAAATGGTCTTTGTTGGGACATCTTTAGATTGGACAGGCAATCTCCTGTCCACGCCCTCCCCACCCCCCCCCACCCCAAATACACAGATCCACTCTGTGCTGTTAAGAGTGACAACATATAATGCTTGACATTCATGGACGCTCTGAGAACAGAGGGCGACTGAAGCTCCTCAGGACGACTGTTCACTGCCCTGGTGGGGCCAGGTGCCTGTCAGGGTGGGGTCATGGACAGTGTTAAACCAAACTGTCACCAACACATAAAGATTGAATTGTTACGGTGAGTGAGTGAGCAAGTGTGTTGATAGCAAAGGATTGTTCTGTATCAACAACAGGTGTGTCTTTGGAGCTTTTGTTCTTCAAAAGTACAAAAATCTGACCCGACGAGGCGAAGAACTGAAGTGACTAAGGAGAGCGACATGGATTGAGGTCTGCGTGGCCAAAAATAATTTGGAACGTCAACTTCCAGAAGAGGGTACTGTACAGAGAACAGCAGCATGGACAAAAATGCAGAGGGAGGATCAACCAAATACCAGACGATTGTGTTCCAAAAACAGAAAAAGGTCGGAACTCAGGAATTCCTACTGCAGATATCCGCCTCGCCTTTCCCTCCCCAGTGTTCTTTCACCGCTCTTACGTCATTCCTGACCCACGCTGGCCCCCGGCATTCCCAAAACAGCTGGGTCAAATACAAACTCAGTGAAGACTAACACAAACGCAGACACACTCTGCTTACATTGGCCGCAGAGCCTGTGAACACAACTCAGACCCGGTCCAGTGTGTATCAGGTACAGGGGATTCCCCTCTCTGTGCTCCAGAGGGAACAGCAAATGTAAAAAAATGCAACAGGAGAAGAACCAAAGGATGGGTGTGTGTGTGTGTTCCCCCCCTTGAGTCATGTGATGAGGTCAACAGCTGGTCAATCCCATGACGCATCACAGAGCAGGGAATCCCAGTGTCAGTAGGCTGGACGGGGTAAATGACAGAGAAGGTGTGTGACTTTGGGCCAGTGTTTGTTTACTGGTTCCTAAGAGAAAGGACGTGTAACAAGTCTGGACATGTCCACAGAAACCAAAATAAGACCACATGACAGGGCGGAATCATTCCACTCAGCCATCAATGAACAAAATGTCTTTGTGTTTTTCTATCAGGGACCCAAGACGTTAGGTGTTCAAAGTGATCTCAAACATCACCGTGAAGTATCTCGGTTGTGGCAGAGGAGGCAGAGGAGCAGTGGAGGAGTAGCTGGTACTGTAATTCTGGGTGGGCTTACCAACAACGTTCACAGAGTTGAACAGAGCTGTTCATCTCTGTGATGTCAACAGAACTATAACAACCACTGAAAACCTCTGACTGTCTCACATACACCAACAGCAGAAGTGTATTTGACAAACGGATACATGTATGAGTATTTTCAGTTGAGTGCCGAAAAAGATGGTCCATGAGTCTGGGTGACAACACTGTGTTACATCTACTGCCCACACTGGGTTGTACAATGGAGGTGAAACAAGCCAATTGCCTCCATGTTACCCTACAGTTTCACGATGTTTGACAATTGACTTTCACTGACCTACAAAGACCCCATTGTTCTGACCATGACTGAAAGTCAGCTGTCGTGACTTCACAGGACTTTTTTTTTGGCTTCTCAGGGACATTGATGTCTGATAAGAGGAGAGGGGACTGACAAGAATCATGTGACCTCTTCATTCCTCAGATAACTGTATCACTTAAAAGACAAAAAGAAAATCTGCTTTCATCCCTGAACTAATGAGAAACTTGTCTGACAAGTTGATAATAACAAAATAAAAATAGCAATAGATCCTAGAACGACTGACTGCCTCATCTGTTCATTTAACAGAACGTCTAAGGAGGAACCTTAGAGTGAATTCACCAAGGTCTCCTGCACACCTCACACACACACACTCCAGTGTGTCAGCAACATCTCATCACATTTACAGGTCTGAACTCAGCTGAGTCATCAGCAAAAATTCATCCATGGAAGACGACCTGACACCAGCTGCTGCTGTCACCTCATTAGCATGAATGCTATTGTCAGCACATGGTATAGCTACTCTTCAAGCTCCACTTCGACCATTTCCTTCGACGTCAGTGTTCAAATTAAAACAACATTTTCTTTGACAAAGGCTCTTTGTTCTTGTTTCCTGCATCTAGAACCGGCTGCTCACACTTTTTTTTAATAAAGGGAAAAAATAAATCACTGCCATATAAAAGTGGAACATTTCAGGAGCTAACACTTTGGTATGAATCAGAAAATTGGTAATTGGTTTTTAATCATATGTTCCTGTGGCAGATTGTTGGGGCTTTTTTTCCTCCAAACGTCATAAACACAACTAAGTTGAGGAACATTAAAGCAACATGAGCTTTTTTTTATCCATAAATACATTCTCTGCAGCAGGATGTGAACCAATCCCTGCAGTCACAAACTGAAGAGTGAGTATACAAAGGAGGTCACAGTCAGATAAATGATTTACCTGGAGGAGGTCATCGCTGAGGACTTCTGTTTTCTCTGCCCTGTGGGTGAGAAAGAACAAGAGAGAGTGGACATGTTAGCATGAGCATCATGAGGCAGCAGCAGCAGCATCTCTTCACAGCCACTGTGGAAATATGTAGTTGACCAATGACAGCTCCTGACAGACTAGTTTCCATGAAGGAGTTTCAACATCAAAACAAAATCAGGTATTGAAGGCGGTGTCCGTGGGAATGCTCCAGGACAGGGTGGGACTATTTTGGTTGGTTGCTATGATTCAGCACAGGCTGGTTACCAGGGCTGAATGGAGGCCACCGCCAAAACTCTCTGCACACGACAGCTGCCGCTGCACAGACGGAAGGAAGGAGTCAAAGCAATGACAGGCAGTCTGCAGCTTCTGTTGAACTGAATGGGTGAAAATGAGTTCCTGGTCACTGGTCACTGGAACTAGCAACAGTATGGAGCCCTGCTGTGGCTGAGCCTATTAATAACGAGCTTATGGTTGGATTTGAAGAGATTAGTCAGGTTACATTGACTACAACAGAGAAACCCAGACTGATGCTGTGTCATCAGACGGAGGCTGCAGTAGCTGCAGATCACACAAATGATGTGACACAGACGACTGAGGTCAGCTGTAACAGTCTTTGTACTGCAATGATAATGATGCATTGTCTCAGCTTTGATTGACGGATACATGTTGACAGTTATAAATAAGTGAGAGGATTTCTGAAGAGCAGGTCTGACTTGTTGTTGTTGAAGAGAAAGGAGGATTGACGCCACAGAGACGAGTTAATGAAGGCTATACACCTGAGGTGGACGATAAAGAATCAAAGCTGCTTCAAATACTGCTGATGTTTGGGGTCTCAAGTCTTTGTCCGTCAAGTCTGAAGTCTTTGAGTGGGACTGCAGTCTGAGTTGCAAACTCGAGACCCCATCGCTGACATAAGGATAAAGAGCAGAAATAAAAGTCTCTCAGTGGAACATTTTACTGTATCTACTGTTACTTCTTGACTACTTCCTCTTTTTTTAATCATGTTTTTCCATTTTTACACTTAACCTTTTTTTCTTTTACTTTTGACCCAAATATATCACACGCCTGCCAAAACCAAGCTCCTCCAAGTACGAGTGTAAGACTCTGAAAATCAAAGAGACCTGCAGACAGCTATGACTGTTCTGGCCTGAGCCCGTCTCCTGAAGCTGTTCACTCCAAACTGCAGTAACCCTGTCACAGCTGCTTCCAATTACAACACAGAGGCAGGGAGAAACAGACGGAGAGGGAATGATCGCAGGAGGAGAGCAATACAGACATTCTGGGGGGGGGTTGGGGCATTTAAAGACTCCGTAAAATGTGCCAAACCAGAATATTCTGCAGAGGAGAGATGAATGGAAAGAAAAAATGTTTTTGTGGAGGATCTGGTGAGATCACACATGTAGCAGCAGACTGGACTCAACCCCACTCTTACAGTACAGTGTACTGTAGGAGCTGAGACACATCACAGCCGCAGAGCAATGTGGAACCCATGTTCCTTTGTTGTCGACATGCTGAAGGGCGTTCACGTCCTATAGGAAATATGAGAATTGAAAAAATACTTAAGAGAAATAGTGGTATATTGCATTTGAATGGGCGTTCTTGCATTATAATGATATATTATCATTACATCAGTTGTTAATTTGGTCTTAACAACAATGTTATCGTTCATTGGCAATAATTTGTGGGACAATAAATCGTCCAGCAAATCAGTGCCAGTATCAGGAGTGATGACAGAGTGTGGAGAAGACCCACAGCTCTGAGTACACTGTACTGAGTTGTAACGTGAAGAGAGCGGGACATTAAGTGGCTGATCAAACATTAGACATTTGAACCCTTACTTTCACAAGGTCGGAAATAATAATTAAAAGAAAAAATAAATAAAATAATTGTTAAAATTAGAATTCATTGTTGTTTGTTTGACCTAATATTTTTACTACAGAACTGAGTGAAGTGAAGACGCTGGAACTCAATTCAATAACAAATTCTGTATGGCTGAGATGTAAAATCCCCCACTTTCTCTCTATGGACTTTGGTGCAGGAAGCGAGAGGTTTACGAGTGAACAAAAGCAGTGGATCAGCATATTCAGCACTCAGGTTCCAAAAACCTCCTCCTGTCTCTTTAAACCGCTGCTGACATCAGAAAACATACATGTACTTTGGAACCTGACATTTGAGAAGTCGTTCGTCGGCTGTTATTGGTCAGTACTGCAATGGTGAGAACGTGAGCTGTTTCAACACATCTGCTCCACTTAATGACCTCAGAGGTCCACGAGCTGTGTTTCAATGAAAACAGAAAGGGAAAACAGACAAAACTGTGAACTTCTGCAGACCAATGCTCACCTTATCAACTCAGATCTAGGCAAGGACCTTCTTCACCTTCAAACACCAAACAAAAACTGAACAGGAAAGACCTTCTTCTCCAAGACAAACACCAAACAAAAACTGAACAGGAAGTATTGTTAGGCTAAATGATGACAATGAAATACATTGACAAAATAGTCCAGTAATAGAAATAAAAAAATCTGGCGAGTCTCATCACCTATAATAAACAGGAAGAACAAAAGGATTTTCATCGACTAAACCTAATTTTAATAAAGTCGACTCAAACTTAACTACACCTGAAACAGTTCTATTTGGTAAGCGTGACTCAGCCTTAGTGTCAATTTAGTCACAAGACTGATTAAAAAATGGACAGTCAACATGCACACTTCTGCTGACTCAGGCCGATCACAGCGGATGTAAAGATATTTGTTTTCAATGTGATTGAAAGTGAGCCTTGTGTGAAGCATCCAGTCCCAAAAAAAAACCCAGTGTCACAGAAGGTGAGAATCGGGCAGATGAGAAGCCACATCAACAAACAAAACAGGGATTGTTGTGAGACATCAGCTGACCGAGGGAGAACAGTACAGACCCCAGTGAGGCTGGAACCTTTGGAGAAAAGTGTGTCAGTTAATGTGTCAGTCTGGACTACAGATCCTCTGAGCTTCACTGCGGCCAGCAGATCAGAATGGTAACCATGACGATCTCCTATCAGAGAGGACGACGGGAGGATGTTAGTGAATACTGCAGCCGTCAGCACAATGGTGTGGCTGTTACGGGCTACTCAGTACAATCAACCCAGCAGAGATGAGGGATAATGGGGAGGGGAGAAGGGGAGGAGGGAGGATCGACTCCCTCGTCTCCTCCTGAATACAACAGTTGACGGCTTCAGGCATCAGGTAATGGATACAGGAGGCAGATAAAAGGGGGCGGCAGAATGACAGAGTGACTCAGCTCTCTGGCCCCTCCCCTAATGCTGCTGACCATGTGTTGTTATGCTCCCCAGGTTCACAACACAAGACCTCAGGTCGGATTGGAAAATACTTGAACTGTGCAGTTCACAACGTCATAACAACAAAATTGTGTTTTTTTTTAACACTGAATGCCGTTCCTTAAATAACCTGGGATTAACAACTGGGTGGAACCAAACCTCCAATCGTCTGCATGACCACTTCTTCTCATCAAATGTTTTTTTTTTCTAATAAAGTTAAAAATTAATTCATAACTTTTTTGACTGATCTGCTTTGTCGTTAACAGTAACGCAGAATGTGTCATTATTGTCCCTGCTGCAGTGGCCTGATGTAGCAGGAGGACACGCCCAGAGCCACATGATCTACTGTGACGTTTCAGTATTCCCTGAAGGACAGATGTCTTTTTGACCTACTCTCAGGTGAATGGAGGACTTGAGAAGACAGTGCATTGTTTTCATGACAATGAAGACAACAATGTCTTCATCTAGCTTACAAAAAAGAACGTCACGGAACAGATGTGTACGATCCTGCTGCATGGACACCTCTGAGCTAACACGACTGTCCTCATCATCACATAACAGGATGTGGACAAAAGTCTAAACCTGGTAAAAATGTTATATTTAATCATGTCACTAATTCTTCGTATTTTAATTCTGGAACACAATATAATGAGCTAATAAATGAAGTAGACTTAGTGGACTGGACTGGATCCCTAGGCTGTCAGAAGTCTGGTTTAATAGGGATCTGACCCATAAACCTGGGTCATACTTTTCCTATTAGCGTACCAGCACATGAGTGGTACCATATATGATAAAAGAATCTTCAAAGTCAGGTCTACCCTTCAACATATCTCACATTTCATTCATCTACTGGCTCCAGTTCTGTGTCTCTGAGCTTGGCTCACTCAGGACGTAGATGAACCCTTTAATGTTGGATGTTAAGATCATTAGTAACACAAACATTTTTACACTGTTGAGCTGAAATAAAAACTAGGGGAGTAAGAACATATCAATACACTGTGATCTCTTCTTTTCGTGATACTTTATCCATATTCTACAGCACTGTATCAAATGCTTTAGTAACAATTAATGGTCAAATGGTTTTAAGACACAGGGCTCAACATTAAGCTTAGCTCAACACCTAAAAACCTGAACTACTACCAGTGTGAGCATGAATAAAATGACTACTTCTGTGGTGTCTCATGTTAAATGAGCAACAACCAAGCAGGGAGTTGGTAGAAACATCGCCATCATCATCATACGAATGTTCTCCAGCTTGAATCACAAGATGTTTTTCCTCGTACCTCACTCTCACACTCTGTCTCTACCTCAATGTCTCCCGTGTGCTCCGGTCTAAAAAGCATTTTCTAGTTTGTCCCTGCGAGGCTGCTTCCTGTTTGCAGCAGAAGAAGGAGATATTTCCTCCGAGCGGCTGCCTGTTGGACACACTGTTCTACCTTCGTACAATCGCAGGAACCCAGGGGGCAGCGGAGAGGCCCTTTGAACTCTACAAACATTTTTTGCAGACGTAGATGCACAGGCATGCACAGGGCAGAGTGTCAAAGCAGAGTGTGTGAGTTTGCTGTTCCGCATTAATCCAACCACAAAAAGGGGTTCGATCTCTCATTCAGACCAGCACAGATATAACAGCACAGGGGGTTTAACCCCCTCCCCCCCCAATGAAAGTCACACTGATACAAACACTGCATGTATAACACACACATATGTGAAAAAATATCTGCTTTCTACATTACACACTCTCTGGTCTTAATTTACTGCTGCCACAGTGAGGGAGGACGTTATGAGATTTCCAGCTGCTGTGCTGAAGTCCTGGAACATCATTGGTTTGAATCCTCCTCTGACTCTGATGATTGTGTTTCCATCATATTAACATAACAGTAAGTGCAAGATGTCCATGAACAACAAAACAAACAAAAGACCTAAAGTCTGACTGTCCAACATCAACAGCTTGGTTTTCAGTTCCTCTGGCACTCCCTTAACAAGCGGGTCTATAAGTTAGTCTGTTACCATGTGAAAATAATGACTGGTACACATCATACATTACAAGAGAACCACGTGTCTTTAAAAGATATTCTTCTCATATGAAAACGTGATTTTCCCAATGAAATTTAACAAGAGTAGAAAAGAATTTTGTACGTTTTTTTAACTCAACTACAACAATTTAACCTTTGAGGACAAACACACACTTTAATCATTCATTGTTTATAACCAAACACCCGTCGGTGTTTGGTTATAAAAGTTGCCCAGCATCCTGAGGATACAGCAGCCAGTGATGGAAACATTCTCTGATGTGTCTCGGCCTTTCTGTCTCACTGTGTTGAACAGGAGCCAGTGAAACAACAGATATCTAGTTACACAAGGATACTGTGTGTGTGTGTGTGTGTGTTTGGGTGTATGTGTCAACACACAACAATATAATGACACTAGAAAACAAGCCCAGACACAGCCTGTCCTTCTTGTCAAGCAAAGCCAAGCGAAAGTGTGAAAGCTGTAATTCAGAGATTTTCACTTTAAAATTTAAATGTGACATTCAGATTTACACTTTATCTATCGGTGCTAAGAGTGAGTCTTTTTGACCTAATTTAAAGCTATTTTTGCACAGTTTTTTCATTTAAAAACATTCAGCTATTTGTGGTCCAATCATCAGGAATGTTTTATTATGAATGTAAGCTATTTTAAGATTAACTTCTTTTTTTGATTTCTTATCTTTTTAACTGTTGCTAACCATTTGTTTTTGGCTAAGTGTGAGTTAGCATTTTGCTCTTAGCCTGTGTGTTTTCTCTTAATAGTCAATCTTCAATTCACTTCTTGGCTAACTGAACTCTTTCGCCATTTATGTCATATTGTTACCCATTTCTTGTTTATCGTTATGTAACGTCAGATACGTTGGCCAATTTTAACTATTTCTGTTAAAATCATCAGTTCCAGCATTAGTTGTTCTAACACTTCGTGTAAACCATTGGTATGTTATCCTATAGTTTCATGATACAATCTAAAAAATATTTTTAAAAGATAGACGCAGTATTGAGGTTAGAGGTAAAAAGTTTGTAATTCCCCTTCTTTTAAACAATAACGGCATGGAAGTACTGTACAGATATTAGTTGTAATTTTATTACAAAAGGTTGGTTAATTAAAAAAAAGACAAGTATTTGTTTTGACAGGTTAAAAATAACTTTGTGACTTTTCTGGAACTTTACCTGCCGACTGTCTGGTTTGCGAGCTGTTTCATGCGGTTAAACTGCTTCTTCATCTTCGCCTCTTCTTTTACCCCGAATCAGGCGTTAAAATTCGGGCTTTGGTTTGTCATGAACCTCCCGGGAAGGTTGCTCCTCAGCTCGCCGTCTCTCTGCTTCTCCTCCCCGGTGTTAGTTTCCCCTCTGACTGTCGCTATGACAGGGAAAAACACTCCACAGCCACAGCAGCCATTGCAGCCATTGAGCCTGAAAGCCAATTAAAAATAGTTGGTGTCCTGGTTGTAGCTCCAAGAGCTGTCGCGCCGCTATTCCACGCTCCAAAATCCTAAACAAAAGTCTGGCTCTGGAGCGACGACATGACCCACAAACCGCACTGTATTTCTTAGTGTCTTTTCGTACATGAAAGTCCAGAAAATGTGCCTAAACTGAGCAACTTTCAGCGACCCGAGTGCTCCTCATAACCGGTGCTCCTCTTCTCCTCTTCTCCTCCAGTCTCAGTCTGCAGTCCTGACCGTTAGCCGACAGCTAACACTGCTAACGGACAGCGCTGACGGAGCTGGAACAGTGTGGAAGCTGGGAAATCTAGCTGCGCTCAAGCCGTTGAATTTCTGTGCGCGCCTCCTACACGTAATTATGGTAAACTCTTTGAGCCAAGTTTTATCTCGATTAGGTTTTTAAAATAAAACGGAAACGCAAAACAACGCCTAATAATACTACTAATTAAATTACTATTGCGACTACTACTAATAATAATAAAAAATGAAGGATTTGTTATACTTAATAATTCATTAACATTATTGTTACTCTGCTTAGAGTAGCGTTAGCGTTAGAGTATTTTATAGCATGGTCTTTTACTGCCCTCTGCTGGACTCACACCAGAATAACAGAAAGTAAATCACCGACTATACAAAGTGCAAGTATAAAATACTGCCTATTAATAGGAAAGGAGTTTAAAGATAATGTCTGTAACAATTTCATGAAATATAATAAATATGCTTTAATTTATTATATTTCATGAAATTGTTACAGACATTATTTTTAAGCAAGAGAAATAAAGAATGCAGATGCTATTTAAATTATGACTTATTTTTGATGGATCAAAAACATTCTTTATTTAAAGTACTGAAATCAAACATAGAGAAAAACAGTCACAAAAGATGGGTAAAATCTCTTGGAAACATACAAAACAGTTATATATATAAAAAAGAAATAGGCAACCAATGAAATAAAGAAAAACAAAACAAAAACTAACCTCAATCAGAAGAGAATGAATGTACAGAAATGTGCAAAGTCCTAGGCCACCATTAAATCATCAATAACAAACACCTATGTTTTGCTGACCATTTCATTCAGAAATGTTTTGTCTGACATTTATTTGAGACTTGGTGATGATCTAAGACTTTAGCCCAGAACTGTAGCTTCTATCTACAGACCTTCCTTATACTCAGGGAGGGTAAATGCTATCAGCTGTACGTCACACTGCACCAACATGCAACGGATGTAGAAACACACAGTTACTACACTCACGATAGCTAAAAAGAGCTTTAAAAGAGATTGCTGTTGCCTTTTTTGACTAAAGCCCTGCAAAAAAAATAAAAAATAAAAAACAAATAACGGTTTTAAAATTACTGGTTCCAACAGAAAAGGTTAATATAAACTGGGATTCAAGACCAGGAGGTTTAAAAAGTTGAGTTCAGGTTGTGTTTATGTTTGTGTTGTTGTATAACATACTGATACATGAGTCAATGTTGGGGCCAAAAGAAAAGTGGAAGCTATTTCAGAAGTAAATTATTAAAACAAATTAGCTTCACACGATTAAAAGAATAGAAACAGGCCAGAACTCCTTTCAAAGGTCACCAAGCTAGTTATAGAATAACCAAAAGTTAGCCTATAGATGACTATAGGCTAGTGATGAACACAACAGCCTGAACACAACTTAATTTCAAATGACCAATCAATGTCTCAGTCCACTTCCTGGTTCTAACACAGACTGTGTGAGAGTCAGAACCTTTTATAAAACCAAACATTTAAAAAAAATCTCTTTCAAAGACAGTGGTTTTGTGCATAGCAAATACAGTCAATTTTCAGTATTTCATCTACATAACACGGCTACACTGTACTGTCACTGAGTCATGTGATCACAAAGATGATCACAGAAGCAGGGAATAAAACATTTACACTCGTTTTTCTGCCTTTGCATGTGTCTTTGATTCATTCATTCATTTATCAACAGTCATCTGTGTCTGTAAATGTGTCAACACTGACCACCTCCATGAAACTCTCTCAAATGAAGTCAGATCGACAGTGATCTGAACCCAGATCAGTCAGGAAAATAAACTCCCAGTGTTTGTGTTGTGTCTGAATGGACTGACTTCATGTCATTGTCAGCTGTAACACCTTACGTTTTAATCTGGAAAAATTTGACTCAAATTCGAATGCCTCTTATGGCCAGTAGATGTCCCTGTGTCAGAAAGCTGACGCAAAAAATGGCGTCTGCTGTTTTTTGTTTTTGTTTTTGTTTTTGTTTATTGAGTTTATTATAAAGTGGGACATATTTTGACTCATTGATATCGACTACGGACGACAAAGTGGGACATATTTTGACTCATTGATTCAATTAATTTTTATGCCTGAAATCTTTGGCATACTAATTTATAAAACAAGAGTGTTTTAAAATAGATGGACAGAAAACCTGGTGATTATTAAAAATATCCTGTGAAGTGACTCCTGTTGTGTGAGTAGTGGTTACTTTATCGCAGTTTTAAGTCATAAACCTCGATGACGATCTCAGTCTATTTACATTCATGCTGTGCTTTTCTCCTTTTCTCTCAAATATGAACTGATAAAAAATATAAATCTTTTGAGAATCAAACCACAAATTCCATCCTTTTTATTTATCTTTAGTTACAATAAAACAGCTCTGAGATAAAATCGACCTTTTCCTTTGTCCTTTTTAAAATATTTAATGTTCAATAAAATAGGAAATGAATTAAATAAATTAAATGCATGTTGTTCAGACTAAACCTAAACCAGAAGTCACTTTTGCAACAGTAAACTCAGCCAATCCTTTGATAAAACCTCAGTTAGCAGTTTGACTGGCAGTGAATGCACCGCTGTGTGACCTTTGACCATAAACCTTTGAAATCTTTAAACTACACTAAGTTAAAGTTCTAAGTTCTAAGACTTTGTACACGTAGGCTTTTTATTGATCTCGTTTTTACAATGTAATAGAAAATATAGAGACTTTGTTCTGTCACGTGTCCAGTCATCACTGACGGACACTCCTGCAGCTCCGACTGACACTGAACGACTGGGCTGTAAAGACTGCAGTGATGTCGTGTTTGTACCTCAGTGTTTCTGCCTCAACAGCACCTGAAGTAAGTGGCTCCACCTCCCTACAGCCATATAAACATATACAGTACACACACACCTATATATATACGTGTATGTGTGTGTATATATATATATATATATATATATATATATATATATATATATATATATATACATGTATATATATACATGTATATACACATATATACAGTATATACATACATATATAAATATATATATACACAGGTACATATATATACTGTATGTTTCTGATATAGAAGACCTGTCATTGTGAGTGGTTCTGTGTGTGTGTGTGTGTGATCTTGGCACTTTGGTTGTGGAGAGCAGAGTGAAAATGTTTCTGTCAAGTTTTGTTTTCGTCCACAGTTCCTGCGTCTACCAGGCCAGAGGTGAAGACAGTCTGGGACTCCTGGGGTTTTCTGGAGTATGGGTCTCACTCAGAGCTCTCTGTCAAATAAAAGGAACAGAAAACAAAGGTGACCTTGTGTTTTATATATGATATTGGTCATTAATATTGGAAACGTTATGGCCAGCAGCCATTCTAGTGGACCTCAAATAGTGGCCTGCGACCCACCTATTTGCCGAGAGCGAGCTGAACATGACAACTGTCTGTTTTCAGTTTTTTTTTTTTACCTTTGTGTATTTCTGTACCCCTACCTTAAATCTGGTACCTGTGTAAAGTACCAGCATATTCAGACCATGACTGTTATTTTTAGTCCAGAACTTTTGGTTTTTACCAAGACTGCAGTAATTTGCTGTATAATCAGATTCTGTCTGCAGGCTGTCGCTCAGTCTCAGAGCAGGAAGTGTTCGTCTGAGAGCTGGAGGTTTTTAACAATGTTAGAAATCTGCAGCTGGTTGAGAATATCTCCACATCAGAGTTGCTCACATTCAGAGACAACCTTTATCCACCCCACCATCTATATTTTTGATCACACTTGTGAAAGGTGAAAGGTCAAATGAGCTCACCTCAAACTTGGAAATGAACTCTGAGAAGATGCCGAAGAAGGTCTCAGTGCTGGTGGACTTGCTGTCCTCCCCAAAGTAGGAGGCCGTCTTGGAGAACTCCTCCATGGCCTGGGACTGCATGGACTCCAGAGACTGGACTGCAGGATGGCTGTTCTCCAAGAAACTCTGTGAATGAGAAAGTGGTTGGCATGAAGAGCTGCTGTCGAACCTGGAGCAGATCTATGTTTTTCTGAACTTTTCAAATCGATTATTTTTATTTTTATGATTCAGTTTAAGCAAAATGAGCTGAATCCTTCACATACACTCATCACTGAAGCAAAGTGGTCCTCAGCCGTGGACGGGATCTTCAGACAGGCTGTCCTGATGTCCTGGATAGTGGTGTGAAAGTCACTCAGCTCCGCTGTGATGGTTCTCTGGTTCACTAGGCCAAATACAGAGACCAACATGTGAACACATACAACATATATACAGAATATACAGTATATACACACTATAGATCTGTATGTATATATACATGTATACCACGTATGATGAATATAATGTATTAAATATGGCAATAATAGGAAGATTGATTGAAAAGTTTAAACTGGAAAAGGGCTGAGACTAAAGAAATATTTATACCTTACAAATGCGTACCTTACAAGTAAACATTACAGTTTCATGCTTTTCGTCTTCGTATGATTATAGAAAACAAATTTCTGTGAATTATCCCACGGTGTACTTTGTGTTTTACCTTTTCTGCCTTTAATGAAAATGTAAATAATTTTCTTCCCTATCTGAGACCAACAGGTCCGGGTTCCCTGTGATCCTCGTACCTTTAGCTGCCAGTGGAACCGTGGTGAGGTCTCTGGAGAAGTTGAGCAGCTCAGGGAAGTGTTGGCACAGAGACTTGGCCAGGATGTGGAGGAAGGTGGATTTTCCATCCACAGTTTTGGTGGTGCTCAGCTGTGAGGAGTGGAGGGAAACAATGAGACTCTTAGAAAACAACAGTGACATGAGTTCCGTGGGCGTCAACTGAAGGAGGCGGAGCTTCACCTCGGTGAGGAAATTGATCTTAAAACTGGTGGTTCTGTTGCTCCTGGGTTGACCGTTGTTCAGGTAATTCCCCATGGCAAGAACAAACTGTGTGCAGAGACAACACTGATGAACCACTGCTGGAAACCACACGTGTATTTTCTTTTTTGGCTCTTGTTTCCTCACCTCCAGGATTTTGGCCAGTTTCTTGCTGCTCCTCAGCTCCACTGAAGCCTTGTAGATGTAATCGTAGGCCACCTTCATCTCCTCTGTTTTCTCCTGCAGTGTGGTCTTGAAGTAGAGGCTGCGGAGGCGAGTCTTGTACTCCGGCACCATCAGCATCTGAAATTTACAAAAGCCTTTTGTCTGATTCCTCTGCCACAACATTAGGTGGGCTTCAGGTTTAAGAGGGTTGACCCGAGGGTCCATGCAGTCATTGTACCAACAGTGGAAGTATGGAATCTCTAACAATACTCTGATAACTTTGTACCTGGAAAATGAACTGGTCCGGTTCACTGAGTTTTGCAGGATCCTGGTCAAACTGCTCGTACTGTTTGACCTCCTCATCGTCGGGAGCGTAGAGCAGCAGCTGCTTGATGTGAGCTGGCTCCAACCTGTTGGTGGTCATGTTCATCAGAACCTGACGGAGCTCTTCTGGGGGGAGCTTCAGGTGGGCGATGAGAATGGCTGAGGAGGGGACGAGAAGAACGAACCATAAAGACCAAACCATGACACTGGAGAATGTTCTACATCTGAATAATTGTTCTAAAATCTGAATGTTTGTTTTACTCCTACATTTTTTAAATGATTATATCAGCGATACATTTGAACCATTTATACAATTGAGGAAAACAATTTAAAAGAGCTGCAGAAAGCAGCCGTGACATGTAGTATAAAAAATTGTAGGACAACAAAATTAATAAAATAAATAGGTGTGTTTGTGCGTGTGACTCACAGGCGTTGTAGGCCTTCTTGTGAGACAGAATCTCCACCACATCCTTTTTCTTAAAGTTCTCAGTGAGAAAAGCTGGATCTGGAGGAGAGACTGATCATTTTAACAAGAGTGTGAGGACAGGTTCTCCAGGCACCGGGTCAAGGTCAACACACACACACACACACACCCACACACACACACACACACCCCCACACACACACACACACACACACACACCCACACACACACACACACACACCCACACACACACACACACACACCCCCACACACACAGACACAGATGAAGACAAAGGGTGCCTCATGGAGAATGGATAAGATGAGCAGCTGAATGGAGCAGCTCCAAAGCAGAAGATCACAACTGTGGAGGAACAAACAAAAACACATGATGTGATGGAACAAACACAACAGCAGGGGTGGGCCAGGAGACGGCACATCATCAACGTTGTTTAAAAACTGGGTGTTATTAATGAGCTCAGACAGCTGTCAGTTTACAGAGTGGGTCTAATCAATAAGTAGTTGATAATGATTAAATGAAGTTTCTCCTGTAGAACAACATTTGTTTGTTACTTGTCTGGGAACAGGGGGATACAAAATGAGTCAGCTTCAAATCTTCAACAGTTTGGTCTAAAACTGCTGCAGTAGACGAGCAGGAGAGGTGAAGCTCAGTGGTTACCAAAGTGGAGGGCGGGGCCCCCAGGGAGCACTGAGCTAGATAGATTTTAGTTTTAACATTTTATTCTTTGTTTGTTCCACAATAAGGAAAACTGCACTCATTTGTAATTTGAAATAAAGTATTACAGCTCCACTGATACACGTGACCACATGGACATGAATGTCATGATTATGTAATGTGACACAAATGGTGGTGAGAAGAAAAATTCAAAATGAAAAAAAATGGACCACTTACTGGATCTGCGCTGGGTGCCGAAGTGCAGATCAAGGTCCAGGTACTTCACCATGTCAGTGAGCTTGTCGTAGTCTGAGTCCTCGCACAGCTAAATATGGACAGATATAGACACAGACGCCATATTCTCAGAACACACAGTCGACAAAGTGTTTCTACTGTACACACAGAAATCAGACTGTAACCGTGGCTGACGGCAGTGAGAGTCAGGACGAGAAATACTTTAGTTAGGAAAACAAAAAGAGTGACTCATGGGAGAAACAATGGAGTAGATCAGAAGGTAAAATAAACGTGGGAGGAGTGGGAAAAAAAACAAACTCCGGCTGAAGTGGGAAATTTCATGTGTGCAGTTTTTGTTTTGCTTTGTTCCACAGTGACTTCACAAGAAAACAGTGAAGTGTAGAAAAAAACAGTGGTTTTATAAGACAGTCCAGAAGGAGCTGGATTTATTAAATGTTTCAATGGTAATTGATTTGACTATCATTTTATTGTTTTATGTATTAACACAGACTAGAGACATAGGGTTCATCTTTATTTTATAAATATATATATATTCAAATATTGTCAAGATAAAAAACATTCTAACAAACTAAAAGTCTGTGCTTTTTCAGTTTGACTTGTTTGAGATACTGTTGATGTTCTTGTGACTCTCACCTGGCCCCAAATAGTTCCCTCAGAGTTCTCCACCTGCTCCCAACGCAGCCTCTTCACACTCATGTGGTTGGTGTCGGAGGCCTGGCCTGGTTTGGGCAGTGGAGGGGCATCACAGGGTGGAGGCAACGGGGGAGGTGGAGGAGGTGGAGCCTTTAAGATACAAGAACGTACAGGTTTCGTTAGGTAAGTAAGGAGTCAACAAAAAAATCTGGACGAATCAGTGGAATGTAGTTGATGATCTGTGGTGTCATGTATACAGTACGTGTAAACTTTCTATGTTGATTTATCCACCATTTATTTATACGTTATGTATTTATTATGTCTTATTGAGACCAGTACTAAAGAAAAGGTAACAGTACTGCATTGTCAATACTGTTTTGTCAATAAAGCTCTAATTAACAAAGGTTGTTTCATGAATAAGAAACTGTTTTAAAACTCTGAGAACCCGGAGCAATCATGAAAACCTTCTGCTGTTTCCAGGCTGCAGATCTGAATCTCACAGCTGTTGCCATGCAAACGTGACTTCCTTCCTCTATTCTGCTCGAGCTGCCACAAAAAAATGTCACTTTTAATTAGCTTAACTCTTCAACGTACACACTGTGGTGAGAACAAATGAAGAAACATTTGTATTTTGAGTTCTCAGTCACATTTAGGAACCAGACTGAGAACAAACAGCCTTTTATCTACTGAACACCTTGATTACTGCTCTGTACAAAGGAAGTGCTTGCAGTGACAGCCTGCAGATGGGACACCACTCAGTGTTTTCCTCTTCAATTGCTCTCTCTGTTGCTAGGTTTTTATTGCAGTGCTGCTGCTGCTGCTGCTGCTGCACTGCACCAACCTTTTAGCACCAGTACAGTCATATTTGTCTCACATCATATTTGTCTCCAGTGGTAGGAAAAGAAGTGACTGCAGCCCTGACACAGATGTTCAGTGGTAGGAAAATAAGTGACTGCAGCCCTGACACAGATGTTTAAGATCTTATAGGCAGAAGGAATTATTTCATGTGGGTCAGGAGAGAGTATTTGTCCTCAAGAATGTTTGTCCCATATTGGTGTTCTCTTACTTTGTAAATGGTACTGAGTAACGGCAAGTTGATTCAGATTCCTCAGGACTGGAGATGAGGCTTCTCTACAGGGAGAAGCTTTGACTTTTTATTTCACCAATTTTAGCTTTTTAATGAAAATATAATTGAGGCTAAAATCTAAAAAGAGCCTCAAGATTGAAAAAGCAGTGTTAATTTAGTTGAATAATAAAGAGAACAATAAAGGTTGTTTAGCAGGAGCAGATGATTCATGCAGTGAATAAAAAAGGTATAAAAATATAAAAAGTTTAGGGAGAAAAGTATGAAGAAAATATGTTGTAGCAAAATATTACGTAAAAGGAAATGACAAAATGTTACTCAAAGATAGCACAGGCAAAGCTAAAAACAAACAGTGTCAGACACAGACAGGTGAGAGCAGATGTGTCACCTGCTGTGAATGCACTTCTGGTCGTGTCGTTTCATACGTCTTGGAGTGCGTGGGGAGGGTGGAGTGAGACAGCGGCAGCTGCGAGAGTGGCAGAGAGCCTGCAGGGACTTGGCCCGTACAGTGGGTGGAGCTGTCGTCCTGCAGGGACGGTGGCAGTGGACCCTGGTAGCTGTGCTGGTGGTGGAGCTGGTGGTGCCTCTGCAGAACCAGCTGAGTGGGCCTGAACGGCTGAGGGGACGGCTGGGGCGACGTCTGACAGATGGGCTGAGGCTGGCTGAGCTGACGGGGGAGGTAACAGGGCCGGGAGGACTGCCGGGTGCGCAGGGTGGTGGGGGTGAAGGCCAGCGTTTGGGTCAGGTGGCTGGAGCAGGTCGTCTGAAAGCGCTGGAGGGTCTTCTCCATCTCCTCTCTGGTGGGCAGCACCTTGTGTCGAGGGGAGCGGCTGGAGAGGAGGGTCCTGGGAGGAGGTGGGGGAGGAGGGATGATTGGGTGGTGTGGCTGGAAGGGCATCCGGCTGCGGGGGACATGCTCTGGAGAGAATCGCACGGGTGGCAGGGGGTCAGTGAACTGGACAGGGGGAGGTATCAGAGACTGGTAGGGGGGAGGAGGGGGAGGACTTTGCTCAGGAGGAGGTGGGATGGGTTCTGATTCAGAGGAATAAGAAGGAGAAGAGGCCTCATCACTGCTGCTGTGGTCCACGCTGCTGCCGCTGCTGAGCCGACGAGGCACAAAGGTCAAGTCCTGCTCCTCCTGGAAACTCATCTGTGAAGGTGAGGAGGAAGAGGAGGAACAAAGTTAGGACCTTCAGCCATTTTAAACAATTAAAACAAAGCTATTTTCAACTGCAATCTCAAACCTTTTTAACCAAAATAAGAAGTTAGTGATCGGGGGTCGGGAGAAGAGTGAGGTGAAGAAGAATCACTACAAAATAATCTTAGTTTTTTGTGAACTGTGGTTATAGTTTTGTTGGCTACCCTCAGTGATCACCAATAACATCCAGCTGAAAGTGTGAATGAAACTATAAATAAACAAGCTGATGATATAGTTGCCTGGACACAGCTGTTCTTCACCTCCTCGTAGTCGTTCTCTCCGTGGATGAAGTTGTCCACTGATGTGACGCGGTGGCCGAGCTGCTCGCTCAGGGCGTCTAGAAATTTGTCGGTGTCACGGCTGCGCGGCGGACGGGAGAAGGTGAAGAGCTTCCTGCGACGGGTCAGTGTGTTGGGACCACTCTCTGGAGGTTGAGGAGAAACTGGAGGACTCTCCAGACTGACGTAAGGGTTAGAGTCCACACTGCTCTGGTGGTGGATCTCGTAGACCGGGGTGGGAAGGGGCTCCTTCCAGGACAGGGACAGACCAGACTTACGGTTTCCTGCGGAGAGGCAAATCAAAAAGGCTGCTGTTGCTGAAGACTCATATATGGAATTTAATCAAAGTTTCTAGGTTTCACTTCTTTGGGATTCTTGGCTATGTGACAGATGGGATGCAGGTTGTTAGTTTGAATCCACTCTGTGGGACGTGAATGAGTTGTGCCTCAAAAACAAATTCAAACTCTGGTCTTTCTGCCACATTTTCAACACATTGGTTTGGAGCAGCTAATTTCTTTAATTAGTTTCTAGTTTCAAATGGATTTCACAAACATGTGGAGAACATGGCATTAGTCATGTACACAGCTGATGGAACTCTTCGTCAACAGTCATCTGTGTTCGATTGTGGATGTCTGATGTTTGTATTCTAAGTCAGTTTTTATTTTTAATAAACAATATTTACTTTTAAATAACATGCAAACTGCTGAGCATCATTCAACTCTTTTGCATTACTACCTTGACGTCACAGGATTAGGATTGTGTGTGTGTGTGTGAGAGAGAGAGTGTGTGTCAGCCACAGAGTACCTGTGAGAGGTGGGAGTGTGAGAGGGGAGAGAGAGCGGCCGTAGGCCTCAGTCTGTCCAGGCCTCTCGGCCTCCCCTGAGGAGCCCCCCTGCAGTGGAGACACACTCCTGTGTACACGTTCTCCAGCTCCGTGTACACACCTGTCATCTAAAGATGGAAGCATGAGCTGCTGGTTAGCACACAATCGCTGCAGGACAACTGCTTTCCAGGTCTGCTGCTATTGTGAGTTTCCATGGGGGCTGGGAGGGGGGCTGGGGTGGTGGGGGGCAATACATGTAATTCATAAAGTGAACACTACTGGGAATCAAATTGAAGGTTGGTGTCAAATAAGAGCAGATCTGTACATGACATGAGAGCAGAGAGCACAAAGAAACGTAGCAGGCATTCGTTGGTTCAATGCCTGCTGCTGAGTAGCTGCGGTTTGTACCTACATGACTGAGGTCAGGGGACTCGGGGAAGGAGGTCCCGTCTCCCGACTGCCTCTCCTCCTGGCTCCCAGATTCATCGACATGAATTCCTAAAGCACAATAAAGCATGAGCAGTGAAACATGGGACAAATAAGCCTCCTCCATCCACCCATCCATCCATCCACCCACCTCATGCCAAGAAGCAGAGGGAGGGGATGAAGATGCAGAGCAGAGGAACATGAAGCAAAAGCTCAACTCCAGAAGCAGTATTCAGCAATGGTCATGGAGAACGGGTGAAACTGGAAAATGGCGCCCGAGGCAGCTCAACGCAGAGATTGTCATGAGATTTTTAGAATCCTTAGTTAGAGGAGATTATTAAAAATGTAAATGATGCTGAGACATGGAGGTTAGAGGAAAAGCTGCTGATGACAGTCTCTACAGTCTCTGAGCCTGGGCTTTGCTGAGTGAATAATCAGCTGGGAGCTGACCAGTGCAAAGGCAACTGTTTTCACTGAGCTCTAACAGAGTATCTGTGATTGAAGTTGTGCCTTCACTGAATTACAACATGTAAAATACATGGGCCAGAACTACAGTATACAAAGCAAAGGCATGTTAAAAAACACTATTACACTGTTTGAATTTCTTCTTTTACATAAAGTTTATGTCAAAACCAAACTGAGACACATTTATAAATATATAAAGAAATTCCCACGATTTTTGAAACAACTTCATAATTAGGTGTTTGGGCTTTCAAACTTCATCAATTTCTTTCAGTGTGTTGCATTCCAACATTTCTTCAAGGACAGTGAAGGCAACACGGGGCCTTGCCTTTTTACGTGCGTTAGTTAAAGGATTGCATTGTAAATTACGATGCGTCCAGTTTGGTGTTAAACCAGTAAAACCTTTGTCCCCAACAGAAGGGAACCCTGTACGCTGCTGTTACTTGCTGCCTACCCATTCCCAGGTGAGTCCCAATGATGCAGTCATCTGAGCTTCTTTCCCGAACGAGGCCCCGGTACGACGATCCAGTCACTCGCACTGAGCTGCTGCGTCTGTGATGTTCCGGACCATCGGGCTCTAACACAACTGCAGGAACACAGAGCAGAACTTATCACCCACTTCAGTTCTAGTTCCATCTAAACTGACACATTTCAGGTGTACTGTATACACTATAATACTACAGTAATTCTACAGACTGACTTAAGGTAAATGGACAGATATTTCTACTTATAATAACTCTGTCTACAGTTGTAATTAAAGCAGTGTTTCCCAACCTCCTTTCAGCCACAGCACATATTTTACATAAATAAATTAAGAAATGTACTGAAATACAATGATCTTCTGGAGATTTACTCACTTTACTGACATCAATTTTTTACCTGATGACCTCTCATGGGACACAACTGTGCCGTGACACAGAGGTTGAGAACCCAAATATTTTCTACAGTGCAGTTCAATTTTTTTTCACATCATCTCCATACATTCTGTTCTGACTCACTGCTGCTTTTAAATCCCAGGAAGCGCGACAGTTTGTGCTGGCAGCGCTCCTGCTCGTCATAGGTCAGCAGCTGGTAAATAAACTGCCAGATCAGCTGTTTGGCTGGAGTGTCCAGCACTGGGAACACGTCCACGATGAGGGTGTCCACGTTTCTGCAAACACAGAAAGAGACAATAGCATACACAAGTTTAGTATTCACAGATTTACATTTCCTAAGAGTTCAAGACCAGAGGAACGTCCAGACCACGGTGGACGGATGACTTTGTTGCTGTTTCCTCCTGGCCTTCTTCTGCTCCTCATCCATCGTTCCTCTGCTCTTTCTCAGTCTTTTCTCTACATTTAAAATGTCTTTACAGCCTGATCTATGGAATATAGTTGGAGTGCAGTTTCCCAGGCAACAGCTGTGTTTTTCAGTAATTACAGATGGTTGACAGAGAGGCAGAAATGCTGAAAAATTAACATTAAACTACACCCTGACTTCTGTGTTAAGATTTCATGTTTTTATAAGAAAAAAAATGATGGATGTAACGATAGAACATTAAACTACTGACTTCTGGGTTAAGATTTCATGTTTTTAAAAGAAAAAAAATGATGGATGTAACGATACACTCAGCTCACAATTTGATATGATTCACTATTCTATTGTTCATGATGTGATTTTATCCCGTCTGGTCTTATTTACCTCGGTGACCATCAATATATGTAATGCAGCTTACTCCTTATGTCTTGATGCACGATCCATTTTTTTATTTCACCTGATGCATTCGTGTCGATGCATCATTACATCCCAATCTCAGGAAACTCTATGACTAAGATAGAATAACCTAATAACTTAACCTAATAGGACTTTTTTTAACCTTTTATACTCTTTGTGCACTGATGGTGTTACGTGATTTGAGTCTGATCAACATTTCTGTGTATTATCAGTTATAAAAAAAAGAAAAAAATCAAACCTACTGACCGATGCTGAAAGAAGGTTTCCAACGACTTGCAGATGGTGTACCTCTCCTGGATGGTCAGCAGGTGCTCCAGCTGCTGGCTGAAGGTTCGTCCATGGACCTTGATGCTGGGTGGAAGGATCTCTGCAACCCACTGTAAGGAGCTGAGTGCAGGAGACCTGGTGGTCCAAACAGGGACAGTATCGTCATGAGGTCTTCCTGGTTGGTTGGTTGGTTCAAGGTTTGTTAGTGCACTAACCTGGAGCGAGGCAAAGTAGTGGCCGCCAGATTAGGAGAGTCTTCAGGGTCGGTCGGGTCAGAGGAGAAGTCCAATGGACCCTCCTCTACCACCAGGGTGGGCACGGCTCCACTGCCCTGCAGCATGGACACCACCTTCTCGTGGGAACAGTTCCTATAGAGAAAAACACCTTTTACTGTGTGACAACACTGTAGTTAAGTCGTTGACTGAAGCCTTCGGTTTTTAACAAACTGTTTCCTCTCTGTCTCCTTGACTGAGAGGAGATAAATAATTCAATGTTTATGAGCTTTAAATTCATCTGAGGTGAAGTTGAATAAATATATTATTTTCAGCACATTTGCATTGATGCAGTTGAACTTTATGGACACTTTGTAAACAAAATACCAAAGGTTCCAACAATTTCTACGTGGTAGATTATTTTCTTCTATGCACCCCCCCCCCCCTTCCCTCCACACCTTCTAGATCACCTTCTACTTGACTGGCACTGTGTTATCAGGGAGAGCAGCAAAAAAGCACCACTCATATCAGGACATCAGGCAGCCGTGGGGACAGATCTGTGATTCTTCTCTCTTCACATGGCTGTCAAGGCAGTGGGGCGACTAACAGTCTGTCACTGCACCATTACAGATGGCGGCTGATAGTACTGATGGTACTGACAGTACTGACAAAAAACTTCGAGTTTGGGAACTCCAGTTTCACCTGATGACTTTTGAAACTGAACTCAAAATAGCTTGTGATTCAGTACTCTCGCCACTAGGGCATCTTTGTGTGCCATTTTCCAACTAGTTGTAGAGCCAGACAAACAGGGCAGAGTGAGTCAGCAGGATGTCTCACATTGAAAACATCACATATTGTGTAACTGGTGTAACAGTATTACAATCTGATGTCAACATCCATTTCTTACAGATCAGTTCATGATCTTGGTACGAAACAGATTTTTTTTCTGTCTCTGATTTCCATGTGTAGCCACATATGATGGGCAGACATTTATTTGTAACCAAACCTTAATCTTCAGAGTCTGACCTCATGTCCAGTCCATTGAGAAACAGAATGCGGTCGCCAGGTTTCAGTCCACATTCCTCAGCAGGACTGTCTGTGGAGAGCAGGCAAAGGTGTCAGAAAATATCACAGGCTGAGAGTGAAGTTCTGCCACAATGTCAGCAGCTAACAAGCTGCGCCGTACACAAGAGGTGAGGAGGGTGAGACTGTGACTAATGCTGTCAATCTGTGCCTGACACGCAACAAAAGCCACCGACCGATGGAATGATGATGATGATGATGATGAAGCAGATTACGTAAGGAAACAGTGCTGTCAAAACAAATTCTCAGCAGATCAGTGACGGCTGCAGTGAAACCATCCTCCGCCATCGCCTCCTCATCCGTCAACTTTCTCTCACAGAGAAGGTGATGTCAGCATCTTTTTCAAAGTTTGGATATATGCATTCTGCATGTGTGTGTGTGTGTGTCCGGAAGGGTACATTTTGGTTTACATCTACAGTCACTTTTCCTAATGTTTTTACCTCTTAGCTATTTCTGGGCTAACATTTAAGCAATTTCTGCCCAGTGTTTGGCCTCACCAATATTTTGGCCTCACCAATAGTTTGGCTAACTCTTAGCTATTTCAGGACTACCTTTTTGAGCATTTGCTGCAGCTAAATCTCAGCCCTTCATAAAGACTTAAAAATGACTTGTAAAAATGACCAGTGTTAATCCTGACTGAGGTAGAGTTGGAGCTCAGATCACGATGAGAGACACGCAGTCCACCCCCACCATCTCCATATCAACCTCCATAAGGCCCACTGAGTCAGTGCACCGCAGCACATGATGGTGGGCAGGAACAGAGCCGTCATCATCTTCATGAAACACACAAACACACACACACACACACACACTTCAGTGAGGAACTCAACTCCCGCAGCAGTTTCTTTACAGCCTCAGTTGTTTTGATGGTTTTATATCACTGAGGAACTTCAGTTCATTAAAGAAACATTAAACTGCTGGAAACTTGACTGAAACAGAGGTAATTAAAAGGTAGAGAAGTTCTCCCACTGAAAGTATTTATCTGAGCGTTTAGGCCTAAAGGCGTAAAATAATCTGCAGTACAAACCACCAAGAGTTTGTACTGTAAATGTTATATTTAAAAATCCATAAAGCAGTGGGTTCAGTCTCTGAGTTCAACACCTGAGCTGTCATTAATGAAGCCGCTCATCTGAGGAAAACAAAATAAAATAAGTGTTTTATTTATTTTGGTACATATTCCACATAAACACGTTTCACTAAAACTAGGTTTTAATAATTGTCCATGTGCCAAAACTAAGGATCCAAGGATGAAAGGAAGGAAGAAAAAGCCTGAACCTCAGAGAGAGAGTAAACTCTATACAATATGCTGTTATGGTCTTTTTCCAAGCACAAACATAACTATATTTGGCTAACATATACAGTAGCTACTTTTGGGCTAACTTTTAGCTATTTCCTCCTCAGTGTTTTACCAGACTTACCTATTTTTCACTAACCTTTAGTTACTTCTAGGCTAACATTTTCTCCTTCTATAATATTTATTTATACTTGTCCAAGTATCAGACTTAAGGACCTGAGTATAAGTGGAAGACTAGACACTAGAGTGAGTCTAACTCCCTACTGTATATGCAGATGACTGGCTGTTGTCAGAGTTGATGCACAGTCTGTTCTGATGCTGTTTCTTTTCTCTCAGTGTGACGTTGGTGAGTCAGAGTGTGGCCACTTCCTGCCACACTCGTAGTCACACGCGCACAAAAACACCTTCTGTTCACCTTTGACCATCAGCAGCTGGAAAAACAACAGACTCACCCACGTACAACTACGTGTTGTCCGCCATCTCCAGCCAACACAGAGCAGCGTCATCACACCACACACACACACACACACACACCACACACACACACACACACACACACACAGAGGAGGTGTCTGTCAGGTCTATCTGTTCTCCTCCGTCTTTCATTAAATATAGCAGTAGTACCTGGGATGACTGAGTCGATGCAGACAGGAGCGTGACCTCGCAGCGTGAAGCCAAAACTCTTCTTCCCTCTGTAAACCCGGACGATCCTGAGGAGAAAAAAACCAAACACAGATTGTCAATCTGTTTACTGACTAATGAAGTGACTGGGGATATGGTCAAAAGGTGGGTTTGAAATTAGGTTTTGAACTTCCATCAGTGATGGGATGAAAATAAAACACCATTATTGTTTATTATCACCATTCACAAAGAGGGCTGCTTTCAGGCTGTGGTGCAGAAGAGTACAGTAAATATCAAGAAGTGCATTGATGAAAATATGTCTTGGTTTTTGGCAATTTGAATAACAATATTGTTGAAGTAAAAGGCCAATCTTAAGGAGAAGAATTTGTCTTTGAAATGATTGAAGAGTCACCTGTAGTAACGACTGTGAGAACTGTGTAACATTTTTTTTCTCTTTCAGAGTTTCGATAGAAAACAATTCATCTTTGTCATATTTAAATAAAGAACCAGAAGTTGTGACTGTAAATGAAAACAAAATCTAAATCTGTTATCTAAAGTATTAACAATAAATTATTCTAGCTAACAGTCGTCTCACCTTTTTCACCTTGCTGTGAGTAAACAATGAGACTGTCTTTGGGGGGCGCTCTTACTCACTCTGTAGTTTACAGAGCTGTTGTTTTTATCTGTGGTGTTCTGGAGCAGTTCTGGAGGTCTGCTGTTGTTAAGTTGTTGTGATGGTCTGGTCTTTTGTGCTTTAGTTTGTGCCGACTCTGCATTACTTCAAACTCCTGACTATTGTCGTGCACATCTCGTCCAAAACAGTAATAATTCAGGACATGCCAAACAAAAGAAGACACTGACATTTTGCTGATGGTGGCTCTTCACTTTCCCGCATCCCAGAGGAATACTGCACTGTGGAACCTCACGTTACATCAAACACAAGACACATTTAGTGCACTGTGTTGCCATGGAAACCATATAAGGCAGCTGGATATACAGTACTGGATAAACAGGATAACAGTAGGAAAAAGAAATGAAAAAACAAAAAAAAAAACAAAAGCCAGAAAAACCATGTCTTTGGTTAGTGGTTGTTATGTAAGATGATGAAAATGCAGATGGTGGTATTGTGTACTGTGTGTGTGTGTGTGTCTGTGTGTGTGTTAGTGGCGCAGCATGGACCTCAAACCCTCTTAAGACTGTTGATCTCTATGACTTTGATTCTCCTTGTTTCAAAGCAGCAGCATTTTCACATTATTTCACAGGCAGTGGTTCAGTTGTAGAACATTACATAACAACAGTGAGACTGAGCCACTACAGAGGGAACTCCTCTGTGACGACCTCTGCTCAGAGAACGTACAGTGTGTCATACAGTATGAGAATCATTTTGATTTTATTGTTAATGCTCTTCCTTCCTGTGTCGTTGATTCATTTTAACCTGGATCGAAGTCTAGCTAACCTTCAGCTAGTTTCTCGCCCGTGTTTGACAAGATTTCCCTGTGTTTTTGCCAACTTTTAGGTGTTTATGGTACGTGTTTAACTTCACCATTCTGAACTACAAACCTGGAGTCCTGTTAAGAACCCCCAGTGGAGCAGGTCTGTCCTACATGACAGCTTTAAGAATCTTGTGTTTCAACAGCATTATCAAAAATCAACTTTATGAACCTCACTTTCTCACCTCTGATTGGGTCCGATGGGAGGGTGTGGGGGAATCCCAGAGACAGACTTCCTCACGCCCCTGTCCCTCTCAGGTTCTCCTCCGTCTCTGGGCACGGAGCTGGCTCGTTTGGACCCGTGGTGTCTCTCAGAGTGGTCCTCGCTGCGGCTGCGTCTCACTCTGCCCTGAGGCTCGCTGATGCTCTTGCTGCGGCACAAGCGGTTGATGACGTTCTGGGAGACGGCCTCGTCGAAGCGCTGCCGGTGCTTCTTCGGGATAAAGATTCTGGCAAACATGACGAAAAGTTTCAATTTTAGTCACAAGAGTTGAATTAAAGAGGATGGATCTACGACAGTGATCCACCTCGATCCAACTGAGAAAAGAAAAAGTCCATGTATCCAGTGGGAGCAGAGAAGCCTTTCTGACAGCTACTGAGAAAACATCTAGACTTCAGCTCCAGACAGGGTCACATCAACAGATGGACATATGACGAGTGTCTCCTGCTTTTCTTTCCAGAGACAAAACAAAGGTCTTCTTCTGTCTCTGCTGCTTACTTCACTGTCTGGAGCCTCAATGCTGCAGCGTGAGGTTCCACAGTCAGAATACAGCAGGAGAAAAAGGTGTAGGAGGGAGGCAGCCTGGGATTTCTCCTCTCTCTCTCTCTCTCCAGTATCTCACACTTTCTCACTCTCTCACACTTCTGTCCATGCTGCACCACTCTATCACTCCATCATTGTGAGCAGAAGCAGCGATTATCATTTCCTTACCCTTAGACCGTAACAGGAGGTTTTTCCTTCATTTTCCTTTTTTTAGACATTACAACACATTACAGTCACACACACTGATAAATGACGACTCGACTGAAGGACAGTCTTTCACCCCAGTGTATATCGATTACCAGGAGGCACAATGACAGTCAGTGACAGGAACTGGGGCAAAATGTCCTTGAAAATATGTGAAATTACCCTTTAGAGAGATGGCAGATTGATGGTGATGCTCCTAAGTGGAATTTGTCCAGCTGGGGTTTTGTAACACAGAAAATAATGGGTTTTTTTAGACTTCTTTTTCAAGCTGCATTCTGGGTTTCATCTTTTCAGAGGTTTAGAAATCAGG